TCGTCTTCGTGTATTAGATACAGTATTTTTTGCTGATTCGAATGGTATATACCATGATAGATGCACAAAAATAACCATCCAGAAAATCAAATTTGAAAATATTAAATTAAAAAAAATATAAAAAAATTATATATTGCATTATATCTTCTTGTATATTGATTGGGTACAATTCGTCTTCGTGTATTAGATACAGTATTTTTTGCTGATTCGAATGGTATATACCATGATAGATGCACAAAAATAACCATCCAGAAAATCAAATTTGAAAATATTAAATTAAAAAAAATATAAAAAAATTATATATTGCATTATATCTTCTTGTATATTGATTGGGTACAATTCGTCTTCGTGTATTAGATACAGTATTTTTTGCTGATTCGAATGGTATATACCATGATAGATGCACAAAAATAACCATCCAGAAAATCAAATTTGAAAATATTAAATTAAAAAAAATATTAAAAAATTATATATTGTATTATATCTTCTTGTATATTGATTGGGCACAATTCGTCTTCGTGTTTTAGATACAGAATTTTCTGCTGATTCGAATGGTATATACCATCATAGATGGCCACGTATAACCATCGAGAAAATCAAATTTGAAAATATTTAATTAAAAAAAATATTAAAAAATTATATATTGTATTATATCTTCTTGTATATTGATTGGGCACAATTCGTCTTCGTGTTTTAGATACAGAATTTTCTGCTGATTCGAATGGTATATACCATCATAGATGGCCACGTATAACCATCGAGAAAATCAAATTTGAAAATATTTAATTAAAAAAAATATTAAAAAATTATATATTGTATTATATCTTCTTGTATATTGATTGGGCACAATTCGTCTTCGTGTTTTAGATACAGAATTTTCTGCTGATTCGAATGGTATATACCATCATAGATGGCCACGTATAACCATCGAGAAAATCAAATTTGAAAATATTTAATTAAAAAAATATTAAAAAATTATATATTGTATTATATCTTCTTGTATATTGATTGGGCACAATTCGTCTTCGTGTTTTAGATACAGAATTTTCTGCTGATTCGAATGGTATATACCATCATAGATGGCCACGTATAACCATCGAGAAAATCAAATTTGAAAATATTTAATTAAAAAAAATATTAAAAAATTATATATTGTATTATATATTCTTGTATATTGATTGGGCACAATTCGTCTTCGTGTTTTAGATACAGAATTTTCTGCTGATTCGAATGGTATATACCATCATAGATGGCCACGTATAACCATCGAGAAAATCAAATTTGAAAATATTTAATTAAAAAAATATTAAAAAATTATATATTGTATTATATCTTCTTGTATATTGATTGGGCACAATTCGTCTTCGTGTTTTAGATACAGAATTTTCTGCTGATTCGAATGGTATATACCATCATAGATGGCCACGTATAACCATCGAGAAAATCAAATTTGAAAATATTTAATTAAAAAAAATATTAAAAAATTATATATTGTATTATATATTCTTGTATATTGATTGGGCACAATTCGTCTTCGTGTTTTAGATACAGAATTTTCTGCTGATTCGAATGGTATATACCATCATAGATGCACACGAATAACCATCGAGAAAATCAAATTTGAAAATATTTAATTAAAAAAAATATTAAAAAATTATATATTGTATTATATCTTCTTGTATATTGATTGGGCACAATTCGTCTTCGTGTTTTAGATACAGAATTTTCTGCTGATTCGAATGGTATATACCATGATAGATGCACAAAAATAACCATCCAGAAAATCAAATTTGAAAATATTAAATTAAAAAAAATATAAAAAAATTATATATTGCATTATATCTTCTTGTATATTGATTGGGTACAATTCGTCTTCGTGTATTAGATACAGTATTTTTTGCTGATTCGAATGGTATATACCATGATAGATGCACAAAAATAACCATCCAGAAAATCAAATTTGAAAATATTAAATTAAAAAAAATATAAAAAAATTATATATTGCATTATATATTCTTGTATATTGATTGGGCACAATTCGTCTTCGTGTTTTAGATACAGAATTTTCTGCTGATTCGAATGGTATATACCATCATAGATGCACACGAATAACCATCGAGAAAATCAAATTTGAAAATATTTAATTAAAAAAAATATTAAAAAATTATATATTGGATTATATCTTCTTGTATATTGATTGGGCACAATTCGTCTTCGTGTATTAGATACAGTATTTTTTGCTGATTCGAATGGTATATACCATGATAGATGCACAAAAATAACCATCCAGAAAATCAAATTTGAAAATATTAAATTAAAAAAAATATAAAAAAATTATATATTGCATTATATCTTCTTGTATATTGATTGGGTACAATTCGTCTTCGTGTATTAGATACAGTATTTTTTGCTGATTCGAATGGTATATACCATGATAGATGCACAAAAATAACCATCCAGAAAATCAAATTTGAAAATATTAAATTAAAAAAAATATAAAAAAATTATATATTGTATTATATCTTCTTGTATATTGATTGGGTACAATTCGTCTTCGTGTATTAGATACAGTATTTTTTGCTGATTCGAATGGTATATACCATGATAGATGCACAAAAATAACCATCCAGAAAATCAAATTTGAAAATATTAAATTAAAAAAAATATAAAAAAATTATATATTGCATTATATCTTCTTGTATATTGATTGGGTACAATTCGTCTTCGTGTATTAGATACAGTATTTTTTGCTGATTCGAATGGTATATACCATGATAGATGCACAAAAATAACCATCCAGAAAATCAAATTTGAAAATATTAAATTAAAAAAAATATAAAAAAATTATATATTGCATTATATCTTCTTGTATATTGATTGGGTACAATTCGTCTTCGTGTATTAGATACAGTATTTTTTGCTGATTCGAATGGTATATACCATGATAGATGCACAAAAATAACCATCCAGAAAATCAAATTTGAAAATATTAAATTAAAAAAAATATAAAAAAATTATATATTGCATTATATCTTCTTGTATATTGATTGGGTACAATTCGTCTTCGTGTATTAGATACAGTATTTTTTGCTGATTCGAATGGTATATACCATGATAGATGCACAAAAATAACCATCCAGAAAATCAAATTTGAAAATATTAAATTAAAAAAAATATAAAAAAATTATATATTGCATTATATCTTCTTGTATATTGATTGGGTACAATTCGTCTTCCTTTTCACGTGTTTTTTAGTCCGCATTCCAATTTGTTTACTATTTAATTTTAATGTGTCTCAAGGTCCACCTTTTTGGCCCCTCCTAATATTTCAACAAACAAATGCCAAAAAAGTGGACCGATCCTTAAATTTATAGTTAAATTGTGTTTTAATGTTTTATCTTTAATTATTTAGAAATGTTCTTCTAATTTTGGCCCTATTTAAGCCCCTCACTAGTTATTCATTTCGCTGTGTATAGGTTGTTCATGTTAGTCACCATATAAGCTTTTTAGCTATTAATTACCCAAGTTTGAGTTTTTTGTCCCTTGCCCAATTCACCACAATTGTTAAAATATTAAAGTAGATAAATATTCTTAAAATATTAAATTAAAAAAAATATAAAAAAATTATATATTGCATTATATCTTCTTGTATATTGATTGGGTACAATTCGTCTTCCTTTTCACGTGTTTTTTAGTCCGCATTCCAATTTGTTTACTATTTAATTTTAATGTGTCTCAAGGTCCACCTTTTTGGCCCCTCCTAATATTTCAACAAACAAATGCCAAAAAAGTGGACCGATCCTTAAATTTATAGTTAAATTGTGTTTTAATGTTTTATCTTTAATTATTTAGAAATGTTCTTCTAATTTTGGCCCTATTTAAGCCCCTCACTAGTTATTCATTTCGCTGTGTATAGGTTGTTCATGTTAGTGACCATATAAGCTTTTTAGCTATTAATTACCCAAGTTTGAGTTTTTTGTCCCTTGCCCAATTCACCACAATTGTTAAAATATTAAAGTAGATAAATATTCTTAAAATATTAAATTAAAAAAAATATAAAAAAATTATATATTGCATTATATCTTCTTGTATATTGATTGGGTACAATTCGTCTTCCTTTTCACGTGTTTTTTAGTCCGCATTCCAATTTGTTTACTATTTAATTTTAATGTGTCTCAAGGTCCACCTTTTTGGCCCCTCCTAATATTTCAACAAACAAATGCCAAAAAAGTGGACCGATCCTTAAATTTATAGTTAAATTGTGTTTTAATGTTTTATCTTTAATTATTTAGAAATGTTCTTCTAATTTTGGCCCTATTTAAGCCCCTCACTAGTTATTCATTTCGCTGTGTATAGGTTGTTCATGTTAGTCACCATATAAGCTTTTTAGCTATTAATTACCCAAGTTTGAGTTTTTTGTCCCTTGCCCAATTCACCACAATTGTTAAAATATTAAAGTAGATAAATATTTTTAAAATAAATTCTTTAATTCTATCTGACCCAATCCCAATTCTCAAAACCACTAGACAACAATCTGAGAGCTGCGACCGATCTGCCACACAAGAAGGCAGCAAGATTCTGATGCAGTTTTTTATGCTCGTTCGAATGAGCTATATATCAGCTATATATCTATATATGAATATATATAGCTATATATCAGCTATATACGAATGAGCTATATATGATGGTTTCCGTTGATAAATTAAAGCATAACAACCCTTCTGATCAGCTGTTGGACGACCAAAATTTTTTTTTGGTTTGCGTTGACCTTCATAACCTGGAGCGCGTTTTTCTAATTGGACATGCTAAAAAGAAAAGATTTAAAAGCAAAATTTTAACAAGTCAGAATAAAAGCGATAATTTTACACATTTTAGATAATAAATAAAGGAAGAAGAACCCAATACAAAAATTAAATAAGTTCCTAACAAAAAAACAAATCTTATTAGCTCTTCATCCCTGAAATTTTTCAAAATCTCCTCGCTTTACTAGAATTAAAGCATTAAATAATCAGAAACACAACCTTATCATTATAGGTAAACCACTGCTTTGTGTAAGGATCACGAATTAAATCATAATAATGTCCACAATGCGCATTATCCCCTTCGTGTATCATAACAGCACAAAGTTCATATTCTTCATTATTCAAAGCACCAGATTTAAATTTTTTCGCTTTTAACAGGCGCGGATATTGCATTACAGTTTTTAGTTTGTGATGACGCTCATTTGCACTAAAAAAATTAAATTCAACAAAAAAACATTTGTAAAAACCTTTTAAAGACATATCTATTCAATTGAATAATTAACACTTGAGGAAGTGTTGTGTATTCCATCTTTTTTACACATTTTCCTTGTTCTTGACAATTGCTACATTTATAGTCAGCAAGTCTTAAAAAATATTTTTTAATAAAAACATCCAAAAAATAAAAACAAACTGTTCAGGCCTAAAGAAGCTGTCAATAGCAGTGATTAAAGAATTAAATCCATCGATGGTGATAAATAATGAACGATATTCGCTTTCTGCATTTGTTGAATGACCACATTCACAACTGATTGTCTGACACACACAACTCTTAACAAAAAGGAAAGTTAAAGAAAACAAAAAAAATTAAACCTGAAAAAGTTGTCTAATTGAAGCTTGTATTTTCTCTCCATTTGGATGAAATAACAAATTCTTCTCAATAGTGTCAAAGAATAAAGTATGAAATTCTTGGACGTCTTGTTGTTGATTGTCTAGTCTTAATAGTTGACAGAATTCCTTGGCGTCGGTTGTTTCCTATTTTTTTGTAAACAATGATTAAAAAATTTACAAAAATCTTTGAAGAAATAAAGTAATTTAATTAAAAATATTAAAAAAACTAACAAAAGGCGTCAATTCAAGAGTTAAAAACAATCGTTGTAAACAACACATAACCTCCTGAATATCCAATTTAGCATCGAGCGGTTTTTCCCAAAAAGGATCGGCACGCCAATCATAAACACATTGACGGAATCGTAAATCATTGAACCAAATCTTTAAAAAATTAATGAAAGAGCTAGAATTATATATGAAATATTTGGAAATAACGGGAAACAATGAACATTATGGATTAGACATATAAAGTTGGATGACTGTTATGGTTTACTTAGGAGAAATACTTTCACCTAAAAAAACGTTTTCAAAATAAAGTTAAAATTAGACAAAAATAATTTTAAAAAACCTGTAAAAAACTATTAACATAACAAAAATTTGGTAATCTTCTGCTTCATTGGTCCCTAGAAAAAAATGGGGAAAAAGTGCTAGTTCGGCATTTTTGAGGTCTACCAGTAGGTAGTCAAGTGTGCTGAGTCCGAATATGAGCTTAGAATTTGTTTATTTCGAACCCCGAACCCGAATTCGACCAAGTCGGATATGGGGTAAAAATTCATAATTTCAAATTTTTTGTTTAATCGGATTCGTCTCTTCGAGCTGAGTCGATTGGTATCAAAATTATTACGTTTCGACATCTTTAGACTAAGTTATGGTGGATGATTTATATACGGAAGTCTAACCAAGCATGTATTTAATTGATCATAACTCAGTCTAAGGTTGTCGAAACACAATAATTTTGATATCAGTCGACTCAGATTGCATAGACGCGTCAGAATAGCGATAGCCTAATAGTTTCGAATTCTTACCCCGAATTCGACTTGGTCGAATTCGGGTCCGGGGTTCGAAATAAGCAAATTCTAAGCTCAGATTCGGACTCAGCACACTCGATTACCTACCGGCAGATCTCAAAAATATCGAAAAAGCATTTCTACCACATTTTTTCTAGGGACCAATGAAGCAGAAGATTACCCTAGAAGCTGCTTTCTTTTGGGTTTGTAAACATTTGTCAAACTTTTCCAATCCAAGGCGATATATACAGAATGATTGAGACGACAATTTCGTTTTCTGAATTTAAAAAAAAAAGAATGCATTATAAATAATTCGAAGAAATAAGTGGAGGCATGGGAACAAGAGAAAAATAAGGAGGTAAAAAGTCCACGTAATAAGCCCCGTTTGGTAGTTCAAGGAAAAATCAAGATTGAAACCAAGACTAAAGCGATCTCAACTTTATATCTTAAAAATACTTTGGATTTGGTGGAATATGAGCGTCACAGCCAAACTCATTCAAATTGTAGATACGCCAACATGCATTTAAATCGACGTGGTCTAGAGCAATTGAATCATCATCGAGTTGATTGTTTTCCTAGTAAAATTAAAAGTTCACAAAAACATTCAAAAGTTTTACAAAAAATAAAAACCTCCAGCAATGGAGACAGCTTATTTTTTTCAACAAAGAATCAAATAGATCCGATCTCCGCATAGTTTCTTGAGGAAAAGTTTTTAAAAAATCACAATTAATGGTAATCATGGACAATCCGGGAGACACCTTAAAAATTATTATATTCTTTTCTGAAAATAGTTTTATGTAGGTAATCGACAATGCTGAGTCCGAATCTGAGCTTAGAATTTGTTAATTTCGAACCCCGGACCCGATTTCGACCAAGTCGAATTCGGGGTAAAAATTCGAAATTAAAAATTTATGGCTATTCTGATGCGCCTATTCGAGCTGAGTCGAATGGTATCAAGATTATTCAGTTTCGACAACTTTGGACGAAGTTATGATGTCTGATTCGTATACGGAAGTCTAACCAAGCGTTATTTAATTGATCATAACTTCGCCCAAAACAGTCGAAACTGAATAATTTTGATACCATTCGACTCAGAATAAAAAGACGAGTCAAAATGATCATAATATCGTAATTTCGAATTTCTACCTCGAATTCGACTTGGTCGAAATCGGGTCCGGGGTTCGAAATAAACAAATTCTAAGCTCAGATTCGGACTCAGCATGGTCGATTACCAACATAGAATTACTTTTAAAAAAAATAATGGATTTTAAGGTGTTTTTAAGGTGTCTCCCGGATTGTCCATGATTACCCAATTAATAACATAATAAAAAAGATTATAAAATTGCCAAAACAATTTTTAAAAATAATTAAAACGTGTAAAAAATAAATAAATTTTTATTCAATATAAAAAAGAAAATTTTTTATCAACAATAACCATTTAAGGCAAAAAACTGAGTTGAAAACAAACAAGAAAGCTAATAAAATGGACAAACAAAAAGAAAAAGTATTATACTACTTAAAATTTAAATATTTATGCAGTCTTTGAAGGTCACATATAAGCAAAAATCTTTACGTTTGAAAAAAAACAGAAAATTTCTTAAAGAAAATAACAAAAGGAAAACAAAAAAGTAATCACTAGGGTTGTCGGTTCTTGGAAAATCTTCGGATATCCGGAACCGAACCGAAGAACTGAAAAATATAAATATTAATTTAAAATTGAAAGAATTTTAAAAAATAAAAATTATATAAGTTCTAATCTTACACAATAAAGTAATACGAATAAACTTGAATGGTAAAACTTTATTTAAACTTAAAGTTTTGTTAAGAAAAAAAATTTTTCTTAATATTTTTTGAAAAATACTAACCAGAAGACTATTGTTGTTATTGTTTTAAAGCAATTGATTTAGACAGTTTACGTATCCATAATGCCCTAACTTCTTCATCCAATGGATGCATAGCAAAACAATAACTGGCAGAATTTCCATTTTTATCAGTGTCCCATATTTCAAATTTTTGATTAGAAAAACGAGAACTTGCAGCAAAACCCTAAGATTCTTTTGGAATACAAAATTTATGTTCAAAATATTTACAGCCTTGTTGAGTTGTTGTCTGTAAACGTTCTTTACATAAAAGAATGCCGCCATCAAAAAGTAATCTTAATTAAATTAAATTTATTTAATTTCCTAAATTTCAAAAAAAATTCACAATTGCATTTCTTGTTCGCCCTTCTTTTTCCCTGAATTCACACCTTTAGCACCTGCACTTTTTGATTTATAAAAAATTGAAACAGTAAATTCTGTTCTAAGTCGGAGAGAGCCTAAGTTTAGAGCACCCTAAAAAATTTTGAAAAATTTTCTCTTCAAAATTAAAAAATTAATTTTTCCTACAGAATAATCAAGTAGCTTTAATTGTTCCATAGAAGCATTTATTTGAGCTAATAATTCCAACATTGAAGTTAAAGCTGTTTGAACATGTTGTAATGATTGTTCGCAATGTTTAATTAATTCTTTTAATAAAAGTTGATATTTCTAAAAAATATTTTTTAATAAAATTGAGATGGGACTTAGATTAAAGAACCTTAGTTATCGAGTTAGAGATTTTTAGAGATATCGATCTCATAGCTTAATTAATTCTCATGACTAGGGTTGGTACCCGGTTCGGTTCGAAAGATGGAACCGGGCCCCGAATTTTGGCCCGGTTAGATACACATTGTACAAGATATATCCAATGCTAAACTGGATGAAATGTCATGTATCTAGTACCTTAGGAATCAATGCTCTAAAATACATAGAATTTTTGTTGACTACAGGGTGGAGGAACTATCAAAGCAATACTCTCTATTTAATATAACCTTATTATAAGGTAAAAATTTTCATTCTTAAGAGGGTTTCTTATCAGGTTCTACTCTATTAAATAAAAATCTCACAGTAATTCGTTGTATAGGTTTTAATAAATAGGTAGAAAGAGGAAGTGGGTGACCAGCACTCCTTTGGCAATCCAAAATAAATTTATTTTTATCAACTTTATGTTCTCTGATGAAGTCGTCGCTAGTTGGTTTGTTCTTACAATATTGACGATAAAGAGATGAAAATTGTTTTCTTTGAGAAAATAAAACTGTTGAAACGCCTTCTGCATAATTTGAATTTTGGTGAAGGGAAGGGAGAAGAATTGAATGATGAAAATCATGCTGTGAAATTTAGTTAATTTTTTAATTTAATTAAAACTTAAATAAAAAATAAGTGGTAAAGAGGTTTAAGACTGAAAATTTACCAAGACCGTATCAAAAGACTAAAAGTTGACCCCAAACCCAAGACCAAACTCAAGACTAATATTCTGGTCCTATATGAAAATTTTTTTTATTTTTAAGCTTGGATAACCATAATTTTTACTTTGAGGAATTATTTAAACATTAGGGACCAATTTGATTGTTCATCGCCGCTGGCGATAATTTGAGTATTTTAACGAGAAGAAGGGGTAAATTTACTCTTGTAATTTTCAAATTATATATAGTAAGAATCAAAGAGAAAATCTGAGACCTAAACGTTGACTCCAAAACTAAGCCCGAGAATCCCCAAGAAAGGTCCCCCTCTCCCCTTCTTTTACAAAAAAGTTTTTTACCAAATCTCGAATATTTCCAAAAAGTATATTAGACTGTCCTGGTAAAATATTATGTGAATTAGCAGTTCCATTGTTGCTAGTAGACTCAAGAGCCTCTAAAGGTAGAATATAATGATGAATGATTTCAGCCAATTCGCGGACATAAGTGCGCTCTGTACTTAACTAAAAATAAATAAAAAAATAAAATTAGAGAATTATAAATAAATTTTTTAATGTCGAAAATTGTGTGTTATTATATATAGACTTGAGGTTTCTCATAACTTAGGCGGAGGAAATATAAAAAAATTAGAAAATTGTGGATTTTTCGGCTCAAAAAAGAAAATTAAAAAGTTATTGGCCCTCAAAGTTTTGAAATGTCAGAGTCTTTCTATGAGAAAAATTAAAAAAATTTTCTTTAAATTTTCAAGATTATTTTTTTTCAAGATTCTCAACTAACCAATTCATCAAGAACATAATTCACTTTTCCCCCAACCAAACATTTCTCCATTGGTGGACCAGCAGTAATTGAAGAGGATAAAGATGAACATGATTCTATTGGCAATTTTGCACAAGAGAATGGGCTATCGATGGGGGAATAGTTAAGTTTAATCAATTCCTTTTTGTCGTGTTTGCTTGATGAAGCAATCCCAATTAATTCGGTAAACGATGAAGATCTTCTTTTGCCCTAAAACAAATTAATTTATAATTCTAATTGTAAGGACAAAAATTTCTGGCACCCGAGAAAACTTAGCATTCAGTACAATTGTGTCCGCAAAAAAAGTCCGCAAAAAGCACGTAGGGATAACCCACAAGTACCGTTAGTTGTTAATAAAAACGTCGAGACTATGTAAAAAAAATCGCAAATTTAACAAACTTACTGATTCGGCTTTTTCCACAGAATAAGATCTACGTCTCGGCGTAAACTTTTCTAATAGATCCTTCATTGAATTAGATCTTCGCATTCTCTAAAACAAATTAATTTATAATTCTAATTGTAAGGACAAAAATTTTTCCAGATATAGTGGCGCACCGGAAAATTTTAATTTATAGGTCACCTAACACGATTGGACGGATATGTATAAATGAGGTGGCATTCAACTCATCTGTTAGAGCTGAGTCGAATTAGGTATGGATGAAGTTGGTCCGACAACCAGGGACCAAGATACAGACCCCTGAGATTGAAGAAAAAATCGAAAGCCTGATTAAAATAAACCTTAAAACCAGCCTTTCCATCCTGTTGTAACTCCATATCAGCACCTTTAATCTCAGAATGTTTTTCATTGGAAGTGTCCACAACTTGAGAATTGTTACTAGTAGAAACGTCTGTTTGCATAACGGCAGCCATTTTCAAAAAAGAGTATTCTAATTTAACTGAAAAATTTCATAAAAAAAAAATTAAAAAATTGATAGAGACAAAGTAGAACGATTTCCTAAAATTCTAGTTAAATTTCTTAAAATTCTAGTCTTAAAATTCGAAAGTTAAACACTAACAGGAAAAAATTTAAAAAGTAAAAAAGTAAAAAATTTTAGATTAAAAAACTTGAAGTAAAATACGAATAAAAAACAAATTAATAATTTATCCTTAAAAATTTTACATATTTTTTAACACAATATTTTTAAATTAAGAAAAACTTTCATACAAACAAAAAACTTAAGTTAAATGTAAACGATCAAATTCTGTTCCTTTGCAATAAAATCTCTAGTCCAAATATGTGTTGGATGATCCTGTTTTAGTTGATTCATATAACGATTTGAAACCTTTGAAAAATACAAATTAATAAAAATTTTAATTTAAAAAAACCTCAATAGGCTTTCCCAAAAAATGAGCAATAACAAAAAGTCCAATCAAAGCTTCAGGATTGTTAGGATCTCGTTGTTGGGCATCCTTAAAAAATTCATATGTTAAAATTTAGAAATGTCGGATTAACTAAATTCTGCGATTACCCAAAACCGGAGAATCAAAATTTTCTTAAAATTTTTCGAATTTCAGTTCGGCTCAAAGTTTCATCAGTCTTTCTATGAGAGTCTTTCTATGAGAAAATTATTACCGTAAAGGAGTCCATAAATTTTTTTTTGGAATTTTCGTTCCGTGACCCTCCTTATGTTAGATGGGTACTTGTGGTTTTTTGGAGATGTACAAAAAGGTATCGATAGAGCTCCAAAAGGTATCAATAGCTTACCATTTAGTACAATTAAGTCCGCAAAAAGCACTTAGGGATAACCCACAAGTACCATTATTGTTAATAAAAACGTAGAGACTAAGTAAAAAAATTGCAAATTTAACAAACTTACAGATTCAGCTCTTTCCACAGAGTATGATCGAGATCGACGTCTTGGAGTTACCTTCTCCAATAAATCCTTAAATGAGCTAGATCTTCTAACCTAAAACAAATTAATTTATAATTCTAATTGTAAGGACAAAAATTTTTTCGGATATAGTGGTGCACCGGAAATAGTGGTGCATCGCCCATTCCTTCCATGGGAAAAATAACGGTGATTGAAAAATAGCCTAAATTTTTTTATTATATTTTTCATCGTAAAGATAAAAGATAGGGAGGATTTGAAGTGTATAAGTGCCAAATAATTTTCGATATACATCATATTTGGATCACTACTTTTGAATAACTTATTGTAAACAAGAAGGCAGCAGGATTCTGATACAGTTTTTTATGCTCGTTCGAATGAGCTATATATCAGCCAAATGTGATGCGAATTCGTGATGCCATGAGGCTTTGAAGTGTATAAGTATTTGGATCACTACTTTTGAATAACTTATTGTAAACAAGAAGGCAGCAGGATTCTGATACAGTTTTTTATGCTCGTTCGAATGAGCTATATATCAGCCAAATGTGATGCGAATTCGTGATGCCATGAAGCTTTGAAGTGTATAAGTATTTGGATCACTACTTTTGAATAACTTATTGTAAACAAGAAGGCAGCAGGATTCTGATACAGTTCTTTATGCTCGTTCGAATGAGCTATATATCAGCCAAATGTGATGCGAATTCGTGATGCCATGAAGCTTTGAAGTGTATAAGTGCCAAATAATTTTCGATATACATCATATTTGGATCACTACTTTTGAATAACTTATTGTAAACAAGAAGGCAGCAGGATTCTGATACAGTTTTATATGCTCGTTCGAATGAGCTATATATCAGCCAAATGTGATGCGAATTCGTGATGCCATGAAGCTTTGAAGTGTATAAGTGCCAAATAATTTTCGATATACATCATATTTGGATCACTACTTTTGAATAACTTATTGTAAACAAGAAGGCAGCAGGATTCTGATACAGTTTTATATGCTCGTTCGAATGAGCTATATATCAGCCAAATGTGATGCGAATTCGTGATGCCATGAGGCTTTGAAGTGTATAAGTATTTGGATCACTACTTTTGAATAACTTATTGTAAACAAGAAGGCAGCAGGATTCTGATACAGTTTTTTATGCTCGTTCGAATGAGCTATATATCAGCCAAATGTGATGCGAATTCGTGATGCCATGAGGCTTTGAAGTGTATAAGTATTTGGATCACTACTTTTGAATAACTTATTGTAAACAAGAAGGCAGCATGATTCTGATACAGTTTTTTATGCTCGTTCGAATGAGCTATATATCAGCCAAATGTGATGCGAATTCGTGATGCCATGAAGCTTTGAAGTGTATAAGTATTTGGATCACTACTTTTGAATAACTTATTGTAAACAAGAAGGCAGCAGGATTCTGATACAGTTTTTTATGCTCGTTCGAATGAGCTATATATCAGCCAAATGTGATGCGAATTCGTGATGCCATGAAGCTTTGAAGTGTATAAGTGCCAAATAATTTTCGATATACATCATATTTGGATCACTACTTTTGAATAACTTATTGTAAACAAAAAGGCAGAAGGATTCTGATACAGTTTTTTATGCTCGTTCGAATGAGCTATATATCAGCCAAATGTGATGCGAATTCGTGATGCCATGAAGCTTTGAAGTGTATAAGTGCCAAATAATTTTCGATATACATCATATTTGGATCACTACTTTTGAATAACTTATTGTAAACAAGAAGGCAGCAGGATTCTGATACAGTTTTATACAAGAAGGCAGCAGGATTCTGATACAGTTTTATAGCTCGTTCGAATGAGCGATATATCAGCCAAATGTGATGCGAATTCGTGATGCCATGAAGCTTTGAAGTGTATAAGTTCCAAATAATTTTCGATATACATCATATTTGGATCACTACTTTTGAATAACTTATTGTAAACAAGAAGGCAGCAGGATTCTGATACAGTTTTATATGCTCGTTCGAATGAGCTATATATCAGCCAAATGTGATGCGAATTCGTGATGCCATGAGGCTTTGAAGTGTATAAGTATTTGGATCACTACTTTTGAATAACTTATTGTAAACAAGAAGGCAGCAGGATTCTGATACAGTTTTTTATGCTCGTTCGAATGAGCTATATATCAGCCAAATGTGATGCGAATTCGTGATGCCATGAGGCTTTGAAGTGTATAAGTATTTGGATCACTACTTTTGAATAACTTATTGTAAACAAGAAGGCAGCATGATTCTGATACAGTTTTTTATGCTCGTTCGAATGAGCTATATATCAGCCAAATGTGATGCGAATTCGTGATGCCATGAAGCTTTGAAGTGTATAAGTATTTGGATCACTACTTTTGAATAACTTATTGTAAACAAGAAGGCAGCAGGATTCTGATACATTTTTTTATGCTCGTTCGAATGAGCTATATATCAGCCAAATGTGATGCGAATTCGTGATGCCATGAAGCTTTGAAGTGTATAAGTGCCAAATAATTTTCGATATACATCATATTTGGATCACTACTTTTGAATAACTTATTGTAAACAAGAAGGCAGCAGGATTCTGATACAGTTTTATATGCTCGTTCGAATGAGCTATATATCAGCCAAATGTGATGCGAATTCGTGATGCCATGAAGCTTTGAAGTGTATAAGTGCCAAATAATTTTCGATATACATCATATTTGGATCACTACTTTTGAATAACTTATTGTAAACAAAAAGGCAGAAGGATTCTGATACAGTTTTTTATGCTCGTTCGAATGAGCTATATATCAGCCAAATGTAGTGCGAATTCGTGATGCCATGAAGCTTTGAAGTGTATAAGTGCCAAATAATTTTCGATATACATCATATTTGGATCACTACTTTTGAATAACTTATTGTAAACAAGAAGGCAGAAGGATTCTGATACAGTTTTTTATGCCCGTTCGAATGAGCTATATATCAGCCAAATGTGATGCGAATTCGTGATGCCATGAAGCTTTGAAGTGTATAAGTATTTACATCACTACTTTTGAATAACTTATTGTAAACAAGAAGGCAGAAGGATTCTGATACAGTTTTTTATGCCCGTTCGAATGAGCTATATATCAGCCAAATGTGATGCGAATTCGTGATGCCATGAAGCTTTGAAGTGTATAAGTATTTGGATCACTATATTTGAATAACTTATTGTAAACAAGAAGGCAGCAGGATTCTGATACAGTTTTTTATGCTCGTTCGAATGAGCTATATATCAGCCAAATGCGATGCGAATTCGTGATGCCATGAGGCTTTGAAGTGTATAAGTATTTGGATCACTACTTTTGAATAACTTATTGTAAACAAGAAGGCAGCAGGATTCTGATACAGTTTTTTATGCTCGTTCGAATGAGCTATATATCAGCCAAATGTGATGCGAATTCGTGATGCCATGAAGCTTTGAAGTGTATAAGTATTTGGATCACTACTTTTGAATAACTTATTGTAAACAAGAAGGCAGCAGGATTCTGATACAGTTTTTTATGCTCGTTCGAATGAGCTATATATCAGCCAAATGTGATGCGAATTCGTGATGCCATGAAGCTTTGAAGTGTATAAGTATTTGGATCACTACTTTTGAATAACTTATTGTAAACAAGAAGGCAGCAGGATTCTGATACAGTTTTTTATGCTCGTTCGAATGAGCTATATATCAGCCAAATGTGATGCGAATTCGTGATGCCATGAAGCTTTGAATTGTATAAGTGCCAAATAATTTTCGATATATATCATATTTGGATCACTCGAATATCTCGAGTTCGAGTTCAGTGAAATAGTTTAACTCGAGATATAAAAAAGAATAGGCGGTCGTATGATTTACGGACGCCTGTAAATATTTTTAAAAATATTTGTTAGGAATTCTTCCCGCTTCAATGTATTCATATACTGCCATTTCAACATGTATCTTTGGATAAAATGAGATTAAATGACATTTCACCTGCCTTTACAGAACAAAAGTTTTTTTCCACTTTCTGTACCTCTATATTGAAGGTTAATCTATTTGAAATTGAAGGTTAATCTTTAATCTTTAATATACCGAAGTCACGGCAAAATATAATTGATAAGAATGTGAAATTAATTGAAAGTTATTAAGCAAATTTTTGGAAAGTTTTGGAGTAAAACTTTGTGGAGGCCAAAATGCTGTTAGTATTGGTATGCGTGAATTACCAACAATTCAAGTGGGAATTAATTTTAATTCTGATTTATTTTAAAAGCAGGGCTGTAATACTATGTAAAAATTTCTAGAGGTTAAAAGATATGAGGATATTATAGCTTAATATAAAGGAATAGTAAAGTAGACACGTATAATTAATAGAAATTATGATGAGCCATATTTTGCTCTTTTTGCCAATGGTTTAAATTTAACACTTTCAAAGGAGGTATAAAAATAATAAAATTAATGGCAATATGCCTACAGCATAGCCCAACTGCAAAAATTTTAAATATTTTTAAAAATATTTTTCAGGTCTTACTTTACGCTGTAATGTTTTCTGAATAATGGAACTGAAACTAATTTGGAGCTAACAACTGGATGTCTGAAACAATATATACTATACTATATACTATACTAGATGGCCACGTATCACCATCCTTTTATATTGAAAATATAAAATTAAAAAAAATATCAAAAAATTATAAATTGTATTATATCTTATGGTATATTGATTGGGTAAAGGTCGTGGTTGTATTTTAGATACATTATTTAATGCTGATTCGAATGGGGTTTAAATACTCCATTTAATTCACTATTAATATGTAATTTTATTCTTTTATATACACAAAAAATCATAACTTTTTTATAAACAATAAATGAGCAATTAAACGTTTGGCACAAAAATTTGAGGTCATAAAAATTAAAAAGGTACATATTCTGTTTTGCCCAATTCGCGTTGACTTAGAAAAGTGAGCGCTGACCTTTAAAGATTTTTTAATATTTTTAAAATTTCAAATTAATTTTACCAATATAATATATTAAAAATAAGAAAAAGCAAGGGAAAACAACATCTTGAGAGTCTGTCAATTTTTGAAGGACTGAAAAAAAATTGTTTAATTTTTTATTTAATTTATGAGATTTTGTTAATAATTTTGTTAAAATGCGGGTTATCTCCCCAATATTTTTTATTCGTTCGGCTTTAATATTAGAGACACTCATGTCATTAGAGACACTCAGCTGTAGACACTCATTCCGAATTTTCCGACACTCATCCCACCATAATAAGAATAGGGCCTTCGTTTTTGACGTATTTTAAAAAATTAGATAAGGTTCCTATGCTGCCCCAGCAAAAGCAAAAATGAAGACGATCAGTCGACGGTGGGAGGATCAAATCCGACCCAATCTTTTGCTATTTTCTGGGATATGTTAACCGCTTTACTGACAAGAAGCCATCGTCTACTGAAAGTCGGGGATCCTCTATCTCTCGGGGATCCTCTTTCTCTAGAGGATCCACTATCGAATGGTACCAAAAAATACAAAATTCCTGTTTACAGTAAGCAATGGTTCCTTCTAGGTATGGGAACCAATTCCTTTCCCTATTGTCTTATACCTGATTTTTCAAAAAAATCTTTTTGACCATTATGAGTCCTTTACCTAAATAAATGTGGGGAGATAACCTCATTGTATCTTGATTATTTTTATTAAAAGCAACTGCAAAATTATTTCATTTTTTTAAATTTTGTATGTTAATATTGCAACGTCGCGCGCTTTTCTGTCCTTCCTTTGAAGCTTATTTTATCACCAAAATGCAAGCGCAAAATATTAGATTATGCAAAAAGCTTAAATTTGTTAATTTTTAAAACTCTAAGCAATTTAAATGTTATTTTTTAATAATTAAAAGCCTTCTCTGCACACTAACTTCAACCTTCTGCAGGTCCAGAGTGTTAGACAAAAGCCACGGCGGCTAGAGACACTCATTCCGAAGGTTCCGACGCTCATCCCACCATAATATGAATAGGGCCTTCGTTTTTGACGTCTTTTTAAGAAAAAATAAATTTTTGTAAAAATGGTCAGAGCTCAACTTGGTCAAATTTATTGTTTCGCATATTAACTAAGAGTACCGTATTTTTCTTAATAGTGCGATCGGTCGGTTTATTTTTCAACCATCCTCTAGGGGGTTTTCGCCTCTGGCGTGAAAAAGGAAGAAATATGGTACCTTGGCCCTCCAATTCTTCAAAAAAGGGGGTCGGTTTAATAGAAGGGGTCTGTCTAATAGAGACAGTTGGTGCTCGTTAGGTAAACTATTGCTCGTTAGGCCAAACGATAGTGCACCTTACCAAACAATAGCCAAACCGATAGTGAACTTTATTGGTTATTGACCATTCTGAGCCCGAAAAATTTTCCCCTGGAAAAACTGACCATTTTGAGCTTTTTAAATTTCTAACGAATAAAATTGATTCTGAATCTTACCGATTCGTCTTTCCAGCTTTAGACAATCCATAAGGTATAGAACTGGAAAGACCTAATTCGGAATGATTTTGAAATTGTCTGCCAGGATATTGAAGTAAAGGAATGTTACTGTAAAAATACATTTTATTTACTAAATAAAGAATAACTCCCACCCTAATCTACAATCACATTCTGGAGATATCGGCATTTGTGTGGTTGATGTGTCACTTGTACCTAATTGTTGGTTTAAGGCATCGGTAGAGTTTTGATGTTGATTGTTAGCTTAAAAGAGAATCAAGCTTAGTTTTCCTGCCCCTTTCGGCGATTTTTCCCGTTCCAAGACAATTCATCAACACTGGGGGAAAATCGGTGAAAAATAATTCGGTGAAAAATCTTTCGGCGAAATTATTTTTAGAAATTTACAAGTAAGTGGAGCAGCCACCAAAAGACCTGGGGCCTTGTAAACATAAGATTGAGCATTCGGTGAGGGAACGGCTAGACCGCCAGCAGGGGTTGTTGGAATGTTCTTTAAAAAACAATGATAATGAGTTGAATCTAGGCTTGAGTTTACCATAAACATTGGATATTCTGTTCCGCTAGGGGCCATAATATTACCGGGACTAAACGCGGAACTTTCATTCCGTTGAACATTGGCACTTGCTGGGGCAGAACGTATTCTCTCACGCCTGTCCCTAACACACATAAAAGTGAAAATAAATTAATTTTTTAATTTAAATGGGGAAGGACAGTTCACCATAAACACAATTTAACATAGGGTATAGAAAGATTAAGAAGGATTTGGAGAGATTACAGGGGAGTTAAGGAGGATTTGTAAGGATATCGGAGGAGTAAGGGAGATTGAGGGTATAAAGTGGAATATCGTGGTTGGTGAGATCTTGTTGGTTGGTGAGATCTTATCTAAATCCCCTAAATCAAGAGAATGGGGCAATTTAGATGAGATAACGAGGAATTTCGGTTCTGTTTTCAACCCCCCAGAACAAAATCAAAAACCGGGCAAGAATCTTCTTCGGAGTTGAGTCGCTATTTCTTGCCTTTTATTGGCATTTTATTTTTGGCGTTTTGTATTCGGCAATTTTTTAAAGATTCAAAAATCTTGTTTCTCTTTGATGTTTCCAAGCGAAAAACTTTGCGCACCGCCTTGGCCCATACAATAAATTGCCCTTATGGTGGATTATCCCAAATGACATTTGATTATCTATTTTATAGTGAACCGTCCTACTGATAAATTGTTAAAAAATATTTTTACCTTCTCCTACACTGTCGTTTATTCCAATAACTAACAATAGCATATTCAACTAATGACGCCTTAGATAACGAGATTAACTACAGGCTAACTTAAGAAACTTACAAAAACCATAACGAAACAAAAGTTTAGGAAGACATCCAATCCTTTGATATAGCTAACTTTGGGCATCGAATTATTTGTTGTTGTGATTAGTGTTGTCATTGTGAGTACCTTTAATTGTTTAGGACAGTAATACATTCGAAACTCATTTTATTATACACCCTTAAGAGCTGGGGCAAACTCGTGCCTTATAATGAATGTATCTTAGATAGAGGGTATCGCTTGGACAACTCCCCTGCCTTATGACGTATCTTTTAATGAAAAGCTTGAAAAATGGCATTTTTTGGCGTTCCCAGCGAAAATTTTACGCACAGCCTCCAACGGTGAATTGTCCGTATGGTGAATTGTGCGTATTGTGAAGTGTCCTTAATCGTATTCGTTGAAACGAATGTATTTTATAAAGAGATCATCCTGTATCTTATAGAGCTCTGAATGTGTCTTATAAGGAGCCTATCTTATAGAGAGCTCCGACTGTATAATGTATAGAATCCTACCGTTGTTACACCCAAACCAACACGTGCAGGAGATGCTTCTCTGCTCAACCAGAAAGATACCCATGATATGGATACGATAAGCATTGACTTTAATATGATTTTAGTTTGAGAAATAAACGAGATTTACAGGTATAATAATATTCATTAAATAGAAGCCCAAATTTCTCGACAAAACAACTTCAATATAAAGACGGGCATATTCTCCAGAAGCTGTTGTAACGTGTGTTCCAGTTACCCGATAGCCTTTTGCGTGAAATTGGGGGAGGAAAAAGGCGTCAAAATCAACCTTTTTAAGGGGCAAATATTAGATGAATTTTTTTAATTTAAATTTACTGCATCTTCTGACTTCTTTCCATCGGAACGTCGGTTGCCCCAATAATAATCTTTAAAAATTAAAAATAATTTTAATAAAAATTTTGAGTAAATTTTGTCATCAAGATGAAAGCCTAGAAAGTAGGCTGAAGAGAACATGGTCCGTTCGGAATAAAATTTTATCTGAAAGAACTTGTTCCCTTCGGACTAGAGATTAAGTTGAAAAGAACATGTTCCCTTCGGACTAGGTAGTTGGCTCTCTTCAGCCAACATGAACAAGGCTGAAGAGAACTTGTTCCCCTCGGAAAAGAACGTGTTCCCTTCGGACTAGAGAGTAAGCTGAAAAGAACGTGTTCCCTTCGGACTAGAGTAAGCTGAAAAGAACATGTTCCCTTCGGACTAGGTAGTTGGCTGAAAGGAAATATACCATTTGGAACATGAACAAGGCTGAATAGAACTTGTTCCCTTCGGACTAGCAAGGCTAAAAAACATGTTCCCTTCGGACTATGAATACGGATTATTTTTGAGTAATTCCTCTATTAATTTACCAATATCATCAACATCATAACCATAGCTTTCCAAGCCAAGTTTACATGTTTGTGAATCCATTGGGAACAATGCCAAGTCCATTGGACACATTGCTTTTACTGTCATTCTTTGAGATGTATAAATCCTTCCATCAGGTTCGATTCTTAAAAATGTATTTGGAGTTGTAGCAACGTGGAACATTGATGTTTTCTCATTTGGAAACTTAAATTGGCTTAATTTAAATTTGAATTCATTCCGCACTACTGTAGATAAGACGAATTTCTTCAGTCAAACCGCATTATACTAGTGCCCAGCAACAAGATCCTGTCGGATTTTCCGGAGTCCAAATCTAAAGCCGGGTTTTTTCGTAATCTCCGTTTCCGTACCGGATGATGTAGAAAAATCCGGACGGATCCTGCCTTTATCTAGCTGCAGTTCCTGAATTCGGATCAAACTGGCAATCTTGTAATACCTGATTGGGACTGGATCTTGTTTTGTTATCCCAATTTTTTGTCTAAGAGAGAGATTAAGAGAGACATTGAAAGAAAGAGAGAGACCTTGAGGCCTTGAGGGAGAGACCTTGAGGCCTTCTGAAATTTCCAAATATTTACCCTATCTGTTCTTAAACAAGGTCTGACTGTATTTTAATATTATTTACGCCACCGTATCTACAATACTGCCATATTTTTTAGCTTACAAAAGTATCAGGCTTCCACAATCTATCCAAATATTCAACACCCACAGTCAACTTCTTTATTCTTCTAGCCAATTCTGGATCAATTTGGGCAAAAGCTAGTCTATTATCATACCTATTTAACAAGATTACTCAAAAATCTGTTGAATAATTACCAAGTCTGTCTCAAATAAAAATCCAAAGTAAAGTCCATATCAACTTCCGACACCGCACTGATTGATGTTATGTGTATTGAGATACCAACATCAACAGCTCCTTCACTGTAACGAGGTCTTAACCTCTTATCGTAAATGGATCCGTCTGTTAATCTATCAAGGATCTGAAAATAAAATTTGAGAGGTTGGCTTGGGAGGGGCCTAAGGATTTTTCTAAAATAGTCGTAAAATCCGTTTCTTTAAGTTTGGGATTGACAAGGAATAGTTCTTAAAGCCAAGTGAAAAATTAGAAACACACATATTATTTAAAAATTTTATTTCCACAAAAATTTATAATTCTTTGGCGTTGTGCCTAACACGATTTCGAAGATTTTTTAACTTTTTCGAATTGCTGTTTTTAGGGATTTTTTCCCAAATGGCTCTGGTTGGGTCCTGACAAAGCAGAGGCTGTGGGGGGTGTCCGTGGGACTTCGAGATAAAATTTGGTATACAGATAGATTCCGACATACCCTCATTCTTTTACCTGTGAAATGTAGCTAGTATTTATGCCATTTTTTGGAGGATGTTCATTGTTATACTGCGAATTCTCTTCCCACTGAATATTTTGCTCGTCGTTACCGTTTTGGGATGAATGTTCATTACTCATTAAGGTAGCATTTGCTCCTTTTTAAAATTATTTTTTAAAAACATTTTAAAGGACAAACCAAAATGCCTAAGGCAAAAAGCATTGATGGCACTTAACAAAATTAAAAGAAAAATTTTTAGACGAGTGTGAGGGCAGTAAAAACGTTTTGAAGAGTTTCTAGCAAAATTTCTTTGGATTCGCTTCCATCTCAGATCCTTTAATTAAATTTATGTTGGTATACGTTTAGGATATCTTTCTGCTCTATATCTCCAAGCAGATTCATTTTAATTTTCTAACTAAACTATTTTTCTCTCGAATACTATAAAAGCCTTTAATTTGTATTTATTTACCATTGTCTATTTTTATTATTTAAAAAAATATTTTATTTTTAGCTCAATAGCTATCGCTATGGTCAAGTGAATTAAAATGTTTATTTTTTGCTCATTGCTCACTTTCAACGGTTTAGTATAAAAGCTTTAGTTAAATCCCAGTCTGTTTTAGTCAGTGTTAGTCAACTCTCAATCTTGGAGTTGGTCTGAAAGACCCAGGATATAACATTATCAATAACTCGAATTGCTATCGAATTTTACATGCTCAACACACAGAATGGATTTTTGATTTTACAATCTGCTTTGCAGTAACAGGAAGGTGCCAACTATTTCCATTTATTATTTTAACCTTATAAGGTGATATTTTTTTAGGTTTCCTCCACGGATCAGAGCATTCACTCTCATCTTCAGATTTGTTCTCTTTATTTAATTGGATTTTTCTCTTATCCAACGCATTTGTATTTGTTGAAGAAGGATGTGACGAACAATTATTATGATTATAGTATATTTTAGATAATTTTTTTATTCTGTTGTCTTCACTTTGAATCATTGAAGCATTTGCCAAAAAATAAAATTTTTATCATTTTTTAAATTATGTAGTTGAATCTCACTAACACGCCGCCCCTTGGAACCGTGCTTAGCAGAAGCCAGCTGAGTATTAGAGGCAGAATTCAGCTTAGTCAAACTAGGCTGACATAATTTGAACGAATTGCGACCACCTTAAGGGATTTCTTGATGGTCTATAAGGGAAGGTATAGAGGGGCGTTGTGTTAGAGAAATTTGGCATTATGCCAAAAAAACGAAATTTTTGAGAGAAATTTTTGTTAAAATTATGTATTTTTCAAGAAAAATCGACATTTTTAATATTTTTAAAAGTATTATTGCGCGTGTGAAAAAAATTCTTCCTGACAGCATGGATTGAGTGTGGAAAGTGCATATTATGCCTTAGTTTATGAATAAATAATGAGCTGAATGACAAAGAAAACAACGTAATAAACCTCCATTTTACACTTCTTTAAGATGTTTTAGTCGGACTTTGGACAGTAAAAGATAGCGTAGCATTTAATCAGCCTCTTCCTATCCAATGGTCAAACAAACAATGGTATCCTAAATTGAGGTGTATCTGTTAGTATGATCTGATTCTATTAGAAGTTAGAGCCAGAAGGTCGGTATCCTTTGATTACTGTATCCGAAAAAAGGCCGGGTATCCTGAAATTTTTGGTTCAGATATCCGTATCCATTTACCCGAAGAGGTACTTTTCTGTTTTGCCACACCCCACCCATATATTCGCAGGATATATTTTCTATTTTTCCTTAATTCGTACAGAAAGGTCAGTTTTCTTCCTCCTCAATTTCACTTAATTTTCCCTGTGGACTCAATCTTCCGTGCTCACTCGATTTTCCCAGATGTTGATTTCAATTTTGATGACATTGGAAAGAAAAATTAATCTTTTGTTTGTTGGTGTCTCTCATTGAACATGCCAAAGGGAAAATTGAGTGAACTTGAGGAAGAAAGAAGACTAACCTTTGTGTACGAATTAAGGAAAATAGAAAATGTATCCTGCGAATATATGGGTGGGGTGTGGCAAAACAGAAAAGTACCCCCGAAGATTTCCAACTATCCAATAACCCTAATCTGGATAATCACAAAAAAACAAGTTTAAAAAATATGTATTAAATATAAAGTTCTATACTTATTTTAAAAAATAATTTTAACAAAAAACAACAATTTGGTGTGAAATAATACATTGGGGAAATCAACAAAGGAAAGTAACACGTTTCAATAAAATATAAAATAATTCAAAAAATATTATCAAAATTTGGTTAACTTGCTCAATTTATAAGCAAGTTGTGAAGAAAATATATTTTTAATACCTTGGGGAATATTATAAGCAAATATTAAAATTAGTAGTTTTTTATTTGAATTTTAGGTTGAAAAGGAAACAGATAAGAAGATAAATAGAAGATAGGAAGGTAGAAATCTGACCTCACTATGAGGGATGTCGGATCTCTATTGTAAAAATAGGTCCATAGAGATGAAACATCTATACAATTTACATTAGAGGTCCAACTGTACCATCTTGTGCCTGATAGATGGGATCGAATGAGGTGTATCTTAAATCATAATAAATGTATTGTATTTGGCATTGAGTGTTATCAATGCCAATAAAGATAAATGACCCCACTGCAGCTGAAAAAGCGTCTGAAAAACACCCAATACATATTAGATAACCAAAGTTAGAGATTCGTTTTTTCAATTTGGTTGGCAACAGAATGAAGGAGCTGTCTTGGAGAAACCTTCAATTTAACGTACATCTCATTATAAGATATAATTTTCAGCCTCTAATCAATACCCACCCCCCCCCCCCCATTTAATGAACACCCCATTATAAGATACAACCTTTTCAACCCCTGAGGGTATATCCTTTTTAAGGTTCGCGTGAATAAATTATTAAAAATAAATATTAAGAAAAAAATGCAATAAAAGTACAGAAAACATTTATTACTTCTTCAAGGAGAAATGAGGAAGTAAAAAACTTTTGCGCTACTTTCCCCTATACTTTTTTAAATTCTCTTTTTATTTTTTCTAAATTGTCTTTTTTGCCCTTTTGCCGTTTTTATTTGGCTATTTTACGTTAAGGAAGATATTGATGAGACTATTAAATGTCGATTTTCACGGGACGTCGCTGCAGGCAAAAAAGGGGAAATTTGCCAAAACAGTGGGCCAATTATCTTGTAAAGATTTTTTAAAAGAAAGTTACGTAAAATACTTGTGATTTTTAAAAATAATAGAACTTTTGGACTCACTAAAGGACATCCCGTGAGGCTGAAAGATTGTCTCTTATAATGAGCAGAGTTGCGTCGTAATTGAAAAATTTTTTTCGTAATCGTAATTCGTAATTTTAAAAAAATTTTCGTAATCGTAATTCGTAATTACGACGCAACTCTGATAATGAGGTCTACCTTAAATAGGGGGTATTAATTAAAGGCAGAAAACCCCTATCTTATAATAGGTGTACTTTAAATAGGAGGGTTTTGATTAGAGGCTCAAAAATGATACCTTATAATGTGGACCTTAAATAAAGAAGCATTGGTTTGTCAACTCCCCAACCAAATACCTACCCAACCAAGCTTTAAAAAACGTTTCTTAAATAGAGGTGTATTTATTATTGGGTGTATCTTATAGTAAAGTCCGATATTTGAAGAACGAAAGGGACCCATGCCTTGATTCGTGGTTTCAAAGTCAGCTTCTGAGCCTATTTTGGATATGAGCGACATATGAGGGAATGATGGACGCTCCCGGTTCTGAGTCCTCCCCAGTTCCTCTACTTCCCCTTTCATACTTCTCCGTCCCGGTTATTGGAAAGTTCCTATAACTCAAATTATTTGACTTTTAATTATACAAAGAAAGTTAACCGGATGTTTGCGTGTTTTTTCCTTAAACTTTTTCTTTGAAAAATATAAATGCCATGCATGTTTCTAAGAAAAAAAACAGGAAGGGGGAAAATTAGCTTGTACTTTAACCAAAATTTATTTTTAATATATCAATGTCAACTTAAACAACCTTGTTTGCTTCCTTTTTGGTAAAGAAATTGTCTCTTATAATGAGGTGTATTTAAATTGGAGGTTTTTCTTAGACCTCTCCTCCTAACGTTGACAATCGAATTCAAAAAAATTGCCCTAAATTGAGTTGCATTTTTTGGCGTTCTGTCTTTTGGCGTTTTTAAAAATTTTAAATTTGCCAGGCGAAAAGTTTGCACAGCACTGGTATCTTATTTTGAGGGTAGCTTATAATGAGGTTTATCTTATACTGAGAGGTGTATTTTAAATTGGAGATTTCTTTTAGGCAGCTTTCTTTTAGACTCTCTCACAGTTGCTCTAACTAATCAGAGTTAGAAAACGTATCGCAAATTGAGGCGTCTTATACTGAGGTGTGTCTTATAAGGAGGTTCGACTGATAATAAAAAAAATCGAGAAAATCTTTAAGAAAACAATTTTGTTAATCTGAAAAAATAAAAAAGAGAAGAAAAGACATTCAATTACAGGCAATAAAAATAAGAAAAAGAAAGCCTAGTGTAAATGAAATCTGATCGGACAAGAGGTGGTTTTGAGAATTAAGTTGGTCCAACAAAAAAATCTCCAACTGGCAAGAAATAAAAAATGAAAGGGTTTGTACTTGAAGATTTATAGGTTCTTTTTCTTTTATCTGTTATAAAATTCGCAAATTTTGTCCGCAATTTTAAATGAGGTCAGAATTGGGGTTTGGGTCTTGGGGTCTAGGTTGGGGATGGTCGGGGATGGTCGGGTTGATCTTTTGGGGTTGGTTTTTTAAATCCCCCAACCCCGAATTGGGGTTGGCTAGAAGCTGCCTATAGCTAGAAGTTGCCTATGACCAGAAGTTGCGGACAAAACTTGCGGACAAAAATTGCGGACTTTTGATAGCATTAGAAAAAGAACAACATTCCCTCAAATGTTTATCGGATAAAATCCCACCTCAATCAGATAAAACAAATTGATGTGTCCCCATTTATCAAGAAAAAAAAGAAATTTTTATGTTTTTATACAAGTACTTGAGTACCAAACAAAAATTGGGGTTTGATTAAAACAATTGTTTAAAGTTTTTGTTTTTGAAAAGGGAAGAAATGGAAGGATATGTATTTATTTTAATTGAAAAATTCCTAGTGAAAAGGAGGAATAAAAACACAAACAAATTAATTGTTTTTTAAAAAATATTATTTCAGCAAAACAATTGAATCTCCCTCGAGTAAAGGGAGATTTAGAAGATTCTCTCTTTTCCTTAGAGGGAAAGCGATCGGGATCCGGAGGGTTTGCTTGTTTCGTCTTTTCAAGCTTCGCTTTTAGTCTTTGCTAGTTTTGCTTTTCTAGTTTCTCGAGTTTCATTTTTTCGCATTTCGAGTTTCGCATTTCGCTTGTGCTGATTTAGCCTTTCGAATGGCTCAAGGAACTGAGAGTGTTCCTTAACGGATTATTTTGGGAAACTCGAGCTGGAAGCCGAAAATGATTAAATTCAAAAAAAACAAAATCGAAAGACAAAAAATTAAGGAGACGGAATATTGAAAAGACGAAATCGTCAAAAACGAAACTGGCACTCTGTGTGGCTTAAAATAACAAATAATAAAATATTAAAACAAAATTATTGACAGCAAATTGGCGTCGTTTAAGAAAAATATTTTCATGAGGGAGGAGTTCATAAAAAAGAAGAGGAATTCTTTTTTGTACATCATTTTCCAAGCATTCTCCAAAAATACACACCAAATGAATAATAAATAGCCTTATATGAAATACAATTGATGCCATTTCGCCGCGACCCCAGTTTGGCGCGGAGCCATAACTCAGCGTAAAAATGTCCTAGCAAGACATTTTTGGTACCAATCGACGCGGCTTGACTAGCTGCGTCGATTGGTACAAAATTTGTCGCGATCCGACTCCCCTAGGTTAAGTTATAAGGATTTAAGTAGACTGTTGCGCCGGATCGGCACGTACCCCTCTCCTCCTTCACAAATTGCTGCCAGCCGTAAAAGAAAGAAAGTCCTTTAAGTAATAAATGGTTAAAGAGGAGACAATAAATAATAATAAAAAGAAAGAATAATAATAATAAAAATAATAAGCCGCTGGCCCTCCAGAAAAAGAAGCTCTTCCTTGGCACTATTGAATAGGGGCATAAAGCAGAAAAAATTGAAGGAATTAATGAACAGATGATGGCATACAAATTATGCACAGTTTAAATTTGATCATGCGATAAATGAAAAATTGTGGGAAAAAACAAAGAAAAATGGGATAATTGAAACAATAAAGTTGCCAGATTTGTAAGATTATTAGGTTTGTCCGCAACTTTTTTGCGGATTTTTTGTATTGTGAGTTTTTAGGGTTCCGCAAGTTTTTTGAACTTTACGGATTGCGGATTTTTATTAAGGATCGAAATTTGCGCACTGAAATTTGCGGATCGAATTTACGGATTATAATTACGGACTGAAATTTGCCAATTTTAATTGCGGACTTCTCTGTCCGCAATTTTTTTGCGGATTTTTTGTATTGTGAGTTTTTAGGGTTCCGCAAGTTTTTTGACCTTATGGATTGCGGATTTTAATTACGGTTGAAATTTACGGACTGAAATTCTAATTCGGATGGAAATTTGCGGACTTTTCTGTCCGAAATTTTTTTAATTATTTTTTCGCCAGCTGTGACTAAGAGGAAATATGTATGTACATGTAGTAAATTATTTTTGTTACAATTAAAAGGAAAAAAAATATTTTTTAAAATATTTTATGTAGATTTAAAGGAAAAATGCAATGTGTAAAAATACATTCACAAATATTTTATAAATAATCTTTAGTCCAAGGTTGGAATTTGTTTTTTTTTATTTAAAGGAATTTTCCTAGCAAAAGAATGCCCTCCTAGCAAGTCGACTGGTTGAAGATTATTTTTTAAAAATTTTTTGGAAGAATGTTTGTTCTCGTAAAATGTCAAAATGTCAAAAATTATACAATGATTTTTTTATGTTTTGATAGTTTTGGAACAAGTAAAGGTGATTTGACAGTGAAAGATATAGACAGCTTTAATGTTTTTGTGTGAAGATGGGGGTCAGTCCGCCGCGAGCCCATTACGGCGCGGCGCCATAACTCACCGTAAGATTGTCCTATCGAGTCAAATTTGATGTCAAACGACGCAGCTCGACGTGTTGCGTCGAATGATACCAAAATTGCCCTGATCCGACAATCGCACGCTTACTTATAGACTTCGCGCCCGACTGGGTTGCGGTCATAAGGGCGTCTGTAATAGGGAAAATGATTGAAAAATGAACAAATGGCTGGACAAAAAGGTAAAAAAAAGTCCTTTTTAAGATGGCGACAGGAAACATATAAAAATAAGCGGCTGTTTTTTCTAGTTATGTTGAATCAATTTTTGGAGATTTTGATTTTATGGACATTGGATGTTATGTTAAAAATATTAGTCAATTTTATTAAAGAAAATGTCCGAAATATAGACTGACCTCACTAAAGAATAACCTCAATTTTAGTGACACGATTTTTAACGGAAAGCCCTTCTTAAAGAAACCCTCTAGTTTGTAGACACCTCATTACAATGATGAACTTCTAGCCACATATGTTTAGAGATCGGTAATTTTAAAAATCCTTGACCTTGATTTTAGGTGAGGGTCTTCAAGGAAAAATCAAGGAAACACTGAAAAATGTTTTGATCTGGGTTGTGGATCCAGGAAAGAATAAAGTTCTGGATCCAGATCCAAGACGATCTCTAGGGTATAACAGTGGGTGTGCTGGTTTCGAATTTCGTCGAGTTTCGCCTTTCGATTTTCGTCGGGTTTCGCCAATTTTTGGAGATTCGACATCGTTCTTAAAAATCATTCTCGGTTCATCCCAAGGCTTTAGCGAAGTCCGACCAATTAATTTATTGCAGATAAAATTTAAAATTTTTCCCTTCAAAGGACAACTGTTTTTTGTTGATTTGTACTAAAACCTCCTACTAGATAAACTAATTTAATTCGTTTGTTTTAAAAGAGAAAACACACCTTTTTAATTAAATAATTAATGTTTTTGAAAAAAAGTTATTTTTTTCTTAATTGTTGGAAAAATAGTAAAAAAACATTTGTCATGTGGAATAACAAAATTTCGCTTTTAAAATCTTTTTTGATAAAGTGCAGAAACTTAAAACACAAGTTTTAAAAGAAAAATTAAAAAAAGACAATTTTGACCCAACTGAGCCTTTACGAATTGTAAAAAATTTTTTAATTTTAAAGTGAAAGTATTAGAGATCAAGCTGGGTCTGGATCAAGGCCAAGGTTTTTCCTGTATCAGAGTCCAGGCCCAGGCATTTTTTGACCTTCCTGGGATTTTCCTTGCCCAGGCATTTCTTGGCTAAAGGCCCAGGCAATAAATCAAACCCGAGACAGGCCCAGGCTCTTCAAAAATCTCGATCTCTAAACAGTATATTAGAGTTATAAATGTAGGTAGAATTCATGCATTCATATGGTCTGACTCAGGTATATGCCTTTGAAGCGAAAAAATCTTATACTGCATAAGAGCTATAATGAGGGAGAGGGGGATATAAACTAAACCAAAAAATTTTTTTTCAATTTTTATTTGAATAAATTAGATATATTTGAGCGATAAATTAGAAAGATTTTTTCATTTCCAAAAATCTATTTTAAATTCACTTTTTTTTCTAACTATTTGACTCACTTGCCTCATATTCTTCATAAGTCTTTTCGTCCATCAATTGCGAAAGTTCACTTGGATCAACGATTTTTAATTTATAAAGCCAACCTAAAAATTTGAAAAATTTTATAAAATAGAGGTGGAATCTCATTATAAGGTACACCCTTAGGTCTGAAAAATAGTCTCTTATAACGAGGTGTTTCTTAAATAGAGGTCGAATCTGAATAAAGATACACACTTTGGACTAAAAAATTGATACAATGGGGAGTATGTTAAAAAGAGATCGGTCCTCATTATAAGGCACCCTTTGGTTCTACAAAGTGTCTTTTATGTGTTTATTGAATAGAGGTCGAGTCACTCTATAAGATGCCCTTCCGGATCTGAAGAATAGTCTCTTATAATAAGGTGTTTATTAAAAAGAGGTCGGTCCTCATTACAAGACGCCCTTTTGTTCTACAAAGTGTCTATTATGAATATTTATTAAATAAAGGGTAAACCTCTTTAAAATAATACCCCCTTTCGGGTCCAATGAATAGTCTCTTATAATGAGGTAATTTATTAAAAAGACGGTCTCAGGCGGTTTCCCGATCCCCATGAACCAGGCCCGTAGCCAGGGGGGGGGGGTGGGGGGGGGGGAATTCCCCCCCCCCGAAATGGGAAAATGGAAAAAATTTGGGGAAAGACTGGGGCAAAAAAAGTGAATTTTTTTGGCCTACGGCCTCTGAAATTTAAAAAATTTTCGCCTGCGGCGCTAAAAAAGGACGAAATCTGGCTTCTTGAGGTCCAAAATTCAAAAAATTTTCGCCTGCGGCGCTGAAAATCAAATTTTTGGCGCCTGCGGCGCCGAAAAAGTGAATTTTTTTGACCTACGGCCTTCTAAAATTCTCAAAATTTTCGCCTGCGGCGCTGAAAATAAAAATTTTCGGCGCCTTCGGCGCCAAAAATTTGGCGCAAAAAATTCCCCCCCCCCCCCCGAAAAAAAATCCTGGCTACGGGCCTGCCATGAACAACCAAATTATAAAAAACGTGTATCTTAAATAGAGGTAAATCTATTATTGGAGTGTCTTATAATAAAGAATCAAAGAAAAACCTTTCTCAAAACAAGATTTGTTGACCAGCTGCGGCTTATCCTGAACCTCTGCGTTCAGTTCGACAACTTCTCCAGTCACAGGTGAATACAGATCAGAGGCAGCCTGAAATACAAAAAATTTAGTAAATAAAGAAATGAGCTTTAATAAAAATGACCAAGATTTGCCTTAACAAATTTTATTGATTTTTGCGGACAAACTTTGCGGACAAATTTTTTTCTACCAATTCTTTCCTTTTTGTCTTGGTCACTAGAGATCAAGATTTTTGAAAAGCCTGGACGTGTTCCTAGACTATGGGTTTAAATTATTGCCATGGGCCGAATCATGGGCTTGTAGTCCAGGAAAAATCCCGGGACGGTCAAAAAATGCCCGGGCCTGGACTCTGAGTACAGGAAAAACACAGGCCTAGGTCCAAGTCCAGCTCGATCTCTATTTCACCGGATTCAAAATCGAAAAATTTTTTGGCTTTATTAAGGTTTAATAGGGTACTTATTCCCCCCCCCCAGTCCGCGACTTAGTCAAAAAAAAACTGAAAGAAAATTGTCCGCAAAAGATCAAAAAGTTGTCCGCAAAAATTTTTTAAAAAAAACCTTAACACTTTCAATCGCCCCAGCGGTGTCATCTTTGGCCAATTTAGTACCTACTTCAGGCAATTCTACATAGACCACATCACCAAGTGATTGCTTAAAAATTAATTTAATTTTCTCAAAGAAACTTAAATGAAACCTGTGCAAAGTCGGTAATACCAACAGTTCCAATTTCACCTTTAACATGTTTTTCCAGCTCAATCCATTCATGCTTCTTTGTGTAATAACGATCTGAAAATGAATTTAATAAGTAAATGGAAGAATTTTAGAGATAGGAGAGGAAACCTTGCGGACAGATTTTTTGCGGACATTTTCAATTTTTTGCGGACATTTTTTGCCTTCGCATTGAATTTTTCAAAGAAATCCGCAAAAAATAAAAAAATTGTCCGCAAAAATTTGCATAATGTCCGCAAAAAGGGGAAAACGTGTTTTCTCCCCTTTTTGCGGACATTTAGTAATTTTTGCGGACAATTTAGTAATTTTTGCGGACAATTCTTACGGATTTATCTTTTGCGGACTCTCTTAGTCTTTTTACGGATATTCTCCCCTATTTCTATTAGTCATTTTTTCGGTTTCATTTCGAGACATTTTTCGGCCTCATTCGTATCGGGCCTGCCCGAACGGACCTTTTTCGGGGCAAAATTTGATGCCCTACTCGATCTTTCGGACCGGGCCGGCTCGGGCGCCCAACCCTAAATCAGGCGAAGAGTAAATAAGAAAAGGGGGTGGAAGAGGGGAAAAAAGAGGGGAATCCGCAAAAAAATGTCTGCAAAAAACCTAGGGATTTCAATTTACAGGGTCATAAATACTCTAAAATTAAAAAAACCTTCAACTTTGCTCGTAAAAGAGAATTGCCGGAAACTGTTTCTTTCGCTTTGAGCAATCCGCTGCAACGTCCAATTTGAAGTTAATGTTGAATAAATAGTTAAAGTTATTGGTCGAATAGATCGAAACATTCTAAAGCCTGAAAAATCTAAAAAATGAAAAAAAGTTGATAAAATCTTAGAAAAAAGCTTAGCTTTACATAGTTGGACAAATTTTGTTCAGACTCAACTGGCCGCATTGACGTTATTTTTCGATATTTTGAGTTTTACCATTTCGATATTTTACTTTTTGTATTTAATCGATACTATCTTTTCTTCTCATCCGCTCACCAGGATGAGAAGCAAAGAAATCGTGTTAATTCACAAAAGTTTTGGAATTTTTTTTTGCTTTTTTTGTTTTAAATATCCTTAATTTTTAGAACCTATTCTATTATTTTTAAAAAAATTTTAAATATGTCTTCAAAATCAAACCGTTCAAAGGACCAACGAGAACAAGCGATTCATGTCGATGCTTCTACAGATGAGACAAATGCTAATTCGACTTCTTCAACTTCTCTGAATGCCCATCTAATTGGTTATATTGAGTTTTGTTAACTATTAAATTTCGAATATTTTGCAGATTCTTTTTTCTTTAGCGTCTCCACACATTGGAGACCGAGAAGACTCGTTTAGAAGTGCGGGTAAACGAAGAGGTTGTTGAGCGCAAGGAGAAGGAAAGTCTGGCTACAATTTATAAAGTTGAAATTGAAGAGCTGCGCAAGCAGCTTGAATATTCAACACGTGACAAGGCTAAATATTTAGATTATCTTTTAAAGTTACGAATTTACTATCTTTTAAGGTTACAAATTGAGCACGACATGGCAACCAGTGGCTATGAAGAACTCAAGTCTCGTATTCCACATCTGGAGCAAGAATTTAAGAAGGCGAAAAAGGGCACCCCAAATACCGGGATGCTTCTGCTCGTGCTCGTGAAGAGGCGACTTCTCTTGCTGTTCAAAATCGTGAATATGAACGTACAACAAAAGACCATCAAGGGATTGTTGATGTGCTTACTCGTCGTATTAAGGTTTTTCTTTTAAACGTTATTAAGTATTTATCTTAAAAATATATGAGGTTGAAGAAACTCTTCGTAGAGCGCATGAAGATGCCGAAATTCAGCTTCAACAACGGGACGAGAAAATTGCTCAATTAAAAGATGAAATTCAACGTCTATCATTCAAGTATCAGGATTTGCTTGATTTAAAAGTTAAACTGGACACTGAATTGAATGAGTTTCATCGAATTTGTGATCAGGAAGATGCTCGGTTATAAATACTTTTTTTCCATCATGATGGTTATTTTTATAGGTCAGGTATCACTCCATTAGGGACTCCAAATACTGCAACAACCTCTAATCTGAGTGCTCCATTGTCATCTACACGTGTTGTCCTTCGATCTTCAACTTCTGTATTCAATGGAAACGGCAGTGGTGACGATTCTATGATTGGATCTCAACGTGGAACAAAGCGTCGTCTGAACCAGGAGGATCTTGTTAGCATTGGTCAATCGACTCAAAAGTGGACTGTTTGTTTTTATTTTTATATTGTTTTAATTTTATTAATTAAAAACTACTAGGCCCGTAGCCCCCCCCCCCCTCCTCTCGAAATGGGGACAAGGGAAAAAATTGGGAAGGGATGAGAAAAAAAAGTAAATTTTATATCCTAAAAATTAATGCACTTTTTTGTAGTCTTCTGGCGATGCAGCTGTTGACGTGATCATCGATGAACATGACACTGATGGTAAATTCATTCGGCTTTACAATAAGGGAGATGAAACTATCTCTGTTGGCAATTGGGTAGTTCGATCAACAGCTGGAGGAATTGAGACTACTTTTAAGTTTCCTTCGCGTGCAAAGATTTTGCCAGGAAAACATGCTACGGTTAGATTTGATTATTTAACTGAACTTTGAAAATTTTTAAATTGTTCAGATTTGGTCTAGCAATGCGAATGCTGAACACCAGCCGCCAAACAGTTATGTCATGAAAAACCCTGTTTGGCCACATGGTCGCTGCATTTGTACGGAACTTTTGAATCCTGATCTTAAAGTTTATGCTTGGCGTAAATCAGTTCTAGGAATTCAAAATGGATCTGATGCTGACAAGAATTGCATTATCATGTAAATGAAGACAAATTATTTCGTTATTAGGAAAATATCATTTTTTATTTATTACGAGTATTATTTCAGGTAATTTAATCATTAAAGTCTTTAAATTGTTTTTTTTAAAATATTGTTATCATTTATATCAAAAATGTTAAAGACTTTAATGTTGACCCCTCTCATCTTCATGTTTCCTATTTTGAAGACAATAGATATCTCTAGACATTCCCGGCCATATATGTCAAATGTTTTGCTACAATAAATTTTTTATTTTTTTGTTGCAAATTTTTGTTTTGAAATTTTTTGCTCATAAAATTAATTTATTTTTTTCTTGTGTAGAATCGATTTCAAAGGCTTATTTTTTCTACGGTAAATATTGACCACATTATTTTTGGTATTTTTTTGTCAATAATTTTGTCGAATTATTCTTTTTAAAGGTAATGTTATGCAATCATTCAAAGATGCGGCTGTACTTTAGCCGGTGGCCCACTCAGAAACGGGTCAAATTATATACCATTCGATTCGTCTCGGCGAGCTGAGTCGAATGGTACCACTCTTTTTTTGCGGAAATTCCTGCGAGCCGAGATATAGGTCCTTAAAAACCGAAAAACCATAGGGGGGATCAAGCACATTTTTGTGGTGAAAAATTCGAATATGCAAATAATAGCTCATTCGAAAGAGCTCGTCAAGCTGAGTCGAATGCAGAGCTGTTTCGAAATTTCGATTTTCGATTTTCGTTTTTCGATTTTCGAGGTTTTTTTCCTTTCGATTTTCGATTTCCGATTTTCGAAATTTAGCAATATTTTCGATTTTCGATTTTCGAATTTTTGAAAAAATTTGAATTTTTGGCGCCAAAAAGTAGGAATTCTGACTTAACGGCTATCATAAATTTAAAAAATTTTCGCCTGCGGCGCAGAAAAAGGAAGATTTTTGGCTTAAGGATCCTCCAAAATTTTTTAAATTTTCGCCTGCGGCGCTGAAAAAAGAAGCATTTGGTGACTTGGTTTTCCAAAATTTTTTAAATTTTCGCCTGCGGCGCTGAAAAAAGAAGCATTTGGTGACTTGGTTTTCCAAAATTCTAAAAATTTTCGCCTGCGGCGCTGAAAAAGGAAAAATTTGGTGACTTGGTCTTCAAAATTCTCAAAATTTTTGACTCGGGTGGTAAAAAAGGAATCCCTGATCTATTAACAATATTATGTTTTGGATCCGGTATATTGTAGGATTTGCTTGAATTATTGTGGATTTGGAAGCCCACCCCCATGCCGGAACCTTATACCTGTACCGCCCAACCCTATAAGTAAAGCGGCCTAGCTCTGTTTCACTATATCAGGGGATTTTACTCAAATCCTCCATTATCCCTCTTAATCCTCACAGATCTCATGATGAAATATTAATCTTTAACTTTCCACCCGGAATCTGGAGACACCATGAAGCGGCCCAGAAAATCACCGGCTCCGGAGCCAAGAAATAATAGGTCGGAGTTGGTGCCGTAGATTCGGATAACAAAATTTTGGACTTGGATATCCGTGATTTCCCTGGATCTCCTATTCTAGTCATTAGTTTTTCCTAATCCTTAGAGTTAAGGTAACGTTGGAGAGGAAAAGGAAATAAAAGGAAAGAAAATGTGGGAAGATAACCGATAAGTACCAAAAATTTATTTTTGATTTTTTTATTAAAAATTTTTTTTCGATTTTCGTTTTTCGATTTTCGAGGTTATTTTTCTTTCGATTTCCGATTTTCGATTTCGAAGATTTTAAAAAATATTTTCGATTTTCGATTTCGATATTTTTGGATTTATTTCGATTTTCGATTTCCGATTTTCGAAGATTTTTTTGTTTCGAAACACCTCTGGTCGAATGACACCAAAATCAACGAAATCCGACTTGATTTGACAAAATTATGAGCATTTGTTTTAGCTCCTTACCTTTGGTCTACGTGCAGGTTTTTCTTGCTGGGGAGGAAGCCAGACATGCCGACCGAAGCTAAAATAGGCATAAGTTTATGTTACGAGCCCAGACCCAGCGCCCGTAGACTCCCCGCGAGGCGCGTGCCGCAAAACCCCGCGCGAAGCGCGGGGTTTTGCACAAGCGCCTCGCCGACGCCCCATAGGTTTATGTATATTGTTTTTTCTGTTGTAACTTTGTCTAGATTTGTTCAATCACTGTGATCTTGGTGTCATTCGACTCAGCTCGTCGAGCTCTTTCGAAAGAGCTATAATATGGTTAAAAAATTCTAATCCCAATAATCGCCCCTTTGGATCTTCGGTTTTTAGGGGTCTATATCTCGGTCCAATCAAGTCGGATTTCGATGATTTTGGTGTCATTCGACTCAGCTCGAGGAGCTCTTTCGAATGAGCTATCATTCGAAAAATCGAATTTTTCACCCCAAAATTGAGCTTACTCCCCCCTATGGTTTTTCGATTTTCAGGTACTTATATCTCGGCTCGTAGGAATTTCCGCAAAAAAAGAATGGTACCATTCGACTCAGCTCGCCGAGACGAATCGAATGGTATATATTTTGACCCGTTTCTGAGTGGGCCACCGGCTAAAGTATATCCAAAGATGCAGTAAATCCATCTTAATCCCTCCAGATTTTAAAAACTGCGGGGACTAAAATGTCCCCTTTTGAGTGAGGACTCAACCGGCCGGGACTCAACCGGAGGGACTCAATGATCCCCTACCCTCGCCCAAAACGACGCGCGGCCATAACGGCGCAAAGCCATAACTTGCTTTAAGTTGATTGAATCCTACCAAATTAAGCATTAAACGATTCCTCTCATCGAGCTAAAGAGAATGGTACCAAAAATGTTAAGGATAAGAAATTTTTATTCAAGTTATGGCTTTGCGCCGTTATGGCCTCGCGCCTATTTGGGCGTCCCCCCTACAAATATCGAATGATTGCGAGAACAAACACAAAAGCTGTGTAAAATTTTCTCTCTTCTTTTACACATTTACCAAAAAATTTATTCAGCCGATGCATTCAATGAAAAAATCCTCCTCACTCATCACATTGCCTCAAAAAAGTTAATGCTCATTTTATTTCTATTTTTGGCAATCCCGGAGAATTGGGGTCCCTGCGAAAAAAAAGTTTAAAAATAAGAAAAAGGATTTTTCTAGGATAAAAAAATATGCTGATTACGAATCCGAGCTCAGATTTTGAAAAAGTCGAATCCCGAACCCGAACCAAATTTCGAACCCTGAACCCGAATTTCGAAAATGCATATGATAGCTCGTTCGAAAGAGCTCGGCGATCTGCATCGAATGACACCAAAATTAACGTGATTGGACAAGTTTAGACAAAGTTATGACATAAAGTATACCTATGGGAGTACTGTAGGAGTCGGCGTCTTATGTCATAACTTTGTCAAAACTTGATCAATCACTGTAATTTTGGCGTCATTCGATTCAGCTCGACGAGCTCTTTCGAATGATCTATCATTTGTAAAAACTTTTTTTACTCCAAAAAATCACCCATGTGGTTTTTCAATATTTAGGGGTCTGTATCTCGGTTCAATCCGGTCGGATTTCATTGATTTTGGTGTCATTCGATGCAGCTCGATGAGTTCTATTATTCTGTTGAAAGACTGGCCATTTTGTACAATTTCTGATAATGTTAGGGGTCAAAAATCCTGTTCGGGATCAAAAGTCCGAATTCGGGTTCAGGATTCGACTTTTTCAAAATCTGAGCTCGGATTCGTAATCAGCATATTTTTTTATCCTAGAAAAATCCTTTTTCTTATTTTTAAACTTTTTTTTCGCAGGGACCCCAATTCTCCGGGATTGCCCTATTTTTATTTTAAAAAATTGGTGAATGCAAAAGCGTTTGGACTGGTCTATCAACTCTTTAAATTAAAATACCGACTAATTAAAGGCCAAAAATGGCTAAAAAGAAGAAAAAATCTTTAAAAAAAGTGCCCGATAGATAAAGGGCCCTCTTAAAATTTTGAAAAAAAATAAATTTTAAAAAATAAGAAAAAAATGCCCAAAATGTCCAGAGCCTAAAATTTCCATTTTATTTTAATTTAAATACTTTATTTCTTTATTCTTTACTAATCCTGCCCAAATACCTGCAGATTTTTATTGTTGTCTTTCATATTTACTGTTAATTTTGCTGTTTCAAAGGCTTATTTCATTGCGTGGTTTATTCTCAAATTTTGTGTAAATTAAGACGAGTTTCATTCTTATTTTTGAACTTAAAAAGGTTTACTTTTTTTGGGTTCTTGAATTTCGGACCTCTTTTTCCTTGGAAGGCTCATAAGGGCGTTTTTGATGCGTGACTCTAAAGTCGTGGGCAGCTACAGGGAAAATGAACAAAAATCAAATCTATGAGTCGAACGATGATTCACGAATTCTATTCACAGATCCAAATTCTCAAATCCATTCACGTTACAGATACTGGGGCTGTGCACAGAAAAATTTCGTGCGGAACGAATTAAAATTTCGTCAGACTGGAAAAAATAGTCTGACCATTATGAGCCTTTTGAATAAGTTAAGAATGGGGCCGACATTCAAACTTATCACTTTTTAGAGAAAAAATAATTTTTTAATTTAATTAAGTTATAACAATGTCGGACAACAATTCAATCAATGTATCTGAAAATTCTGAAGGTTATGTAAGAGAGGAGCCAAGGGAAAATTTGGAGGATGTTAATTATAACCGTGGTGTCAGTGGTGATGAAACTTTGGAAGGTTTGTTTAAATTTTTTGATTGTGTGATGGAAATTGGGGGGTTGTCATTTAGTCCCTGGCTTTTTCACTTTAATTTCGAGGTTTGTTGTGTAGTATTGATTTTTTGTTGGGTCTATCGTGGGGGTTCTATATGTCGGTCCAACCCAGTTTGAGTTAACCGACCCATCCCTGTGCGACTATTCAAGGTGATATTTTAGAAGCTAACGGATATTTATACGTAGTTGCGGTAGGTCCCAAACTTACACTTAATCCAAATGTAAACATCAAAATTAACGAAAAGACTGGGAAATGATATTACCAAGATTTAAAATTATCTCTGTTGATTTATTCAGATCAAGTCGAGCATTCACGTCTTCAAGATGGCCATCAGCCAAATTCTCAATCAGTTAGTGATGATGAAGAAGATATGGTCAAATTTGATAACAATGACCTCAACTACGATGATTATGACGATTATGAAAGCGAGGCTAGGGAAAGAGTTGAAAGCAACAATTCGAGCGTTCATTTACAACATTCAGAGGATTTGAAAGAAAACGAGGTTTCTTCATTTTTGATTTTTTACTTTAGTTTTTAAGATGGTTGGCGTTAGCGATTCAGAGGGCGAGGAAGCTGATGATGTCCAAAAAGGTTAAAATGATTTTTGTGGTTTTTTCTTTTTCTTCCAAGTTTCCCAGGGAAATTCTGGGAAATAAACAGGGGTACGAGCCAGGCATGTCCTGGGTTGAGGAAAAGGCGGTTGTGGTTTCGGATCGAGTTTTATAAATTTTCTTCAGCTCAGGGTCACCCCCTCCCTTCCTCCGAAACCGACCACTGATACCAAGGGCGTAGCTAGGGGAGCTTCTGGAGCTAAAGCCCATTCCTCCCTCCCCTCTTTAAATGGGGAACATGGATAAATTTGAGGAGAGCGTTGGGCAAATTCTTGAAATTGGCCCCCTAGCTACGCCCTTGCTAGATACTTCCTTGGAAATAGGGAAGAAAAGGAAAAATAAACTCATAAAGGTCAAGTACCTTAAATTAACCTTTTAGCAGATCAAAAATACGAAAAGAGGACGGCTGTGAATAACGATTTTGAAGAGAATGAAGCTGGGGAATTGCCCGATGATGATGATGGCATTGAAAAGCAAAAAGAAATTAAAAATAAAAAGGCAGTTGAAGAATTAGAAGAAGGCGAACTTGAGGATGAGGACGATGAAGAGGAAATTGAAGAGGTTTAATTTTAGCTTTTCTGGATAGTTTAAAAAATGAGTTTTTTTACAACATTTCGGCCTGTAGACGATCCCGTGACTAGTGATTTGTTCAGTTAAGCTGATCATTATTGAAAATTTTGTGCCGAAAGCGCCCTTGTTTGCGGACCTATTCTATAGCTTATTTACACTAGAACAGCTGTGAAAGGATGTTCTAACAGCAAGGGCGTAGCCATGGGGGCTACGGGGCTGAAGCCCACCCACCGAAATGGGGAAGAAATTAGGAGATCTATCTTCTTGGGATTCGCAAGAACGTCGAAGCATGTCGTTTAGTCTAACGGTCATTCCTTGTTCCTAAGTTCAGTTTGGGAAGGTCTCGAACAGAAATAGTCATTAGACCCAAATGAATAAATAATTTATTTTTAAAAAATTTTTTTCAGAAAAGTTCTTCGCCTCCACTTATGGTCAGCTCTTCACAGTCCAGTATTTGTTTACCTTCCTTAGTTTCAAGTCTAAATGCAGCTCAACCGATAGAATTGCCTTTGCCTATAGTTGAACCTATTCAAACATTTAAACCTAGGGAAGTTTGTCGTTTCTATCTTCGGGGGATTTGCAAGAATGGCGAAGCATGTCGTTTTAAACATTGTACACAGTCAATAGTGCAGGTTTATTTTAGAAATATTTTTCAATTTGTTAGTTAGAGTGTTCAGTCGGATATTACTGTAAGATACATACATCATATAAGATGTATTTTTTGATTGTCGGGTGGAGTATCAAACCCGGTTTTTGGGGATATAGGTTCGATGCCTGGCTCCATGTGGGAAGTTCCCCACCTGAAAAAATCCTGGTTACTGACATGATAGCACTTAAACATGTCTGTGTGGGGGTGGGAATAGGGTCTAGCTTTCATTGTTTAGCCCGAGGCTGTAAGGCATTTACTTGCTACTAACAAGTATATAAAAGCCTTGGCACTCCCCTTCCACGTGTATGTATTTAGTTATCCTTTGTGATCTATTCGAAAAAAGATACGATTTTTTCTGGCCCAGTTATCTTATAGTGAGGTTCGACTTTAGTACCAAAACAGTTTATTATTTTTTAATTTTATTTTTAGCGACCTCGTATCCAAATTGTTTCAACCTCATCTTCTTCAACTTTAATTACAGGCGGTGGAAAAGTACCAATTTATTACAACAACAAACTGTCAAATTTAACAAGCATTCCTCCGCCAATTGGCCCTCCTGTAAGTTTTAAAAAGTTTAATTTTTAAAAAGGGCTGGGCTAGATAAAGTAACTCAGCCTGGATTCAAAGAAAGCTCCCAGGCCTTGATCTGCTTCAAGTCTGCCTTTATGGAAACCCCTAAGCCCTGGCCCACACTTTTTCAATTTAACTTTACCATTTTCTTCTAATTTTAAGATTTCTTTACTCTCAACCGTTTTTTCTCCACCGCCAAGCGCTTCTTTGCTCACACGTCAACCTCCGCCGCCGCCACCTGCGGCTCCTCCACCTCCTTCCAGTACCGAAAGTGTTGCCTGGATGGAAGGACTTAAAAAAGCTCGTGAATTGGCTCGTCGTCAAAAAGGTGGAGAAATTCTTCCAATGGAATCAAACCAAACAATTGATGACAATGATGATCAAAGCAGTCTAAGTCCGCCTTTAGCCTGTTTGTCGCCGAACCCAAGTCAAACTGATGATTCTTATTATGTTACTTCGTCAGATTTGTAAGTTTTTTAACTTCATGGGGCTGTTTTCCTATAAATTTTTTTTTATTTAAGAAACAAGCCAATGAATTTCATTCAAAATCGCCGTACAATCCCTGCACGTGTTGTTGTTGAAGCGGTTTCTGTTGTTTCTCGTGCAAAAGATTTGCCTTCTATAACGTCAACAAGGTCTCAATCAAAGGTTTTTTTATAAGTTTGAATGATTTTTTACTGATTTTTCTAAATCTAGTCTAATATTCCTTCACTAATGGACTCAATGATTGAACATTCAACGACAGGATCGATATCTTTAAGCAAATTGCAAAAAGGTGAACGAGATAATTTTTGGAATTTTTATTTTGTTCTTGGTTCCATGCTTTTATTATTTCCTTTTTGGGGGGCCGTGAAACGTTTTTGTGATTCTTTTTGCGGATACTGTCTCGACCGCTACAAAAGTCGAAAACTTTGAACCCCAATAACTTTTCGAAATGGGGTCAGGGCCAAAAAGAAAAAATAGGTACTAGGTTTTTGACCATGCTGTATACGTTGGTATACTTTTTATGTTTAAGTTTTTGGGCATAGTTTGCGGTGGTTCCTGTTGGAATCCTCAAAAGACGTCCGCAAACACGATCACTTTTATCTTACATTACCCTTTTTTCTTTTCCAGGCCAACAACGTCAAGTATTAATTACTGGTTCAAATAGCAGTTATTCCGATCCATGGGCCAGATCTTCATCAAATTCAGTCGTTAAAAGAAGTGACGGGAAAATAATGAAAAGCCGTACTGAAATGGTTGTTAATGTTGCTGAACGTCCAAGTAGAAGACGTCGCCGTAGCTCTTCTTCAAATTCATCTTCGGTTTTTTTTAAATTTAATCAGAAAATTTTTTTAAATTTAAAGGACCATTCCTCCCAACGCCATGTTTCCCACAAACGTTCTAGCCGAAGATCTGATGAAGATAGACATCATAAAGAAGCTGAACGTGAAAGAGAAAATAAATTGAAGCGACATAGTTCTGAACAACATAGTGATTCTTTTAATGATATAACTTCGCCTGATGTGAAAAAATCAAAGAAAGCTCATAGCAGTAGTCGGAGAGATGCTTCTGTTGGTTCTTCTGTGTCTTCCGCATCATTTAAGGATTATGACAAGAGAGAAATTCAATCATCTGTTATTAATACAACGAAAAGGAACAGCAGGTTTTACTTGAAGAATTTTGAGCCCAAATAAAATATTTTAGAGAAATTTTTTAAAAGAGGAAAATCTAATCGAAGTTGCTTGGAAGAGCTTCAGTGTAGCCCAAGCCTTTGGGGTGTTCCACGCTCTACGGTTTATTCATAGTTTAAAGTAAGGGAGAAAGTTTATATTAAGCATGTTCCCGTAATGTTTTCCTGGTTCTAAAGAACGAGCGGGGCCAAAATTCCTGTAGAGACGAAATGCCAAAACGTAAACCCCAATAAGCCGCCGAAATGACAAATTGGTATTACGGCACGAAAACGTATCTGAATTTCTATTATTCTATAGACCTTCGAAGCTCTTGGGTTACTCTAAGGGTTTGGTCATTGTTGAAACTCTTCAATGGAACTTCGATTAGATTTTTCTTTCTAAAACTCCTTTGTATTCTAGTTTGGCTTATGCAGAGCTTATTGCTAAATATGTAGAAGAAAATTTTTTTCTAATTTTTCAGATCCTCTTCAAACGATTCTTCTGATACATTTGCTTCTCTTTCTCGTGAATCGCATGCAACACTTGGCGCTTTACTCACCCATAAAACTTCTGCTACTTATTCTCCAAAAAATAGATTTAAAGGGCCGAGAACACCACCAATGAATGAAAGACCTGAAAGTAAAAATTCTTCTTCGGGATATGATGATTATGGAAATAGAAAAATTTCTGTTGAAAGTGGTCTTTCTTTTGGATCAAACGAACGGTTTAATTTTTTATTTTTGATTATTCTTTGGGACTTTTTGGATATGCCGCCCCTATGTTTGAGTATCAGGGTTTTTTTACAAAATGCTCGGACGTCTTCCTTTTTCTATTCCACTCCATTTCCCTCTGCCATATTCAGATGGGAGATTTAATAAAGGAAGGAAGTTTGTTTTTTGTGTACATATTAGAGGTCGGCAAAATCTTATTTGCGGTGTCCCGCATGAGGGATTTTTTAAAATTTTTTTCGGGACAGGTCAGGAATCCCGCACTGGAAACCCGCAACGGGACAGGAATCCCGAGGGATAGGAAGATTCCTTACCAACGTCTAGTACACATTAAGGATAACTCTGATACTCAGATTATGGGGTGGCATGCCATGAATTACCTTTATTTTTAATTAAAAAATTTTTTTAAAGTAATGCCAGAAGACATTCACAAACGCTAACAAAAGGTAAAATGAAAGAGGAGGTAATAGAAAATGATCAGGCGCCAGCTGCTTATCGTCTTTCACAACGAAAGGATTCTAATTCAAGTCGAAAGAAAGTTTCTAATAGTAGTGCAAAAATCAATAAAAAATCATCTGATGGTGGAAGGAAAACGAGGTTTAAATTCTAATTTTTTTTAGTTTCTTTTTATTAGGGGCATCAAATCATAGGTGGGTGGTAACTAGGAAATTTTGGTTAAGGGCCTATTGTGTTTGGGTTAAAAATAGTATGTGCTGGGTATGGCTCCGGGAGCTAGCTCCGAAGCCGGCTCCATCGGAGCCAAGATTTTGTAAGCCCGGAGCCTGAGCCAACAAATGTCAAATACCCAGCACTGCTTTACATAACTTATCCTTTTCTGGCACTGCGTTGGCGGCTATAATTTCAGTTTGAATTTTTCGACCCTCTACTATGCTTTGATGCTTCACTGTTTCTTTAAATATATCATTCTACATGTTTTTAATTTTCACAGATCTTCATCTTCTTCAAGCAGTTCATCATCCTCCGATTCGTCCTCTTCAAGTTCTTCCTCTTCAGCTTCTGAAGAAAAACATGGAAAATCATCAAAAAAACACCAACAACATAAACCTTCACTTACAGCTTCATCAGTTTCTTCATTAAAAAATAAAGGAGGAAATGTTGAAGTTCACCACCATTCTTTGGATAAATTGGTACGTGAAATAAGCAGTGCTGAAAGCGATAATGACGACAATAAGAAAGTTTATTCAAACAATTATAATAGCAGCAATAAAAAGAAAATAATAAAAAGGGAGGTAAAGGAAGAGATGTTTGATATAGATGAATTACAACAACATAAACACCCTCCTACATTGTCGTTTAAGGAAATTTGCAATAATAATAGTATTGAGGTGAAAACTGAAGCAAAATATGTTGATGAAGGTAAATTTTTATTTTTAAAGAGATTGGTAAATTAAAAGGGGTTTTGGTTCATGTTCCTTTGTGTTTTTTTTAAAGTCTTGCTCTTTTAAAGTCCTACAGGCTTTCATATGAAAGTTACATTTACTGATATTTTCTGTAAAATGACTTTGAAAATCCCCGATTGTTTTGAAATGCTTAACGTCTCTAATGGAAGCAAGGGTGTGTGTTGGGTTACCCGAAACTTTTTCGACCCGCAATCCGAAACCCGGTCCAAGAAATTCTCAAAAACTCCGATCTAGAATCTGATCTGACTTTTCTCTCAACACGTATAACATCCCTGTCTGGTAGTACTTTTTTGATAAAATAAATCGTATAATGTGTGGATAAAACTTGCGGACTTTCTCGAAAGTGTAAGGAAAGCGTGTTCTCGTCTAGATTCAACTAATAAAAATATACAAAAAAAATATTTTTAGTGACAAAAGGAGATAAAATGCAACAAACTAGTAGCAGTACAAAACGTCGCGAGCAGCTTCTTCGTAAATTGCAAAATGTAGAACAAGCCATTGCTAGACAAAAGTCCTTATTTTAAATTTTTTTTATTAAAAAAATTTTTTTTGTAGGCAAATGAAAAGAGAAGGAGGTAGTAATAATGTTTCTACATCTTTAGATGAAAAAAGGTCAAAATTGTCTTCAACTAGTTCAAATTAATTTTTATTTTTTTATTCTTAAATTGAGTTTACCTTGCTATAAGATACGCTCTTGGGGGTGAACTTTTTTCTCTTATATAGAGGTGTCTTAAATAGGGGCGAGGTGGCTTGGGCAGCAACGCTCACCCATTGTCAAGCCTAATTTTTAAAGGCGTCTCTTAAATAGAGGGTCTCTTATAATGGGTGTAACTTAAATAGAGGTGTCTCTTGTGTTGGGTGTAACTTAAACAGAGGTGTCTCTTATAATGGGTGGAACTTAGAGTTGTCCCTAGTATCGGGTGTATCTTATAGTAAGGTTTGACTGTTATTCAAATTGATGGTATTCGTAATGATATTTTGATTCTTGGGTTCTTGTTAGACTTTTAAAAGTAAATTGCCCTTTTTTAATACTGTTTGGGATTTTTTGACAAATTAAAATTTCATTAAGCAGTTAAAAATTTGGGCAATTTTACTTTATTTATTCTTTATTCGTAAGAAATAATTCTTGAGCTAAACCAAATATATTTAATATAATAAATTTTCTTGGGAAATGGAAGAGATTTTGGAGTTATCCAAAACAATGTTAGTCGGCGACTATTTTCACCAGTTTTTCCTCTCATGTGTGTCGGCTTTTGATGACATCCAATTTTTGAGGACACGATAGCCAATTTTTAAAAAAATGTTCCTTCCATAAATCTTTGCGGCCAAAATCTGTACATATCCTAAAGTTAATGGAAATTATCCTAAAAAGTCGTGCTACATGAATAGGAGATAAACGGTGTAAAGTGTCCGGCTAACTGTGTTTTTGGAGGACTTTTTACATTGACATTATTTTTTATTTATCTTTTTTAAATTTTTTTTTGTGATATATATTTGGATGTAATGAATAAATAATTGGAAAGCACAGAAAATTTTGTTTTTTAAATTTTGTTTTGTAAAGCAAGCAAATTTTTCTTTAATTATTTTTCTTTTTTTCTGCTTAATTTTTAATAATTATATTTTAGAATGGAAAATAGTTTAGGTACTTATGAGGATGCTCGTATTAAAATATTCAATTTTGAAAAGCACAAACGTAAGGAGCGTCCAATACGTCGAAAGGCACCAGAAAACTTGATAAGAAGAGCTGGTGGGTTGAAACGTTGCACTGATTTGAAGTGAATTTTTTTTTATTTTTACAATTTTGAACCTCACTCGTGGGTTGGTAAGACATAACCCTTCCATTATGTTGGGGAACTTCCTCATACAGTGGAACTTTCACCAGATGTAAATGAGCGCACCTTAGCCTTAGGTTTAGTGTAGTGGGCTGTAACTTCTAATAAGGGTTATATCGTTCAGGCAACTTACCAACTCCAATGACCAAATAAATTTAAAGAAACGTACATTAAATTGAGGTGTTCTACTATTGGGAGGGGCTCATATTGAGCTGTTGCTTATAACGGGGTGTTTCCTTAAATATGAGCTATCGCCTAGTGGGTAACTCCGCCTAGTGGGTAAACAAATTAAAAAAAACGTCTCTTAAGTAGGAGTGTCTTTAGCATTAGGGGTATCTTGTGGTGAGATCCCAAATTTCCTAAAAAAGACCATAATATTAAAATAATTTAAAAGGTATGATAAACTGGTGCCTTTATATCAACTTTGGATCTCGTATTTCAAGTCTTTACTAGCCCATTGTAATGAACAATTTGATGAACGTCTGTTGCGAATGGATTTTCATGGTGCAATTTTAAGAGTGTCAGATTCTCTAAATAAAACACAGGTGCTTTTTAGAATTTTTTACCTTCCGATTTCAAATTAGGGGACTTCGAGAGAGTCATTGTGGTACAGATTTGATGGAGGTTCACCTAGAACGCTTAAGGAAGGGTTTAAGTTATCTATAAGGAGGAATGAAAGGAAATGGTGCCGGGACTGGGCCGTTTTGGCGCGAGCTTGTAAGATAGCGAGTTGCTTATCAAAAATGATAAAATTTTACAATAATTCTCGTGCCTTTATCTAAGTTCTCCAGAAATTTCAGAATTTTTGATCGAGTATTTCAGAAATTGTGGCCAAAAATGTTGATTTTCTGCAAAATGCCTAATTTTTTGAGGTCTATCGACTATAACTTCGGAAATATTGGATGAAAATTTCTGAAATTTCCGGAGGAGGTAGTCAAGGATGTTAAAGAAATTTGAGAAAAATTTTATAAATTTAGGTCTCGCCTAAGTGCCACTTTTTTGTTCTCGCGCCAAAACGGCCCGGCGCCAAAACGACCCCAACCCATGGTGCCCGGTTCCATAGGCAAAGCAATTTTTCGTTTATGACTTATTTTCTGTAGTGGAACCACTGTGGCGCTATTTTTAACCATCCCACATTGGCCCCCGTAGCCAGGGGGGAGTAGGGAGGGGGCTACGGGCCTGATCCCACAAGGGAGAGGGTTCTAGTGATCTGGAAGGTTTATTAAAGAGGAGAGGCTTTAATACAAGAAATAATACATTTGGAAGCCCTAGTAATCAACCTATTTTTAGATTGGTCTCTATGGCATTGTACTTCACGAATCAAAATCAACCTTTCAAATGATTACTAAACGTGACCGTGTTATTGGTGATAATTTTCCATTTTTCTGATTATTTTCCCTATTTTTTAAGTCATCCCTAAAGAGGACACCACTTTTCAATTTGTTGTAGCTAACAAAGTTTTTACTTTGTTTGGAAGTGCGTTGAAGCAGAGAAGTCATTTACGTGGGAAAAAGGCAAAAATGCCCAAAACTATTCCTTATCTGCTTGATTAAGTATTAAATTTTTTGATGTCTTTTTATCGTTACATTATTATATTCTGTGTAATACGTATACTACATAGAGGTGTGCCAAAACTGGAAAGAAAACATTTAGAAAAAGAAAGTTGGCCACCCCAGCACACCCAGGGATAGACGGACGCCAAAATAGGTAAAAATATTTCCAAGTCGGCTCTCACTTATGTATAAGGTGAATGTGGGGGATAAGATTGGCAGATCCTGGGAAATCCTTGAATGTCCTGATCCTATATTAGATATCCAGTCTTTTTCGGATCCGTAAAAGAAATTAGTCTTTCTAAGCTACAACAAATACCACAAGATAAGTATTTGTTGGCGAAACCAATTAACCTTCTAACTAATTCCCAATTTTAATACAAATTGAAAACAATTTCCAAAGATTTATTTATAAAATATATTAATTTTACAAGGAAGAATGAAGGAGAAATTAAGAGAGAGCTTATAAGAACTGATATTGTTATAAGATAGGGGATTTTATACAAACAGAAAAGGTGTATATTTTAAGAGAGAAGAGAACGGAAATGCTCGGGAAAGAGCAAAGTAACTAATTTTGTAATGTTTGGTAAAAAATTTTATTAAAAATTAATAAAAATATAAATAAAATTAATAAAATAAATAAATTTTATTTATATATTTTCCCTCGTTTTCACGACATCCGAATATCCGTGTCCGCCAACCTTGGTGTCCGCCAGATCTTTCGTAATATCTGTTATGAATTTAACACAGATAAAGATAATTATATTTATGACAACATGAAAACACTTTTTCAACGAAGAACTTCAAACCATTTGATAACATATCAAATCAACTGCAATGTCAGAATTTTGCAAACAATTCCTGAATGGTGCTCAGTTGAATGCAGTATTACAATGGCAAAAGATTCTTATAAATTAAGAATTGACAACATAAACTTAGCAACCTCACTTTTAACCAAAATTTTTAGATTTGTTAACATCACAGCCTTTACTCAATGCTAAATCTCACCGTCAAATTGGGCATCATCACCTTGTCGTAGTTCCGGAGGCGAAAAGATATGGGGATATTCTTGTTTTATATAATGGTATGATAAAGAAGTCTCTTAAAATTGCTGGACATGAAAATAAAAATCATTTTGTTCTTTTTGCCGATGTCAAAACATGTATTTTTTTGCAAAAGGCAATTTGCAAACAATTGCCTGATAAAGTTTGGCGATATTTCGAGTAAGTTTTTGTTGGAGTTAGTGCTTATCTAACTTATAATTACTCCAGAATTATTACAATTGGAGCGATAACTACTCGAAATGTGGCTGATATAAAGTTTAAAGTCAAGGGAAATGATATTGATATGCCGGAATATTAAAAAATATATTATCAGGTCGGAAATGCCTGAGATTGAGATATAGGTCCACGAAAATAGAAAAAATAGGGCGGACAAGCTATTTTTGGGCCATTTGACTTTAATCTGATTTTGAGACGAAATGAATGATATTTATACATATAATTCAAGACTTTCGAATGATATATAAATCAGTAGATTAAATTTACAATGAAATTAAATAATAGTAATTAAAATAATTTAAAATTTAAAAATATTTAAAATAAATTAAGCTGCAATATAAAGCCTGAAACGGTTGTTTATTGCTATGATGTTCATCTATTTATTAATGAGTCTAATAAATGTTTAACTAAAAAATATGAGGATGAAGGAAAAGAGCAACTCTTTCGTAATATAATTTACGGACGCCTATAAAAATTTTTAAAAATATTTGTTAGGAATTCTTCCCGCTTCAATGTATTCATATACTGCCATTTCAACATGTATCTTTGGATAAAATGGGATTAAATGACATTTCACCTGTCTTTACAGAACAAAAGGAAAGTCAAGGCAAGATATTCTTGTAGTCCTCAAAAGTTGAATGGTGCAGGTCAATCAACTATTTATTTTATTTTATTTTACATTTTATTTTATTTTTTTAATTTTTTATTTATTTTATTTTTTTTATTTATTTTATTTTATTTTTTTATTTATTTTATTTTTTTTTATTTATTTTATTTTCTATTTTCAATCAACTATTTTTATTCAACTATTTTTATCAACAACAATCAAGTATTTCAACTATCAATTATATTTATGACACATGAAAACACTTTTTTCAACGAAGAACTTCAAACCATTTGATAACATATCAAATCAACTGCAATGTCAGAATTTTGCAAACAATTCCTGAATGGTGCTATTGTTGAATGCAGTTTACTATGACAAAAGATTTTATAAATTAAGAATTAACAATATAAACTTTATTCAACTATTTTTATCAACAACAAAGTTGAATGGTGTAGGTCAATCAAAATTTTTATTCAACTTATTTTATCAACAACAAAGTTGAATGGTGCATGTTTATTTCATTTTTTTATTTATTTTATTTTTTTTATTTATTTTATTTTTTTATTTATTTTATTTTATTTTTTTATTTATTTTATTTTATTTTTTATTTTCAATCAACTATTTTTATTCAACTATTTTTATCAACAACAATCAACTATTTCAACTATCAATTATATTTACGACAACATGAAAACACTTTTTTCAACGAAGAACTTCAAACCATTTGATAACATTATCAAATCAACTGCAATGTCAGAATTTTGCAAACAATTCCTGAATGGTGCTACTGTTGAATGCAGTATTACTATGGCAAAAGATGTTATAAATTAAGAATTGACAATATAAACTTAGCAACCAATTTTTCGATTTGTTAACATCACAGCCTTTACTCAATGCTAAATCTTACCGTCAAATTGGGCATCATCACCTTGTCGGAGATAATGGTATGGTAAAGAAGACTCGTAAAATTGCTGGACATGAAAATAAAAATCATTTTGTTCTTTTTGCCGATGTCAAAACATGTATTTTTTGCAAAAGGCAATTTGCAAAAATTTTTATTATTATTATTATTATTATTGCCACTAATATGTTAAACAAAGCATATACTCAAGCCTGATAAAATTTGGCGATATTTCGAGTCTGTTTTATTTGGAGTTAGTGCTTATCTAACTTATAATCACTCCAGAATTATTACAATTGGAGCGATAACTACTCGAAATGTGGCTGATATAAAGTTTAAAGTCAAGGGAAATGATATTGATATGCCGGAATATTAAAAAATATATTATCAGGATATTGAAATAAGGCCGGATATGCCTGCAGTGCGCCATCTAATGAGTGAAGAATTCTTCCCGCTTCAATGTATTCATATACTGCCATTTCAACATGTATCTTTGGATAAAATGGTATTAAATGACATTTCACCTGCCTCTACTAATACCAAAGTCACGGCAAGATATAATTGATAAGAATATTAAATTAATTGGAATTTATCACAGCAAATTTTTGAAAAGTTTTTGGAGTTAATTTAAATTTATTTAATTTATTTATTATTTTTATTTATTTTATTATTTATTATTATTAATTATTATTATTATTATTATTATATTTATTATTATTATTTATTATTTTATTTATTATTAATTTATTTAATTTATTTAAATTTATTTAATTTATTTAAATTTATTTAATTTATATTTAATTTAATTTAAAATTTAAATAATAAATAAAAATTTACATTGATAATCGAGGAACAGAGGGATCCCATGCAAAACTCAAACTTTATGAACGTCTATATACAGTGATTACTCAACATATAAACTATGATACTACTCTTACCTCGAGTCAAGAAATTAAAAAAGAATTGTTGAGAAAATGAATATGAAGTGATTTAAATATTGTAATTAAGTAATAAAATTATTTTTCAGGCTTTTTGGTTTGAACTATATGCCCGCCTTTAATCGCTTTACGTAAGAATTTTCCTTAATTTTCTGGATAAAATCGACATATTTTCAGTATAATTTTTTAGTAAAAAATTCACAAAAATTTTGTTTTTATCCGAAAAGCAAGACTGTACTTTAGTATATTTTATTAAATAATTTTAGCCAAACAAAGCTTGATATTGCAAGTGGAAAAATACTTGTACTCGGTATTTGTACTTACTTACCGGCTAAGCCCAATGCATTAGATAGATTACAACTGGTCAAGCAAGGAATGAAGGAATATTATTCTGAGGATCCCATGACGATTGGTGTATGTATAAAATTATATGTCATTTGCCAGATATTAGAAAATTTATTGAAACAATTATTGTGAAGGTTAGAACATATGGACTATTCTACCTGTACCTGTATATCAAGAAGTGAAAGTTGATCAGATCAAATCATTCCTTCAAGAATGTAGAAATAATAAAATAAATATTTTATTTATTTTATATTTAATTTAAATTTATTAAATTTATTTATTATTTTTATTTATTTTATTATTTATTATTATTTATTTATTATTATTTATTATTATTATTATATTTATTATAATTATTTATTATTATTATTTATTATTTTATTTATTATTTATTAATTTATTTAATTTATTTAATTTATATTTAATTTAATTTAAAATTTAAATAACAAATAAAAATTTACATTGATAATCGAGGAACAGAGGGATCCCATGCAAAACTCAAACTTTATGAACGTCTATATACAGTGATTACTCAACATATAAACTATGATACTACTCTTACTCGAGTCAAGAAATTAAAGAATTGTTGAGAAAATGAATATGAAGCTTTTTGGTTAACTATATGCCCGACTTTAATCGTTTTACCCGCACAGGGCTTGACATTGCAAGTGGAAAAATACTTGTACTCGGTGTTTGTATTTACTCACCGGCTGAGCCCACACTGAAAGAAATTAGTCTTTCTAAGCTCAACAAATACCAGAAGATAAGTATTTGTTGGCGAAACCAATTAACCTTCTAATTAATTCCCAATTTTAATACAAATTGAAAACAATTTCCAAAGATTTATTTAAAAATATATTAATTTTACAAAGAAGAATGAAGAACTTAAGAGAGAGCTTATAAGAACTGATATTGTTATAAGATAGGGGATTTTATACAAACAGAAAAGGTGTATATTTTAAGAGAGAGAAGAGAACGAAAATGCTCGGGAAAGAGCAAAGTAACTAATTGTGTAATGTTTGGGAAAAAATTATATTAAAAATTAATAAAATTAATAAAATAAATAAATTTTATTTATATATTTTCCCTCCTTTTCACGACATCCGAATATCCGTGTCCGCCAACCTTGGTGAGATATAGTAGGTGCATAGTATAGTTGGGGGAGGACAAACGTAAACACATAAATGAGACTAATACACAAATAAGGGTTTCTCGAACCAGGCTTTTTTTGACCCGAACCCAACCCGATATCTTCCTCCTAACCCATGACAGGTATACATAAATGAGATCCGACTTAACAATCTAAACATTAACAAAACATGCTAGTAAATTAGATACAGCCTTTCTAATAGGTTTAGGGCAAATTTTAGTTGTTAAACTTGTTTTGTTTTTTGGTTCTTCAAGTATACTTCTTATAGTTTTTTCTGGACTTGAATTATTTCCGTTAAATAAATAATCAGAAAGTTTCTTTCTTTCTATCTGAAAATTAAAAATTTTTCAAAAGTTAAAATAGAGTCAGACCTCACTATAAATACCCCCTTAGGTCGGAAAAATTTTTTGATTAACAATGGGGTGTATCTTAGATATGTGGTATCTCCCTAACTAGTCTTATGTGGCCCAATTAATTTAACAAGCACCTTTTCAGTTGTCGGTACAATATTTTTCCCTCTTCTACTTCGTTGTTTTAACGATATATATTTAATGCCCGATTCTTCCAATTTTTTATTCCACTCATCGTTAATTTGTTTAATTTCAATTTCCACACTTCCAAATTTTTTATATAAAGAATTAAAATTCCAATTTTTATCAGTTAATGTTTTAATTAATTTAATTTTGTTTTTGATAAATCCAACTTGCTCTTCAAACCATTTTTTTGTGTTTAGATCGTTTTCGTTTTCTTCGATTAATTTTAAAAATTCTTTATTTTTGCCTTAAATTAAATAAAAATTTTTGAAGTTACCTAAGAGATACCCCCAATTTGATATACCCCTCATTGTTAAATACGATATTTTCAGCTATAAGGGTATCTTATATACTGTGATTTGAGTTTTCCCATAAATCAGCTAAGTTAAATAAAACTTGCGGACAAAACTTGCGGATTCATTTATCTTGCGGACAAACATTGCGGATTTATTCTACTTGGTGATAGACTTGCGGATACAACTTGCGGATTTATTTATCTTTCGTACAAAATCTGCGGATTAATTTATTTTGCGGACAATACTTGCGGATTTATTTTTCTTGCGGACAAAACGGATTTGCGTATCTTGCTGACGAAATTTGCGGATTTATTTTCTTTGCGGACACAACTTGAGGGCTTATTTTTCCTGCGGACAGTACTGCTAACTAAATCTGCAGATAAATCTTGCGGACTTTCTGGTACCGTAAAATAAATTTATTTAAAAATACTTGTATATTCACTTGATAATTTTTCTGCTTCATTTTTCCACTTTTCCAAATAATTTTTAGTTCTCTCCAAATCCTCCAAATATTTTTTATTTTCAATTTTTCTTAAAGGAGGACTACACGATTTATTTATTGTTTCCTTTGTTTCCCCCAAAAAAATTTCATTTTTAAAAAATATATTTGTCCAAAGAATTAAATAATATTTTTGTGTTGTCAACCCTTTTGGCTCAATTTCTTTGTAAAAATCTTCTTTGTTTTTAATATAGATTTTGTCGTCTAACAGATAAATTAATGTTTTGTTGTTTGGAATTGGGGGGTTTTTGTCTTTTGATCTTAAATTTAAAATTAATTTCATAGATTTTTGCGGATTACTTTTGCATAAGTATTTTTGCGGACACTTTTTTTGGGACATTTTTCTCGGCTTATTCTTGCGGACTTTTATTGCGGACGTTTTTTGGGGGCTTATTTTTGCGGACATATTTTGCGGACATTCTTCCGCGGACTTTTTTTGTGGGCTTATTTTGCGGACATTTTTTACGGACTTTCTTGCGGACATTTTTCTTGCGGACTTATTTTTGCGGATTATTTTGCGGATTTTTTGTGGATTTTTTGCGGACTTTTCTTGCGGACTTATTTTTGCGGACATTTTTTGTGGGCTTATTTTTGCGGACTTTTCTCAGATTATTTTGCGGAATATTTTTTTGTATTTTTTTTTTCGGATTTTCTTAATAGACTTATATCTGCGGACTTTCCTCTTTCCTATTTCAACTTTTTAAATTTTACAAAAATGCTGTAGTTGCTTTCCGCATCCATCCAAGCAAATTCCTTGGCTGTGTTTTTGGCAATTTAGCCAATTCATTAAATTTATTTAGCCAATCATTATTATCCCCAAAACATTTATTTATAAATTTTATATTTTTAAATCTTTCCAAATTTAACGGAACAGTTAAATCTTGATGAAATTTTAAATAAATATCCTCAAAATATTTTATCAAATTTTCTATATTTTCTCCATAATGAATTTCTCCAATCATTAATTTTGGTCTAATTGGAATTTTTGTTAAAAAATACAAAGGTAGGAAACCTTAAAAAATAAGTTTTAATTTAATTTTGACAAATTGTGAACGACATTTGCGGAAGTTTGACCATTTTGAGCCCATGGAGAGGGTTTTTAGTCAGTGTTTTGATAGGAAGGTGTTTTGTCTCGGCTTAATTTTTAGGGTACCAAAATCTATCCTAAAGTTTAGTTAATGCTCGCAGATTGGGGCTAACCGATGAGATCATCCTGTCGAAAAAAGACACCACCTAACAGAGGCTTTCGATTAATATAAAATTCGCTCTGATTGGATCAAGACTGAGAAGGTTAATAGTGACCAAGTTGATGCTCAGTTTGACCGTTCTGATGGCCGCAAATGTCAAATTCAAGCCCCGATTAATTAAAAAATTCTAATTTACTTTCATTCTCTCTTTCATCAGGTAAATTCCCTTCCAAATAATATACAACGTCCAAATATGCAAATAAATAATTTGTAGCCTTTTCCATTTCCTCACAGGATGAAATATAATAATCCTTATCAAGATCTTTAAATCCCTTCAAATTTTTCTTCTTACTATTCCCACTATTATTCTCCTTTCGTTCTTTTTCTACCCTTTTCTTAGCTAAACCCCAATATTTTGTACATTCCCAATTTTTAAAAAATTCTTTAATAATATTATTTTTATAAAATATTTCAAATAATCTTGATTTTTTAACATTTTCATCTTCAATATTTTTATTGTATAAAGTCTCTTTATCTCTCTCTCTCCTTTCTAAATTTAGGTAATCTTTGAAAGTTTGCCTTTTTCCCTTTTTATTCCTCTGACCATTTTTTCCCTTTTTCCGCCCTTTTTTCCTTTATTCGTCCGATAGCAATTATTAAAAGATTACATCGTTCGGTAGCTCATTATGGATAATGAGGTCCTGTCCTTCAACTTCCCTCAACTCAACTATCACTCAACTATAACCATTCTCCCTCAACCCTACAGGGTTGAAAGTTTCGAGAAAGGGTTTGTTTGAGCTGTGCCTTCTGGGTTGGAGAGGGAGGAGGGGGCGGGGTTTGGCCTTTGGGTTCTGGATTAAATAGGTGCTTTATCCACCCCTACCCCCAACCATTAAAATCGACTTATAACGTTCCGCACCAAAATTCTATGATTTGTGAGGAAAATCTGTAAATAATAGTAGGAAATAAGCTCAAAATGGTCAGGAAATAGAAAAAAGGGGGCGACTTCCAAATATTACCTAAAATCATTTTACGAATTACATTAAATTTTTTATTTTCTTTTTCATAAAGAAAATCAATTGAAGATATTTTTAGCATTTTTCTAGACGCCTCTTTTAATTTTGAAGCAAACTCTGTGTAATAATAGGAAGGATGTTTTGTTTTATTTTTTGTATATTTTTGTGATTCTTTTTCCAATAAATCGCTTATTGTTTCCAATTTTTCTTTTTGTTCTTGTTGTCTTTTTATTTCGATTAGTCTTTTAGTTGCAGCTTTATTAAAAATATAATAAAAAAATAATTTTTAAATCAAACAGTTCTTTTGTGCGGCCAAAAAGCTCGCAGGCTTCACTTCCTTTCAATTTACGGTATTTATACCTTTGGGAAGACAATAGACACTGATAGGCATAACGGTTTATTTACAGTTTTTGATGTTCTTTCGAATGAGCGAATTACAGATTTGAAGCTTATCATCTAATAGAATGTTCCTTTGGAAAGAATGGCCATCCATTTTATAAGGGATAATGTCGTATATCCTTTTTGAATTCGTTGCGTTCACATGCTCCAGCTTCTTTATGACAAAAATACATACCCCTTATTAATCAAATTACAGTGTAGAGCTTATCTTTCGATTATTGTAACTTGTGAAAAACGTCTAGAAAAAACTCGGGCAATCGGTACACGTTAGAGGTCCATTATTTACGGACAAGACTTGCGAGCTTTTTTGCTTCACAAATAAAAAGAACCCTAAAAAAGCTTTTACTACCATCTAAAGCCTCTCTGTTAATTTCTCTATCTTTCTTTTTTAAATCTCTCTCCTTTTCTAAAACATGTTGATAATTAGACTTCCAAACAATCCTTTCTTCCCATTCAATCAAAACTTTTTTAAATTCCGTCCAGTCTTTTTTAAACTTAAAAAATTTTGTTTAAAATCTTTTTTTACCTAACCTGAAATTTTGCCTTTTCTCTTTTTTCTAAATAATCTGGACTTTGTGGAGTGTTATGCAGTTCAATGATAGGAGATACTCTGATTTCATCTAAGAATCTGGTTGACGGACTTAGATTGTCTTCGTAACCCAACTCTTCAATCTCAGGTACTCTCCTAAATTGAAAGGATCTTTCTCCATATTCCTCTTCAATTTCCGAAATTCTTCCTTTTCTTCTGCTATATTCATCTTCCTCTTCTTCAATTTCGGAAACTCCTCCTCCTCTTCTATAATGCTCCTCTTCCTCTTCAATTTCTGAAACTCTTCCTCCTCCGCCATGTTCTTCCTTCACTTCTTCAATCTCTGAAAATCCTCCTCCCCCTCTTCTATAATACACATCATTTTCCTCTTCTTTGATCTCTGAAACTCTTCCTCCTCTTCCACCATATTCATCCCTAACTTCCTCTATTTCGGAAATTCCTCCTCCTTTTCCATCGAACCCATCTTCCCCTTCTTCGATCTCTGAAAATCCTCCTCTTCTACTATCCTCATCCCTTACTTCCTCTATTTCGGAAACTCTTCCTCCTCCACCATGTTCATCCTTCACTTCTTCAATTTCTGAAATTCCTCCTTTGCTATGTTCATCCTTCACCTCCTCAATTTCGGAGAAGCTTTCTCTTCCATCATTTTCATCCTTTACTTCAATCTCTGAAGGCCCTTCACTTCTATCTTTTTCATCCTTCACCTCTTCAATTTCACTTGGTGCTCCAAATATATTCTTTATTCTATCTTCCTCCTCTTTCACAATCCTCTTCCCTTTCCTCTCAATTTCACTATTTTCTTTCTTTTCTCTTTCATCATCAAAATTTAATTTTAATCGTTTCCGTCTGTTTTCCTCCTCTTCTTCCAATTTTATCATTTTTTGAGAACCTTCTTCAGCATTAAAACTTTTCCTCTTTAACATTTCTTTTCTTTGAGGGCTCTCTCTTAACGATCCATCACTTAAACTTTTAACCAGAGATTTTCTGGAATGTTTATTTGCCGATCCTTCTTCTTTGTCGCTTTCACTCTCTTCACCAAACACTCCTTTAAGTGATGCAGAATCAATTTGGACTGATTCAGCATTGGACACACTTGCTTCCAAAGTTTCTGAACCTCCTTGTTTTTCGTCAACACTCAAAATTGGGTGGAAATAAAGTAGAAAAATATAAAAGGTCAAAAATAATTCTTGTTTCATAATCTAAAAAAATAAAATTTTGGCGTTTTGTATAAAAGAGGATTGTTGTTTCTGCGCACGTTTTTTAGTATAAAAGCGCTCATTTTATTCATTCTCTTGTCATTTATTTTACAATAACCGATGTTTGGAGGTCGTACAAAAGTCGTGCTCGTAATCTTACTTATTGCAAGGAAAAGTTTTAAAGGTCAGTGCAAATTTTAAATTTCTGAACACTGACATCATCGAGCTTTTTTGCTTTTTAGGCACTAAAAACGGCTGTCTAACTTCACTGAAGGATTTCAACAGTGACTCAGAGGTCTGGGAATGATTAACAAAAAGAACAATGTGATTGTGATAATTCGAGTAACGAACAAATTGACGGTGATATCGACATAAGAGACATTACCGGAATACTAAATACTACAAATATAATTTAAATAATAAGCGGAATTTATTGTATAAAATAAAATTTATTGACTAAATGGCAATTATCCACTATCCATTTAATCACTTTTAATTTTTTTCTCTCTTGCTTTTAATCACTTGTTATTTTTTATATTTTCTCTAGACTTCTTTCATAATATTGAAAAATATGTCCACGTGTATCGCCCCAATAAGTCTGTCGGAATCCTTTTGTAAATATGAAATCAAAGGAGTTTTGGCTAATAAAATCAATAAGAGATTGTTTTTAAACATGTTGAGGGTATCGTTTCATTTTGGTGTTTGGAATGAGCCACTATGAGCCAGAAACTCATCCTTCACCAAGAATCCGTTCTTCATACCCCTCGTATCGTTATTGACGACACACCAAAATATTGTTGATCACATGAGATCACACAAGGTATTGTTGAGAGATCACACAAAGCATTGATCACACAAGGTATTGTTGATCACATGATTGATCACATCTTAGGTTGACATTTCCGAGTGGTTCTGTGACTTTTGCGCCACGACTTTTTCGCTGTCGGCCTTTCCGCCGTCGACCTTTGCGTCGGCGCACCTTCCGAGTTATTTACTTTTACAACGCTTTTTGTCATTTTGTGATTGACTCTTAATTCGTCTAGCCATCTCAACTTCCTCAAAATAAAATTAAAACAAGCAAAAAATTGCCCTTATGCTTATAATTAAGCTTCTCATTAATTTCCCCCTTCATTTTCCCTTTCAATTAATTTTTATTTTCCCAGAAAAGTCAATTAATTTTGTTTCCTCCCCCAAGTTTTTTTTTGTTTGCACTTGGCCAATTTAACGGAAGAGGGAATAAAGGGGGTTGGAAAGAAATTAACAACAAACCTAAAAATATTTTCTTCCAACAGGTTTATTTTCTTTTCAAACTTGCCTTCGCGCACGCTCTTTTATACAAACGTTTTCTTTTATTTTTTTAATTCTCCTTTCGTTCGTTTGGGCCAAGTAAACTTTTCTTTATTTTGTGTTTATTAAATTAAATTATTTTTTTATGTAAAAAATATTTTTTTATCAACTGGTAGAAGGTAATACCTGCCTATATTTTTGAGTAAAAATAACAGACTGTGAGACATTGTCATATAATATCCTTAATACTATATACACCTCTATTTAAGATCGTTCTTTTTAAATTTGGTTGGATACTGTGGGAGGTAGTTTTCTAAACGATACCCCTATTTGAGATAACTTCATTATGTTGCACAGAATCGTATCTAATACTGGAGAGTATCTTAAATGGATGTATCTTATAGATAGTTCCCCACCCAATTTTTAGGATGAGGAGCTTCTTAGTCGATACCTCCTATTTAACATACATTTCATTATAAGATACCCTTTAGGGCTTAAAATTGTCTCTTATAATGTAGTGTTCCTTAAATAGAGGTTATCGCCTAGGCAGTTTTTTACATCCAATAGCCAACCTAATTTTAAAAATCGTCTCTTAAATAGAGGTGTATACGTTGTATTTTATAATTAGGTCTTTTAATAAGATATCTTAGAACAATAGAAATTCATTCCTATTGTCATTCTGTTTATTTTTCTATTGTCATTTCCAGTAAAAACCTTATTAGCACAACAAACACGCTTTCTCCCCTTTTTCCTTTTTTAATATTATGCCAACTTGACTACCATTTTTCCATGATAAATAATTCAATTTTCATCTGTCAATAATAAGAGGCAATTTTGAGGGAATAATTTTAAAAGAATAAATATTTATTTTACTGCTAGAAAGCTTTTTTTTCAACGTACATTTCTTTCTAAATCTCTTCCTTATCAATATTAACAACCTATAACATTTCAAATTTCAGTTCATAGGCGGGTAAAATGTCTAGCTCGTTATTTAGGGTTATACCCCGTCCCGGGGAATTTGAAGGTCTCCGACTTTCGGGAACTTTTACCTCATAGGGGCACTTACTAGCGAGGTCCGATACAAGCAAACTTGAAAGGAATTTTTATGCATGATTTCCTCAGATAAAGGCTTTATTTGTTAATGGAGAAAAATTTTATGAAAGCTTCATTTATTCTTGTTTCCCAAAATTTGTCCTTTTATTTCCCTTGTAATTTTCAAGGCTATTTTTAACGTCTATTTCAAGCCTATTTTATAAATAGACTAAAAAATAATTTAAATCAAGACCACTATTTACAAATGTGATACGACAATTTGACAGCGAGACAATTAGAAAGAAGGCCATTGAGCTAATAGGCAGCGAATCAATCAGCAGAATCTGACAACCGTACGTATCATTGAGATAAAAAAAATAAAAAAAATCCCAGGTTCCTAGGATGTTGTATCATTGAGATACTTATTTTGCTGTTCAAATGTCCTCGTGTCCAAATGTCGTACTGCCCTATTGTCTGTAATCACACCCTTTTGCAAAATTTATTTTTCTTTCTAATTTTGAGACAAAAATTAATTTCAAAAAATTCTTTTCATTTTTAATATTTTATCCAAACAAATTTATTACTTTGGAGCAAATAAATTTGTCAGAATTCTTTGGCTTTTCCTTTCAAAAAAATTTTTTCTTTTCATTTCTTTCCTCCTTTCTCTTTTTTTCAATTGGGCAAGGAATTTCATTTAGACTGCCCGCGGCTTTTTCTTTTTTGTTTTGGCCATTCAATATGTGTTTTTACTAGATTGTTCTGCTTTCCCCTTAAAATTTGAAGGGAAAAGCAAGGGGGTTTTTTTGTCCTAAGAACTAATTCCACCCGAAAGAGGGTTTTTCTCTCCGTCTAGAGACAGTCCTTTATTTTCTGGGAAAGAAAGCTTTAATTTGAACTTGGGTAGCACTCCGACCCCCAACGAATTTTTTAGGCAAAAACCCCACCCGAACACCTAACAAATAAGTCACTACCCCGACAACCCCTATCCCCGACGCCCACCCTCGTGCGGGCAAACCTCGACCCCCAAACTCCGACGGATTTTTTGGCAAAAACCCTGACATTAACCCCCAAAAATTCAGTTTACGAAATTTCGTTACGAAATTTCAAAAACGAAATTTCGTTATTAAATTTCGAAAACGAAATTTCGTTATTAAACTTCGAAAACGAAATTTCGTTTCGAAATTTCGTAAACGAAATTTCGTTTTGTTTCGCTTTCTTCATTTCATAAATATTTTCGTTCACAACTTTTCTCTAATGCAATAATTAATGCACTTTTTAATATACTCCCCGATTCGTAATGCGTTAAAATGTTGCCTTAGGGTTCAAAAACATTATGAAGAAGAATGAATGTTTCTTTTTTACAAAAAATAAGGGAGGAGGTTTTTTATTATTAATATTTGCCGACATAAGCTAACCGCGACATTTGCGCACAAAACTAAAACCTATCGCCATTTTTTCAAATTTTTAAATCACGCCAAAAACAAAACGCCAAAAATGAACGCCAAAAACGATCGCCAAACGCCATGACACACAACCCTGGTTTAAAACCCCTCCTATTAGGGTTGTCGATCCCGCAAAATTTTTCTGATAACCGAAACCGAAGAATCGTCGAAAACTTGAAATCAACCCCCCTTACTTCCCACAATTTTTAAAATTATTTATAAAATATTCCCACAAGTCACAAAGTCTTTTAAATATTTAAGAAAAGCATAAGAAGCTTTTTGTCTTCAACAAAGAAATTATATTTCCTTTTGAAATTGAAGAAAGTTTTTTAAGGAAAATTATTTTTCCCACACAGAAAAGTGATTCTTTTTTGTGGACAAGTTATAATATTTATTTAGTTACTCAACTAAAAAGTGGTTATGGTTACTGACATTTGCGAACCCGACATTTTCGCACCGCGACATTTGCGAAAAAACAATTAGGATCAAACGGACCCTGGTAATTTTACTCCTAATCCGACATACATTCTTATTCTGGTAATACATTATACCTCATTTCTATATACACCCAATACTAAATAAACCTACTATAAGATAACCTCTGTTTAAGATACGTTTTTTTAAATTTAGCCTGGAAACTGGATAGGGGAGATGTTTAAGCGATACCCTCTATTTAATATACTCCTCATTATGAGACACCCTAATTGTAAAATACACCTCATTATTAGAGACAATTTATCAACCTCAAAGGGTTGCCCTACTGTATATTACTCACCTCGAGAGAAAGCTTACTGATGTTCGCAAATGTCGCAGTTCGCAAATGTCGTCTTTCAAGTTTAGCTTTCATTCCCTTGAACAACAAGAATAAGTGGTTGGTGGGGCTGTTCATTCACTCCCAGCCGGTAAAAAAATTTTTTTGTTTGCGTTCTGGCCTAGGAGAGAGTATTTATTTTCTTTTATTTTGTATTTTCTTATAGACTTTTTACCCACACTTTTTCCCCGTTGCCCAGCCATTGACTGAACGACGAAAATATTTTTGTCAATATTTCCGCACAAATTATTTTTAATTTTTATTTTTTTTTAATTTTATTAAAATAATTTTATTAAGAAACTTGGGGGTTTTTTAATATTTATCTGATACCTTATTTCAATTCTCACACAATTTCCTCTTATTTGCCGGTGGAACACACTTGGAGATTCTGTCTCTTTAGTCATATGTACAAGCCTAACTATTACCATTAGGGTTTGGGGTCCGGTCCGAAAGATCGAGTCGGGCATCGAATTTTGTCCCGAAAAAGACTCGATCGGGCTGGCCCGATAAAAACGATGACTCATGATGACTCGAACGTCGGTCCGACTCGAAACTCCAACCATAATTACCATGGTTTCCTATAACGGGTGTAACTTAAATAGAAGGTATCAAAAATTGGTCAGTCCCGTTCCAGTACCCCTAAGTCAGGGCGACAATTTTGCAACTTTTTCTTAATAATTTAATAAATTTAATTATTTATTTTATTTTTTACAAAAATAGAAACATTTTTTATCTTAAAGAAATTATTATTACATTTTTTATTATTTATTTTATTTTTATTACTTTAAATAAAATTTTTTATTGATCACATAAAGAATTATTGGATAATAATAATTCTTCATTTTTTAATTTTAAAAGATCGGTGGATTTATTTTTGTATCATTATTTATACACGGAATCCGATCCGAAGAAAAATTTGAAACCCCGAACCACTATTATCGCTGACCCTTTCGAACCCTGGGGGTATTCAAAAAACGAGTTACGGCTTAACCAATCCTCAGCTACGGGTAACCTAATTAAGAAATTTTATTCAAAAGCGAGGGTAAGGATAACCCCGAGCTTGGTTCGTTATCGGGTAATATATACCCGCAACTGCGGGTATAGTTTTTACCAGGGGTGCAGCTCGTCTTGTGAATCTCTTGTCTCGTTTGGCACGAGCTGCACTCCTGGTTCTTACTCTTATTCAAAAATGAGGATTTTTTGAATACCGCCCCTAATGTAAATTAGACACAAGTTTATATCACGTATAAGCTAGCTTAATGGTTTTCTTGTAGCTCTTCTTTATTTTATTTTTTTTTCTTTAAATATTTTCTAAAACAAAAAATTTATTTTAGAAAATTAAAATATTAAAAAATAAATCTTTTCTACAAAAAATGAATCTCGAATTTTATAAAAACAACAATGCCCTGCGTGAACAATATTCACTAAACATTGCGAATTTTAAAAGGTTTTAAACGTGCTAGTGTTTTTTGACGCTGCTATCAACCTTTAATAATTCCGCTCATCCTGATTTTTAAGCTTGGTGTGAATTTTTGAAAATTTTTTTATTTAATGTCTTTGCGTTTTTAATTCTTTTTAAACTAAAAAATATTATACCAAATCAGGTCGATGTCGCCTAGTAAAAGTTTGATCTGGGTGTGCGCAATGCGTTTTGCGATCATTTTTGGGATTGCGTTTGCGATTTTTGCGCACACCTGGGTTAGGCTGACACCACGGATGTAACGGGTTACCCTAAATCCGATATCCAAAATCTGGTCTTTTTTCTACCCGAACACAAATCCGAAGAGAATTTTGAAAACCCGTCTTGAAACCCGACCCGACTTTTTTCTCAACTCAAAAAATTCCTGGCGGAGCGTATCAGAAGTCTCATATTTTATTACTGTTGAACCTCGTTATATTATACCCTCATTAATGTATACACTTAGTCTAATCTCTCTGATTGAGGTGATCGCCTAAGAGCGACCTCCACTTTAATCTTAACCTCAGTTTAGTATACAATTTTTCACTGTTAGATATATGTATTTTATATCCACATTTTTCAATCAATTTATTTTTCACAATGTACAGGAAGTTCAACATATTTTTTTTCCACATTTTCTCTTATAGTGAAGATTTGTGGGATAAAATATAGGGGTTTAAGGATAGGCAATTTAATGTTTTTTTATTGCCATCTGTAAAGATTTTATTTTTGAACATTTATTTACTACATTTTTCTTTTTTATAATTCAAGAAATGTTATTTTTGGTATAAAGTTGGATCTCATTTTTATGCAGAGGTTTGGATTTTTATGCAGAGGTTGGAACTTCCGATTTCCCATAATTTTCAAAGCATATTTTCGACTATAGGTTTCCGACTTCCGAGTTTCGAATTTTAAGCTATTTCCGATTCGACAGTTACAATTTCCGGCACCTTGGTCAGCTCCGATTTACCACTGCTTATATAAATGGGCGAGGACCTCGGCCTCGGCGAGGCTTCGACCTCGCGCAACCCTATTTTGAAGTCAATGGAGGGTCGCAAACGAGGTGATAGGACTATATTTAATTCTCTTTGCAAAATCTGGAACCTATCCTTGCAGAATTCGTGCATGTTTATGAAATCTTAACTTAATTTTATTTTTTTAAACTAACAAGCTTTTAATCACCAGCAAAAGCATATTGCCGTGTTTTTTTTAATTATTTTTATTTTTAAATCGTTTGTTTTTTACTATTTGTTGATTGCCGAGAGAATTTTATTTAATTAAATTAATTTTTATTTTAAATTAATTAATTAGGGGATCTGTGAATATAAAAAGCCTACAAAATTGCTGGGAACAGTTTAAAAATTCTTGATTTTATCTGAATTTGACGACCCTCTATAGAGGTAATTTTTAAATGTTTTTTCCTAGAGATCCACAAAATCTTTGATTAAACAAAAAATTTATTCAATTGACTCGTGGGACCTTATGTTAATTCCTTCGGTGTTAAAAATCAACTGAAATAAGAATCAAAATTAGGACCAAAAACCGAGAATTAGGACCTAGTCGAGGAACCGAGAGCTAAAAGACCGAGAAATTTCTTAACCCGAGACCGAGACTCTCGAGCAGTATTACTGATTGGAGCAGACCTGCTCACATATACTGATTTTAGTATCCGTATCCAGATATTTACGGCAGATACAGGCGGATATCCGCAGGCATCCTGATATCTGTATTCATATCCGTGTCCACGAGGAAGTCTGGTTGGAATATATTTATGTTAGACCAGACTTTGACACTGTGCCTCTGTGGCCAACGAAATTTAAAAGGTGTACGCTCAAGTGTGCACGAGAGATGGGGTTCACATAAATTAGGTCCGATTGGAGTTACCCCACTTATACAACGCCTAAGACTCACCTTAACGTCAAAAATTTTTTTGCAAGAGGTCCTACTGATTTTCTCCTCAAGAAGCTTTACCTTGGTCACCTACTGTGTCCTCAACTATTTATTTATTCCCCCTTCTCCAAACCTTTTTCCAACCTTTTTTGTCAATTTCTCCAAAAAAATATTTTCTTTCAAAGCTTTTGTTAATCCTCTAAACAATCCCTTTTCTCAACTTAATGTTTATTATTCTCGAGAATTTTTAGTTTAAAGCTTAAAAGAAAGAGAATAAACCTTTATTTCTTTAGCTAAAGGGATCAGAAAAAGTAAAATAACAGTTGCTTTCTTTTATTAGAGTTTATGTCAAAACCAATGGATATATTAACCAGAAATTGAGAAAAAAATATTTCTTTATTTTAAATTTTCATAAGAATAATATTTCAATGGAAGCTCTTTATAAGATGCCTCCTGGGACTAGAAAAATTGTACCTTATAATGATAGGTATATAAAATAGAGGGTATCTCTTAGACAGCTCTTCAAGAGTCTCTTGGATATGACTACTCTCCAAGTCTCTCCAAGAGTTTCGACTCTCTACTGAGTCTCCAGTCAAATTAAAAAAAAACGTCTGTTAATTAGAGGTCCTCAGTAATGTATGTTCACTATAGAGAAGTTCAACTAGATTTATAATAGAGGTCGAACCCCAATACTAGATACACCTCTATTTAGGATAAGCTCTATAAAAACCTTTTTTGTCATCTTTTGGAAGAGGTGGCTAATCGAACTTTCTATTAAGATACCCTCATCATAAGAACAACGAACCCTCTATTTAGGATACCTTCATTATAAGAACCTCGACATTATTTTAGATACATTTTCAAGCTTTGGTTTTCACTTGAGTGGGAGAACGATACCTTTTGTGTAATATACTCCTTATTATAAGGTACTAGATGTTTTCAGCCCAAAAGGGCGTCTCCTATAGAGAGGTTTAACTGGTCGAAACTGTTCAAAACCTTTTAAAAAATTTTAATATTAAGTAAACATACGTTAATCTCAACTACACCTTACCGTCCAAAAATGCAACCAGCCTCCCTCTACAACCAACAACTCAACGCTGCAACTCTATCAGACCAAGCAATCCTTCAGGCAACATTAGCAGCTCAACAAGCAACGGCTATTACAAACTCTGCCTACTCTTCTTCAAACGGAGATAGTTCATCCCCACCTACTGGAAGTAGGGATACAAGATTTACAAAAATATTTGTTGGTGGACTTCCTTACCATACAACAGACGAATCGTTGAATAATTATTTTAGTCAATTTGGGGAGATCGAAGAAGTTTGTGTTAAATTAATTATTTGGGAACGTAGGAAAAGATACCTAGAATACTTTTTGCGGACAAAATTTTTTGCGGACAATTTTTGCGGACAGTTTTTTGCTGACAAAATTTTTGCGGACAATTTTTGCGGACAGTTTTTGCGTATAATTGTTTTGCGGACAGATTTTTGCGGACAATTCTTTTGCTGACACAAATTCCTCTCTCTCCCTCGATCCCTCGTCACTTTCCTTCTAACGTCACCTCAGTTCGGCTCCGAAGGGTATCATTATATCAAGCATATAATTAACAAATTTATTTAAGGCTGTAGTAATAACCGACAGGCAAACACAAAAAAGTCGTGGTTATGGCTTTGTAACAATGAAGGAAAGAGCTCAAGCTGAAAAAGCTTGCCGGTATTTTCTTTGTTAATTTCAATTTAGCTTGAAATTTAAAGCGATCCAAACCCGATAATTGATGGCCGAAAAACAAATGTTAATTTGGCCTATTTGGGAGCTAAGCCTAGAAACAATTCACACTTGGCTGTTCTTTCACAAACGCTTGGACAACTTCCACAATTACAGGCAAAAGATACTTTTATTATATTTTTTATAATTTACGGCAAAAGTTGCGGACAAAATTTGCGGACCTTTAAAACTTGCGGACAGAAGTTGCGGACTTTTGAAAACGCGGATAGAAGTTGCGGACTTTTAGCAACTTGCGGACAAAAGTTGCGGACTTTTGGGGTTACGAACTTTTGATAACTTGCGGACAAATTTTGGGGATTTTTGAACTTAAATTTGTTTTTTATGTAGGCAGTTCAATTGCAAGCAGCTCTCCAATTACAACAGCAACAACAACGGTATGCGGATTATTTATTTTTCCCTAGTAAACTTAAGGGTAATTCAAAATAAATTTTAAATTTAAAATTCAGTGCATGAAGAGAACATTTCAAAAAATTAAATAAATGTGAGTCCCCAATTTTTGAGGTTGAAGTGTTTTCGGAATTCACAATAAATATATATACCACCGTATTACCTCTAATATAACACCTTCCCCCCTATTGTCTCTCTTCCCCCCCCCCCTCCTCTCTCCCCCTTCCCTCTTCCCCCCCCCCCCCCTCCTCCCTCCCCCCCTCTCCTCCCTCCCCCTCATAACACTCCTCCCTCTCTCTCTCTTCCCCTCATTCTCTCTCCCCCCTCTTCCTCCTTCTACCCACAAATTGCCCTAATATAACCCCCTCCCTCTCCCTCTTCCTCCCCCCTAAAATCCCTCTTTGAAACGTGATTTAAAAACAGAATGCCCGGGCGTTCAATTAGAGGTAATACGGTGTTTAATTTGTTTTTTCTTGCTTTGTTTTTGTGAACCAACCAATTTTAGGGTTTTTATGCTTTTTTATGGTGATGGTTATTTTATTTTTAATTATTTTTGGGTTGTTTTTTAACTTGTTTAAATCTAAATTTTGGTGTATTATGAAGTGAAATAATTATTTTTGGCACTTAAAAATTTTTAAAATTTGCAAAAAAATTTTTTTAAGCTTGGCAGCAAGTGTTTTATCGGCTGCAGCAGCTTCTCCAACTAGTCAACTTTTACTTTCACAAAACCCAACGACTGCTGCGGCTATTGCTGCCGCTCAACAACAAGCGGCACAGCAACAACTGGCTGCTATTAACCCCTTGGCTGCTATTCAATTTTCTCAAAATATTTCCCAACAACCGCAGAATACTGCTGCTTTGGTTGCTTTGGCAGCACAACAAGGTATATAGTCTGATATACTGTCTCTCTGTTACGAACCGAACGGAAGGGAAGAGGTTAACAAACGAAATTTCGCCCATCCCTAGTTGTTTCACATGATGGATGGGCGATTGTTGATGCGGTGTTCCGCGCTATCCTTTCAGCATCTCACTACCGCAAGCAACGGATCGATCACCTCGTTCAGGTGCCTGTTCACCTCATTCCTTTCTCTCATGCCCCCGTTTATATATGGGAGAATCTAATGGGAGAATCTTTCTCTCAAGCCCCCGTTTAAGCGTTTTAATACTAATTGTTGGAAAGTCCATATGGGAGGATCTAAGGAGTATGAGAGAAAAAACCCGCAAGAAACCCCCCCCCCCCATCCCGATGTTTACTTGTCCGCAAAAAATATATTTATTTACAGCAGCACTACTCCAACAACAACAGCAAGCAAATGTTGCTGTTACCAGTGGGGCAAATACTGCCAATTCTGCTTATTTTGATTATAACCAGCTTTTATTGGCAGCAGCCCAGCAACAACAAAGCGGCAATCAACAGACATCCTTAGCTGCAGTAGCTGCTGCTTATGGGATGCCTGTAGGCAGTGGAACTCCACAGTTTGATTATTCTAATTCTGCTTCTTTGGCAGCCGCATATCCTTGTATGTATCTGAATAGGGCCTCATTATAAGCTACTCCCTTAAAGCTGAAAAATTGTCTCCTATAGCGAGGTGTGCCTTAAATTGGGATATAACACAGAAAGCTAACCTATTCAATATCCTACCCACGTTTAAAAAACGTCCATTACATAGATGTATATCTAATATTAGGAGTCCCTTATAGGGAGGTCTGACTATTCAATACCTCATTATGCCCCCCAATATTTTCTACACCTCAATTTAAGAGACGTTTTAAAATTTGGCTAGATACTGGGTGGGAAGCTGCCTAAGTGATACCCTCTATTTAAGACACACCTCATTATAAGGTACGATTTTTCAGACACGAAAGGGGTACCTTATAATGAGGTTTGACCTCTATTTAAGAAACACCTCATTATAAGGTTCGATTTTTCAGACTCCAAGGAAGTATCTTGTAATGAGGTTTGACCTCTAATTAAGACACACCTCATTAGAAGAGACAGTTTTCACTCAAAACGGATGCCTTATAATGAGCTTCTACCTCTATTTAACATACACCTTATTATAAATTTCTTAAAGTTCTCCAACAAGTAAATACTCTATCCGCAACAGCCCCAACATCAGTAACCAACTCCCAAAGTTATGTTGCCCAATTGGCAGCTCAGGCCCAGTTAGCTGCTGCTGTGAGTAATGGAGGAGTTGCTGGGACAGGTGTTTGTAAGACTTAAAAATTGAAGAAAAAAATTTTTTTAAAGGATCAACAACAACAACAAATAATTTGAAGCGTTCTTCAAAGAATTTGGATCAACGTCGAAGCGAATAAATTTTTAAAAGTGGAGGAAATACTCAAAAAAATTAAATAAAAAAATATTTTTGTAGTCATTTTATACATTTTTTCTCTTTTATTTTTTAAAATTTTTTAATTAAATATTAGGATTTTTAATAAAAATTGGCTAAATAATTCTTAAATATACAAATTAAAATTAGCTAGACAGAGGTAGATTAGGATATAATGACGGATTTTGCTGTCCGTATCCGGATATATCAGTGATGCTTAGATCCGTGTAGCTCTTGATCCATATCCATCCGCTATTCCAAATGACTATTGGTTAGATGCCCCCTCCGAAGTAGGGGACGGTCCCATGTACAAAACTGCACATAGACACTCCAAAATTTTGTCTCATATTCACCAAGTGCACTGCCACAGACAAGCACTATTGATCGCACAGCCAATGAAGCGAACTGCTACCAACAGTGTCTGTCTGAACGCACAGCCACCGAGGTAGTTTTCACGTTTTCGGGTTCCAAAAATCATATCTCTTAATATTAAGGTTAATTTATCTCGTAAACTCTCCCTATGTTTATTAAACGAGGTTCCTTAATTTATTCCTAAATTTACTTTTTAGGTTGTCCCTTAAATTATTTTCTCAAAACTATTTATCCCCTTTTTGCCTTTTTTGAGTACTAACTTGGCCATTTTTTATTCAATTTGTCTAAGGGTATTTATTTTAATGGAAAACATTTAAAGGAAGAAGATATCGTCTTTTAATGTTATAAAAAAGTTTTTAATGTTTAAAATTTAGATGGTCGGTTTCACCAAATTCTTAAGTTAAAAAACCAAACATAAAAGTTGTCATTAGAGGATATAAAGGGATTAGGGAGTATAAGAGGAACTGGGGTATAAGCGGTGGATCCGATTTCCGATTTGCGATTTCCGGCATTTTTTCCTTCCGATTTCCGAAAAAAATTTTTTATTTCCGATTTCCGATTTTTGAGCCAGTTTCGATTTCCGGCTCTTCCAATTTCCGACATCACGGACTGTTCCGACTCACCTCTGGGTATAAGGACGATGGATATTTGCCGATAAAAGGGGATTTGAATGGATTAAGATTTGAGGGGATTTGTTGGATTTGAAGGACTAAGGGGCTTTGAGAGGATTATGGAGTTATAAAGGAATTAAGAGGGATTTGGGTGGATTTAATGGGATTAAGGAGGGATTTGGGGGATAAAAAGATAATGAAGATATTAGGTGATATTAGAGGATTAATAAACTAAGGGAGATTAAGAGAGACAATTATCAATTACAATTATCTGACAACCCTATTACTATAGGAATAAATACAGACAAACCTTGCGGACCTCAAATATAGATCCTTAATTATTTAACTTGTTTCTATAGACGTAAGATTATTTTATTTTCTTTTAGCAAATATTTTAGCCTTAAAATAAAGTCCAAACTTAATTTATTATGTTTATTATTCCCCTAAAAAGTGTGGGAAAATATATTTAAATTGAAAGAAAACAGAGAAAAAATAGCAAGAGTGACTTTATCTCCCCCCAAAAAGCCTTACAAAGCTAACGGCTATAAGGCAGCAAATTTTATGCCTTATAGCCGTCGTTTAGCTAGCATCTTTATTTTCACAAAAACTTTCTCCAAGTAAGAAAAAACATCCATTTCCGTATTTATTTGTTCTTCTTTTTTTTTTGAAAAAAAAAGTTTTTCCCTAAAAATATTGTTTCCTTCCCTTTACGTGCCTAGGCGTTTTATCCCTTTTTATGCCTTTTTTCTCAAACAATCCCCTGTCTACATCAGAATCATTCGAAAAGTCAAAGTGTTTGAATGATAAATATAGAGATTGAACGTGAAGATTATTTATGTAGTTAGAATTTTTTTTGAATTTTCAAAAAAGTATTGAAATTCACCGGGAAATGCCGTTCAGAATAAAGACCTTTACTTAGACCTGAGGTCATATTTTGGGCCATAACTTTTTTGATACTTAACCGATTCAAATAATTCATATAACAATCGAAAGCTCTTGATGTGGGGATTATTTTAACTAACAGGACTGATTTTATCAGACCATCCTACTAAAAGTTGCACTTGAATAAGTGCAAGCAATCGTGATTTTTGATATTTATTCGGCTGTAACTTTATCTAGGATGATCTGATTAAATCAATCCCGTTAGCTAAAATAATCCTTAAATGAAGAGCTTTCGTTTAATATAATAATTATTCAGATCGGTTAAGAACTAAAAAAGTTATGGCCTAAAATAAGGCCTCGAGACGGCGATCTAGAACGTCCCCTTTGAAGAATAGGTCGCTTAGACGCTCATTTTCTCTTATTCCCTTAACTTGAAAACAGTTCAGATTTATTATTCCATTATTATTAAATTTTAATTCATTTAAAATGCCAGTCTTTGCTGTTAATCGTTCTCCAAAACCAATGAGAAATGCTTTGTCAACGCCTAGTGATCCACGTACTGATCCTAGGCCTAAGAAAATGGAAGGTTAATTTTATTACTGTCAAAACCTTGCTATAAGACCCCCTTAGAGATAAAAAATAGTACCTTATAATGAGGCGTATCTTACTCCACAAGTAAAGCAAAAATGGCCTCAAAGAAGTCCGCAAAAATTTGCGGACATCCGCAAAATTTTTGCGGACATTTTTTGCGAACCTTGCCCAAGCGATACATACACTCTATTTTGCCTGTATCCGTTAAAAAATTCTTTCTTTCTTCAGAGGATGTAAAACTACTTCGTTCAGAATTAAACAATTTGAGAAAACAGAATACAGCTTTAAACAAAGGAATAAAAAATTTGGAGGCAGAAATTGGTGAAAGTGCTTTTAAACGTTTAGTTGAACAAGTAAAAATAAATTAGAAAAAAATTTGGATTAATTAATTTAAAAAGGTAGCCTCACCAGAGTCTTCATTAGTGGAGGCAGAGGAATATTCTTCTTGTACTGAGGGTAAGTAGAATTATAAATAAATGGCACTGAGGAAATTCTTTGCGGACTTTTTTGGAGGGACATTTTTGGGGATACTTTTTGGGGGACTTTTCTGCGGACATTTATTGCGGACTATTTTTTGCGGACTTTTTTGGGGGACTTTTCTGCGGACATTTATTGCGGACATTTTTTGGGGGGACTCTTTTGCGGACTATTTTTGCGGACTTTCTGCGGACACTTATTGCGGACTATTTTTGCGGACATTTTTTGCGGACTTTTTTTGAAGGGACTATTTTTGCGGACAATTTTTTGCGGACATCTTTTGGCGGGACCTTTTTGCGGACTCGTTTAAATCCGCAAAAGATGCCCACATTTGTCAGTCTACTCAATGCCATAAATAAATATTTCAAATAATTTTAGAATTAAAAAAACAACAAATAGAATCCATCAAAAATTCTCTCAATCCAAAACTTTTAAAATACATAAACAACAAAGATGAAGAAATATTATTTGCTTCAATAGATATTAGAGAGTGCCAACCAAAAATATTTTATGCTCAATGGAACAATCAAAATTTACTTTCAATTATTGGGCCAAACGATATACGTAAAAGGTGGGAATAATTTAAGGTGTTCGACTTCGTTATAAGGTGTTAGACTATATTATGTAGACCAAAAACGCTACTGTCCCCCCTCGCCAAAACGTCCCTCTCCCCTTGGGGTAGGGGAACAATGAGAGAGAGGTCTAGGCGATATCCTCTATTTAATATACACCTCATTATAAGAGACAAATTTTTTAATCTCCGAGGGGTATCTTATACATAGTGAAGAAAGGAAAAAATGAAAATCCGCAAAAATTATCCGCAAAATTTTTGCGGACAAAAAATTTTTTGCGGACAAAATAATGCCGATTCGACTATACATTATTTTTTTGCTCTCATTTTTCTTTCCTCATTTCACCCCCATAAAAACACATGTTCGATTCGTTCACCGCGCTCAGGCAATCTGTCAGCTTGATTAAAAAACTTTGACCCTTTTAACTCATTTCCTCATTTTTATATTTTATTTACTTTTTCCAATTTTCCTCCCGCCTTTTTCCGCCTCACACTAACCATTTTATTTATGGATGTGCCCACGTAGTAAAAAATGATATAACACACAAAATGCCGCTAACAGTGACAGAATGGATGAAGAGGTAAAAAGGGGGAATTTATATACTCCCTTTTCCTTCGTTTTTTGCATGCATTGACCCTTTAATAGTAGGCTATGTTTTGGCCATAACCCAAAAAATATTTTTTTATAAAAAATTAAATAGTTTTGTTAATTTAATTAAAAATTTATTTTTATTTTTATTTTTTAATCTTTTATTTTTAAATTTATTTAAATCCCCTTTATAAAATAAGCAAAATAAAATATTACATACTATTTAGTAAATATTTACAATAATTTCCTTTTTTTATTTAAAATTTTTGCTGCAGTGGTGGAATATCGATAACACAACACCCCTCGATAATAAGACACCCTTATTTAGAAATCTTTAAATGGGTAACTTACCACTTCTGTTAATGAGGTTGTTGGATTAGTATAGAGATTCTAACACATATTAAAAGACGAACTCATCCTAATTGATCCGAAGATATCTTTCCTAAGGCTGGGATCTTTGCCTGAGTCTATTTAACAGGGCTGGGCTTATTTCGCAATTTCGCGTTTCGCATCTTTCGCATTCTCGCATTTTTTGGCGCGAAACGTTTCGCATTTCGCTTTTTATTTTTTCATTACGCCCAGCCCTGATAGGTAAGGCAGTTTTATCCAATCCACTGTCCAATCAGTTTGTCTGTAATGGTCGATATACTTAAAATTAGAGACCGGATCGAGACAAGATCTCGAACACAAATCTTGATAGTCGAGATTTTTCGAGATATCTCGTACGATTTTTATATGACCCCCCCCTCTCCCTCCCCTAGTCCCCACTCCTAGTCCGTTTTCAGTATGAAATACGCGTGAGATTCGACTTTATAAATATTTAAATGTTGCGAATTTTTAAATAAAAATATTTATTAAATTTTGAATTAACAGAGATAATCTTTGACAATAAAACAAATTTTTTTATATATGTATTTATCCATTTCCCTCCTATTTTTACCCTCAAAATAGAAAGAAAAAGAAAATTGATTACATTCAAAAAACCTCTTTTACTGACGGCTAACGCCAATAATAGCCAAGTGCCGACAAGGGAGACTACTTTTTTGGGGACACTAGAAATGAAAAAATGAAGATAAACTGTAAAATAACGGGAAAAAGTATATTTAACTCTGCGGGAAAATAAAAAATTTTTTCAATTGATTTTAACTGACGTGGAAAATTTTTTGGGAAAAAAATCTGAAAATAATTACTAGCTTATCGAAACATTTTTGGTCGTTATTTTTTTTTATTTTTTGTGAAACCGGTCCGGATCCGGCCAGATTTTTCTGGGTTAATCCTGTCCGGAGATAATCTGGGGCTCATGAAAAACAGGCTCTTTTGGGTCCCTGACTCCGGAAAAGTCCTTTAAATAGTTTGTTGATCTCAGTTTACGCCACGCTCGTGCAGAAATGTTCTGAGTTATTATAACTGGACTTGAGTCTGGAACTTAGTTCCAGCCCTAAGGTTTAGTCCCACTCCCTTTCCGGTACGTGGTCCTCGCTATATACAATGCCTTCCTTGTTGTTTTTTAAACATTTCTAGGGGGCTTGAATCCTTGGCCCTTGCATCCCTTTCTGATATTGACCCAAACTCCAACCTTCATTCCACGGACCCGCATTTAATTCAATAAATTTTAGGACTTTGGAGGTATTTTTAAGTTTATTTCCATTCTCTCTCTATCAGCTTCTTTAAAAAAGAATCATTTAAGCATTATTATATTTATGATGTCCCCGACAACAAACAAAAAAAAACAAAAAAATAAAATAATAACCACCTGTAGCATTATTTTTTAAATTCCTTCCATTCTTTCTGACTTTTCTTTCCTTTAAATTTTTTTTATTTTTTACTTTTCCCAGTTCCTCTTCATTTGGGACTAGCAATTTCGGCGCAGGGACATTTTGGCGCGAGCTTATCTCGGGCTTATAAAATAGTGAATTGATTATGTAGACGGATGAAATTTTTCAATAATACCCCTCGTATGTTGATCTACGTTCTCCAAAAATTTCAGAATTTTTGAGTTATAATTTCAGAAATTAATGTCAATAATGTTTTGATTCTGCCCAAAATGCTTACTTTTTCGGGGTTTATCGACTACAACTTAAAAAATATTTGATGAAAAATTCTGAAATTTCTGGAGAGGGTAGTCAAGGATGTTAAAAAAATTTGAGAAAATTTTTAAAAATTTAGGTTTCGCCTAAGTCCCAATTTTGAGGCGCGCGCCAAAACCTCCAGGCGCCAAAACAACCCCAACCTCTTCATTTTTTCTTTGTCCCAAAAAAACCGCAGGCATTTTGCCTCTCATTTTATTTTTGCTAAAATAATTAACTGACATCTTCAGACTTTTTTAAACGTCAAAAAATTTTTGCGGCTGCTTCTCACTCATTTTTAAAAAATGTTCTCGAGTTTTTTATTGCCTTTTTGTTAATGATGAATCAAAGCTTTTGCAAATCCTCTCTTAAAATTAATCAATCAATTTTATTTTATTTTTTAAATATTTTTTATAACAATTAAAAACCTCGTTATAAGACACTTTTAGGGCTGAAATTATCGTACCTTAAAATGAGGTGTATCTTAAATAGAAAGTATTCCCCAAACTCTATTGTGGGTACCTTATAATGAGTGTACCCTATAATGAGGGTACCTTATAATGGGGTGTATCTTACATGAGGGTATTTTATAACGAGGTGTCTCTTAAATAGAGGGTACCGTACCGCTTAAACAGCGTCCTATCCCCATGAAAAATATTTGATTGAAAAAAATTTTTAATCGAAGTGTATTGGGGGGTTCTTAAAGGAGGTTGTTAACATTTTTCTACTTTAATTTTGTCGTTTGCCATTACAGACTTTCAAAATTTTGCTGATTTTCGATTTCTGACACCTTTCCGACGGTCCTCTATTTCAAAGTCTCGAGATGTATTTTAAAATAACCCCCTCTCCCTTCTCGTAGAAAAATCCCAAGTCCGCAACTTTTTGTCCGCAACTTTTTTTGTCCGCAAATCACAATTTAAAAAAAAATTTTCTTTCAAAAATCCAAATTTTCTACCTTCAAAAAATTAAATTTTTAGAACATTTGGCTCAGTTCATATCGCCGATAGAATTCTTTCTATTGATACTTTGCTCATAGACAATTTATTTTCTGATAACAATCAAAAAGAAATTATTCTCGATACTTCTTTAAATTACAAAAAAGAAATAAAAGACAACAATAAAAAAATTTTAAATACAAAAAGAATTGGAGGAGGTAGTTTATTGACAATTTATTGATGAAAAAAATAAATTAGTTTTTATAAAATTATGCCGCGATATCCGCAATTTTTTATCCGCAAGTTAGAACCCCTCGGGCCTAAATTTGCTGACGTAGTGCCGGCCAGAGGTGAGCGCAAGAGACAATCGTGAGAAACGCAAAACTTAACTGCTGCATTCGCTTAATCAAATAAACAATTTGCATTTTCACATGCAAATATAAAGTGACCTATTTCTAAATATAAAGGTCTCCCGACATTCTCATCCAACTCTTGACTCTTATCTTAATTTTGTTATTCACTTCCCATTTATATTTTGACCCTTAAATTGTCTCTATAAATACCCCAGCATTCTTCTCATTATCAGATTTGGCCCAACCATTCCTCTCCCTTATTATTGTGCCCATATTTATATGGAGAATAAATTAAATTAGATAGAATAAATATTTAAAGAATGTAATTCAGTCTAATACAAGTCCCCAGAATAGTAGAACCCGAGTTAAGCTATATAAAACCCAAATATAGCAATTGGTGCCACATGTCCCGGGCTATTCTGAGAGGACTAAAAATAAAAATACCGGGCATTGCCCGAAGAAAGAAAATATTCGTGAAATTGTATAAATTAAAATACCGGTTATAAACTGAGATAGCTAAAAATTTGAAATTAATAAAGCATCCACAAATAAAATAATGGCATAGCCTGATGTGAGAAAAATTGAAAAATTCTAGAAAGTGGAAATATTGAAATGGAATGATTTAAAAAACCCGTCTTGAAAATGTAATGATCTGAAAAGTTAGCACTGAAGACAGAAGCGGAAAAGAACTTTCTGTGGTAAATAATCAAATAGCCGAAGCTTGGTGCGGGCTAGGTGCCTGGCTATAATGCATAAGACGCGTGGAAGCGCAGCAAATAAAACCGCGAATGGATCTAAACTTAATCTTTAAGCAGTGATAGCTGTGGAAGACAAGCAAAAGCAAGACGATTTTTTTATTGAAGGGAAGGAAAAAATGATATGAATTTTTCTAAAAAAGTGAAGGATAAGAAAATTATTAAAGATAGAATGATAAATCTTACACCCGTATCTACATCGGAGAATCTCACGCTCAAGTCGTTAAGTGAACAGCAATAAAGAAATTTATCATGCAACTTCTATGCCTCAACAATTCAATGATAAGGGACAACAAAAATGAAATGACTGATCAACTCTGGATGCAAAAATGGCACATGGCACTCAAAGAATCAAATGGACAACACTGGAAAGAATGATGCTCAACTAGGCTGTGAAAGAAAACTCCATAAGTTCTTGTCAACCTAATTAATTTTTAAAATTTTTTGTAAACCGATTTTTTCTTAATTCCCTTGTTTGTAATTTTTCCTTATTTTTAACCCTTTCAAAATAATGTAATCTGCCCCATCCAGTAATTCACTCTAAAAAATTATTAGTCGGAGAATATGGAGTTAAATCGCTAAAAGCAGAAAATCTTTAATGACAAGAAAAAGATTTTTAAAACCCAAATGGAGACTGTTAAGCGAAAGCATAAAAAAAATTATTCCGTCGTGAGAAATAAGACGAGAATGTAAATTAAAGAAATTAAAGTGCCACCCGTTCAATCGGAGAAAATCTAGTTAAAAAAGCAGCCTAAACATATCTCCCGGAAAACATATTAGAACGTGGACGTTCTTTTCGAAGAGGGAAGGAATGCTGCATTCGCTTAATCAAATAAACAATTTGCATTTTCACATGCAAATATAAAGTGACCTATTTCTAAATATAAAGGTCTCCCGACATTCTCATCCAACTCTTGACTCTTATCTTAATTTTGTTATTCACTTCCCATTTATATTTTGACCCTTAAATTGTCTCTATAAATACCCCAGCATTCTTCTCATTATCAGATTTGGCCCAACCATTCCTCTCCCTTATTATTGTGCCCATATTTATATGGAGAATAAATTAAATTAGATAGAATAAATATTTAAAGAATGTAATTCAGTCTAATACAAGTCCCCAGAATAGTAGAACCCGAGTTAAGCTATATAAAACCCAAATATAGCAATATTAACTCAAGGCCAAAAGTTAACATGAATAACGCAATGCGCTCATCCCTAGTGCCGACCAGCTTGAAATCTTGACCTGCTGTTTAACGTTGCGGACTTTGTTTTGTGGAATTTTTTGTAGTTTTTTTTGTACGGACTTTTAATTTGCGAAAATTTTCTAAATTTGCTGACTCTTAATTGCGGATTTTTTGCGGATTTTCCTAAATTTGCAGACATTTTTTAACTTGACGGATTTTTTGCGGACATTTTACTTAGCCGGCATAATTGAAATATACCTGAATATTTAAATGCCCCTATAAAAATTTTTAAAATTTATTTCAAAAATTAAAAAAAAGATGAGCCTAACAACGTTAAAGAACTTGCTCAATTAAATTCTTTTGCTCATTCAACAATTTTAAATGAAAATACCCATAATTCTCATCAAAGTTTAGACCAAGTCCGTGAATTTGTCGAGGAATATTTAAAGGTGTTTTTGAAATTTTTTCAAAAAAAATTTTTTATTAAGACAAAACTATCAAAAGAAGTTCCTTTTCTTGTACTTGGTTTGCTTAGACAATCGACAAAATTAATGGCGGTGGGTTGAGTTTCTATTCAGAAAAACTTGCGGACAGTCCGCAAATAACTTGCAGATTTTTCCTCGTATTTTTAAATTTGCAAAAGAAAGTCAACAAAACTATGCGGACTTTTCTTCTAGCAGGATAATCCTTAGGAAAAGTCCGCAAAAACTTGAGGACTTTTTCTGAAAATCCGCAGAAATCTTGCGGACTTCTTTTGCGGATTCCTCTTATTTCTTCCGGATATCCCTGGAATTCTGACCGCGTTTTCTGATTTTATCGTTTAATATTACAATTTTTCAAGGGCAAACTGAGGGAGAAATAAGAGGATCCCACCTTTAAAACAATTGCCAATATTTTTTATTTACAATTAATTCCACAAAAAATAAATATTTATTTATTTTTTTAATTAAAATAACATCTTGTTTTTCATCAAAATTTTTTTGTTTACAAAATTTTTTTTTTCAATTTTATTTCCTTCTTCATAATTCGAAAATAATTTTTTTCCTTATTTTTATTTATTTTTTTCCTTAAATTTAAAAAATATATTTTCTCTAATTTTTCTCTTCCCAATGTATCTTTTAAAGCTTTATTTATTCTTTCATCAAAACTTTTTCTTCTCTTACCCATCTGCGCTCTTAAAATTCCCTGGAGATTTTATAACTCTTGTTGATGGATTCGTTAAATTTTTTAAAAAATATTTTGAGGGTGCTAGAGCTATTATCGAATTGGAATTTTTTGCCATTATATTTTTTGGCGTTAAAGTCGGACCTCATAAGATACAGCCTAAGTACGCCTCAAATTAGGCTATGCCTCATTATAAAGTATGATTTTACAGCTTAAGGGAGGCTGCTTTATAGTGGGGTACGTAGTATTGGGGGTATCTTATTGAGAGGTTCAACCCACACACACCCCAACTTTAAGAAGTTGGGGTGGTACTGGGTTGGGGCCTACCTAAGCAATTCAAGATAACCTTATTATAAGATAAGATTATTTAATTCCACGAGTGAAGGTTCTTATGGTGAGGTTTAACGTAATTTTTTGGCTATATAACTGATTCGTACCTGTACACCCTTGGTGCCTAAAAGTGCAGTCATATTTTAGTCATACATCCTAGTTAGCCCCATCCACCCAGAGCCTATATACTCGTGAAGTTTTTTTTGGCATAATATATATTTTTTGGCATTATTTCTTACCAAAAAATGCGTTTACTCAATTGGATGGTCAACAATTTTACTGTAAATACTAAAAAGAAAAAATCCTCCCAAAATCAACAAATTTATGACAACAATTCTTCAAACTTTCTCCATTCTTCCCTCTTCCTTATTGCTCAAAAACAACATGGGGTAATTAACAAACATCCTCCAACAAAGCAAAAACACCCTTGGGAGACAACAAAACGTTTTATGCGATTTCCATTAAATTTAATGGCAAATAAAGGGCGTTTAAGGTAATAAATTTGGAAAAAAAATTTATGGATTGGGAAATTTCAAAAAATTTATTTAGAAAATTGTCCACATCTTCCTCCTCTTCCTCCTTTTCTGAGGAAGTTTGGCTTAGAATGCGAGCAAATAATGAACAAAACAACATAGATAAAACTCCCCAAAAACAACGTTCAGTTGAAAATCGTCGCTTTACAGAATCCCCAAAAGCGTTGAGACGAAGTTTTCGTCGAGTTCGACAACGTGGAGGATCTGTACATTTTTCTAAAATTAAATCTGAAGAAGAAGGAAAAAGAATTGTTAGGCCTAACAGTCTCAATTTAAAATTGAATGGAAATTGTGGGGAGGGAAGGAATTATTCAATTAAGAATGAACGAGAAAACATTGACGAAGAACAGAAAATAGAAAAAGGTAAACAAAAGCTTGACCGGAAGCCAGACATATCGGGACGGACATTTCCGGATGAGCACATAACGAACACTTAGCCAACCCTACCTAATCACAACCTCCCTTCTCACAGCCCTAAACCAATACAACCAGAGACGACTGAAGGTCTGATCGAGATCTAAGATCGATAGATATCTCAAAAAATAGTTGCTTTCTCAAAAGAAATTTTTGCTGGTGATTTAATCCCAGTCCGATCTAACAACCTCCATTGTTCCGGAAAATTGTTACTTTGGGTTAGTGGGAAAATTTTTGGTTCTGTAACCAAAGGGGGTCAAAGGTTCGAATCCTCTTAGTGGAAAGCAATTTTTATATTCTATAAATAATTGAAATAAAAAATTTTTTTGAAGGAATTGACTCGATAAAAAATAAAATTGGTGAAGAAATAGTTGAAAGTTTAAAAGAAAATAATTCAAAAGAAGAGGAAAATCAAAATTTATTCAAAGAAGAATCAAGAAATGTTACAGATTTTGCTTTTCAATTACAACAAAAAATGACAGAAGTTCTCAGACATCAGTATGGTAATGGCAGGAAACTTCATGTTCTATTTGTGGATAGTCCTGATATTTGTAATATTCGCAAGGAGAACTTGGTTAAAAATGAAGAAAACCAAGGGAGATATCAAAGAAGAAAATGGTCTAGTGAACGTTTACCTTCCAAAAGTTTATTAAAAAATCGACGATTATTAAACTCTTCTTTATGTAAAAATGAAGAAAAAGAAGAAAATAATTTTTTAAAAAGAAAAAATGATTTAAAAACAAACAATTCTTTAATTAATCAAAAAAGGTTTTTTGAAAGAAAATATTTTGATCTAACAAAAAGACATTCAAATGCAAGTACATCAAGTGGGAATGGAATTATTTATGGAAATAATAGGTGATATCTAGCAGTTATGTTTGTAGGCTTTTATTAAAGATCTAATTTTAGACAAAAAGAGAAGGCACGAGCAATAAAAGGAGAAGAAAAAATTGAAAAAAATGAATTTACTAAAGCAAATGACGAAAAATTAAATATTAAAAGGCGTTTTTGGTCACTTAGAAATAAAAAGAGAAAATTTAGCAATAATTTTGGGTGTGAGATTATTAATTGTGGAAAGAAGGTAAGCTTGCTAAAATGATTGGTGAGGGAGGGGCGTTCTTTAAAGACCATCAAGTTTTATGGGAGGAAGGAAAATAACCAAATATTAAATTTTTTAGTTAAGCAATAGCTGTGAAACTGTTGGAACTCGACTTGCTTTATTTGAACAAGGATGTGAACAAGATCGTGTTTGGATGTCTAAACGCGTTGTGCGCAAGCAAAATGAAATTGAAAAAATTGTTAAGGCATGCTATGGCGCGGCGGCGCTTTTTAATTTTTAAATTTTATTTTTTTTTAAATTTTTCTTTAAATATTTTCTTCAAAAATCTTTATTATTCTCTCTATTTTCTTCTAAAATTAATAAAATCCCTCCAAACTTTTATTTAAATTTCATTTAAATAGTATTGGCACTTGTATACCATTTGAGGTATCCGCTTTTTTGCGGATTATTTTGGAGGATCCTTTGGCATAATATACCAAAGCCTTGAAATTCCAAACTTTTTCACCCTATTTTATCATTTTGAAGAAGAATCCGCGAAAATAATATTTTTTGGCGGACATTTCTTTTATTTTCTCAGATTTGAGGAAAAATCCGCAAAAATTAGTCGAAAAACATGGACCTTTAAGTGTCTTATGTTTAAATTTTTTAGTTAACTGGTGAATGGGTTCAAGTCCAAATTTTACATCTTCCAAACGAGCCGGAAGGATTGGGGTTTGGCATAGTTGGTGGACACAGCACCGGCGTTGTAATCAAGTCTATAGTTGCTGGAAGTGTGGCAGATAAAGTAAAATTATCGAATTTAAATGAATAAGTTTTTTGGTCATTTTAGGATCAGAGGTTAAGACCTGGTGATAGAATTCTTCAAATTGGTCACATTTCAACGCAAGGACTTAATAGGTGCTTTAAAAATACTGCAAACTTTAGAAACTTTAGAAATTCACTGCAAACTTTAGAAATTCATTCAAAACCTAAATATAAAATACCCTAGGGCTTTAATTAAAATAAAAATTTTAGTCAACAAATTGCTGCTCTACTTCGACAACAAGACGGCCCTTATGTCCAAATGACTGTTGCACATTCCATTCAATTGCAGGATACAGAAACAACAGATACACCAAGTAAAAAAAATTTTTTTTTTTAAATTTTTTTACTAAAATGGAAGTGAAATTTTTAATCAAAAAAATTTTTATAATTGCGTCATTTGGCAAAAAAACCAGCGTGTGAATTTTCCCTTATATAGAAGAGAAAATTCAATAAATATTCACAGCTTTTAAGTTTTTATTTTTAGCTTATAAAATAATATTTATGTTCAAATAACTATTGCGAATTGTCTAATTAAGCGAAATTATTATCTCTGAGTGGGAGAGCCATTTAAGCTATACCCCCTATTTAGCATACACTCATTATAAGTGACCCTCTATTTTTGATACACCTCATTGTAAGCGACAAATTTTTATTCTTCGAATGAGAGGGTTCGAATGCCTGCAATTTTTAAATGAATTTATTTAATTAGTGTGTTGGACAATGGCAACAAGAGCGGCACTTTCAGCAACTACATTAGACGAGGAAGTTCAACGTCGTTTAGAGTTGATGGCTGTAATTTTTAAATTTAAAAAAATAAAAAAAATTTGTAAAGTCAAAGCCTAGTACAAGCAGATGCAATGGAATTAATCATTCAAAAACAACTCCAGCAACTTTAAATGAAGGGACTGAATTTCCAGATCAATTAATTAATAGGCTTGGACCTGAAACTGTTTTGAAAGGTGTTTGGATTTTTTATTGTTAATGGGGGTTGAGAGAATATTTTTGAAAAGTTGGGACTAGTGTCGAGTGAGATGTTTTGCAGAGTTTTTTCACTTTTCAGGAATTTGTAGAATATTCTACAAATTGTAAAAACTTTTCCGGAATTCTGTAAAATGTTTTACAAATTGTAAAACCTTTTCCGGAATTAAATAAAATATTTTACAAATTGTAAAACCTTTTCCGGAATTTAGTAAAATATTTTACAAATTGTAAAACCTTTTCCGGAATTAAATAAAATATTTTACAAATTGTAAAACCTTTTCCGGAATTAAATAAAATATTTTACAAATTGTAAAACCTTTTCCGGAATTAAATAAAATATTTTACAAATTGTAAAAACTTTTCCGGAATTAAATAAAATATTTTACAAATTGTAAAACCTTTTCCGGAATTAAATAAAATATTTTACAAATTGTAAAACCTTTTCCGGAATTAAATAAAATATTTTACAAATTGTAAAACCTTTTCCGGAATTAAATAAAATATTTTACAAATTGTAAAACCTTTTCCGGAATTAAATAAAATATTTTACAAATTGTAAAACCTTTTCCGGAATTAAATAAAATATTTTACAAATTGTAAAACCTTTTCCGGAATTAAATAAAATATTTGACAAATTGTAAAACCTTTTCCGGAATTAAATAAAATATTTTACAAATTGTAAAACCTTTTCCGGAATTAAATAAAATATTTTACAAATTGTAAAACCTTTTCCGGAATTAAATAAAATATTTTACAAATTGTAAAAACTTTTCCGGAATTAAATAAAATATTTTACAAATTGTAAAACCTTTTCCGGAATTAAATAAAATATTTTACAAATTGTAAAACCTTTTCCGGAATTAAATAAAATATTTTACAAATTGTAAAACCTTTTCCGGAATTAAATAAAATGTTTTACAAATTGTAAAACCTTTTCCGGAATTAAATAAAATATTTTACAAATTGTAAAACCTTTTCCGGAATTAAATAAAATATTTTACAAATTGTAAAACCTTTTCCGGAATTAAATAAAATATTTGACAAATTGTAAAACCTTTTCCGGAATTAAATAAAATATTTTACAAATTGTAAAACCTTTTCCGGAATTAAATAAAATATTTTACAAATTGTAAAACCTTTTCCGGAATTAAATAAAATATTTTACAAATTGTAAAAACTTTTCCGGAATTAAATAAAATATTTTACAAATTGTAAAAACTTTTCCGGAATTAAATAAAATATTTTACAAATTGTAAAACCTTTTCCGGAATTAAATAAAATATTTTACAAATTGTAAAACCTTTTCCGGAATTAAATAAAATATTTTACAAATTGTAAAAACTTTTCCGGGATTTAATAAAATATTTTACAAATTGTAAAACCTTTTCCGGGATTTAATAAAATATTTACAACTTGTATAATATTTTATTAAATTCCGAAATGGGGGCTTAAAAATGTGGCATATAACACAAGAGTACCTTTAGAAATTTCTAAATTTTTAGATTTAAATAAACAAAGTACTTCTTCAATTGATATTGTAGCTGAAGGTGGTAGTACAAGTGTAGATTCTTCATCCAAAACAAAAAGGACAGCAGCAGAAAAACTTTTATTAGACTCTGAAAGAAAAAATGGAAAAAGGAAAAAATTTCGTTCCAGTCGGGTTTGGTTTTTAATATATTTTATTAAGTATTTAACTTAGAGGTAGACTCTGCTTTGTGGTAGAAAAGTTAGGATTCGGTGTTTTTTGCGTTGAGACTTGTGTAGTTTTTTTGGTTAAGCTAATCCATGTAACAAAATCCAATTGCCATATAAGTCCAAAACTTCTTAAATATGTATCGTACAAAAATAGGAAAGATCACATGACTTGCGGACAGAATTTGCGGACTTTTTTCTTGCGGACTTTTAAGATTTTTTTTTATTTTTAAGTCTCTCACAATAAAATTTCTTTAAATTTTTAGGGTCAATCAAACGACAATCCATCATGTTCGTCTTCTTCCGAAAGGCGTTCTCTAAGACAACTACAAGAAATGGTACTATAATAAAAATAATTTTTTTTGAATTTTTCCCTTCTAGGCATTAACATCATTTTGTCGTGATAAATGGATTAATGGAAAATATAAGATAATTAATGTAGAATTAAATAGGGATTCAAAAATTGGACTTGGAATAACTGTGGCTGGTTATGTTTATAAAAAAGGTGAAGAATTTTTTGAATATTAAATAGAGATCGGTACTTTAAAATCTTGATCTCGATAATCGCATCGTTAGAGATTTTATTTCTTTCAGGCTATATACTAGATACTTTAAAAATTAATTTTCCTAGCACAAGTATTGTGGGTGAGTATTAGGGGTGTGTCAGTTTCGACTTTCGTTTCTCGTCGAATTTCGTATTTTTGTATTTTTCGCATTTCATTATTAATTTCGTATTTCGTTTTTGACTTTCGCTTTTAAAAATTAATTTCGCATTTCGTTTTGTTCCCCTTACGTCTTTGTCTAAAATTTTCAAATATGCGAAAATCTTTTATATTTAGTTAAACAATTTTTTATATATTTAGCACATCTTCTTTCTTTTTATCCTACTATTTTAAATAACATTTACTACAACTTTTTTTTTGCAAAAAAACAATTTTCTTCTTTGTTAATTTTATATTCTTCTGCTTTTCTATTTTTTTTAGTTTCTTCTTTTATTTTTTTTATTTTTTTACACCAAACACTATAAACTATGCCATAACAAGCTTCTTCTTTTTCCTAAATATTGGCTAAAAGGAAAAGTTATTATTTTTTTAGGAATTTTATAAAAATCATTTCCTTTTACAGCAATCAAAATTTTCTGTTTTTTAAAAGTTATGTATAAAATGCCCAATAAAATTTTATTAATAAATACAAAAAATACAAAAAATAAAATAGGTAATACTTCTCGGAGGTGTGCCATTTTTAGTTTCGTCTTTCGCGAATTTTGCTTTTTTTGAGCTGCGCCTTTTGTCTTTTAAATCAGTTTCGTATTTTTGTATTTCGCATTTCGCCTTTCGTCTTTCATTTTTAAGAACCAGTTTCGAAATTTCGTCTTTTGCTTTTTAAAATCTTTTCTTTCGTATTTCGCATTTCGTCTTTCCCTTTTGAAAAATCAGTTCCGAAATTTCGTCTTTCGTTTTTTAATCAGTTTCGACACACCCCTGGATTAATACTGAGAGAAGATCCCCCTGGATATCACTAAAAATTTTTTACTTTCAGAAGAAATAAGCGGCGTATTCATCAAATCATTAGTACCTCAATCATCTGCCCATCTTTCCAAACAAATTCAATTACATGATCTTATAGTTGAAGTTAATGGAAGAAGCTTGGAAGGATTGAGTCATGTAAAATTTTTAAAAAAAAAATTTGAAAGAATTTTTTAAAATTAAAGAATGATTCAGTTAGAGCATTAATTAACAGCGGAAATAATGTTGTAATGAAACTTGTACGGTTTGATGCAGAAACGCCTCAAGCAAAGTGCCTAAAAATGCTTCATGAACAGGTGGACGCTTTTTGAGTAGATAAAGAGTTTTTGAAAATTTTTCGAAGAAAATTTTAAAAAATTTTAAATAAAAATTTTTGCGGACGTTTTTTGCGGACGTTTATTGCGGATTCTTTTTTGAGCTGTGAAGTGGCATGTTTGCTTATTTAATTTAAGTTTAATATAACTATTCCTTTAACTAAAAATAAAATACTAAGATTGACCAATGTGAAGAGGGAAAAACTTCAAAAAGGTCCGCAAAAATTTGTCCGCATAAAAAAGAATTTTTTGAATTTTCTCTAAAAATCCGGAAAATGTCCGCAAAAAATAAGCCTACTTAAATATATCCGCAAAACTTTTTTGAATGACTTTTAAATTTTCTATTAAAGGAATTAGCTGTCGCCGCTTCAGTACATTCCGAATCAGCCGCTTCTTCAAGTACAGCAACTGGACGTGCTGGAAGAACTGCTTCACCCCTTCCAGAAGCACTTTGTGAACATCATAAAAAACATTCTCTTGTTGATTATAAAGTAAATAAAATTCTTATTAATATTTGGATTTTTTTCTTTTTTAATCCCCCGAAAGTCCAAAATTCTAATAAAAATTGTTGCGGATAAAACGTGTGGACTTTTAAGAGCATTAAGGATAAAAAACCAAAAATTAATTTAAAAAATTTTTCCAGAGTTTTTGGTCAAATAAATTTGGTTCAGAATATGACATTATTGTGGTTGATTTAAAACCGGATGATAAAATTGAAATAGATGGGGGAATTGGTATTGAATGGCAAGGGACTGTTGATGTTTGCAATGGTGGGTTTTGAAATTTATTTGGGCTCTGTTAGAGTTTATGAGTCCATTATAGGACTCATAAAGTCGGCTGAAAATATTATGAATCCAATGGATGTCTAAGATCTTTAGGAGTACCCAAAAAGGAGATTAAGCCGTGCTTTAAAGTAAAGGAATCAGAAGTATTCTCTATGCGTAGTTCAACAGATTTGGAAAGATTTGGGGGGATTTGAAGTGATTATCTGTGGATATAAAGGGATTTACAGAGATGAAGGGATTAGTACGGATTTTGGGGATGTTAACAGATTTGGAGGGATTTTGGGTGATATAATGGTGGTGGGATATCGCGGGATTCATTGCACTCAAGCTAGAAGATAGATTCAGTTTAAAATAAAAAATTTAAAATATCAAGGAAATCAGTTATGTTCTCATCATTTTATTTCAAGTCTTCGTAGAAATGGTCCAGCAGAGAAAACGGGCATTTTAAAGGCTGGGGATGAGCTTTTACAAGTAAAGAAATTTTTTTTATTTATTTAAAAAAATTAAAAAAAAATAGGTCAACGACATATCACTTTATGGGGAATCTTTTGTAAAAATGCGTAAAGTATTAAATCGTGAAAGGCGTGAAAATTCTCCTTTTATTCGGCTAATATTTTGTAGAAAAACTGAATTAGGTAAATAAATATTTTAAATTTAATAAATTGTTTACAGTATAAGTTCAGATTTAAATACAGGGGAAACTCTATATGGCGACAATCCTTGAGTTAAATTTTACAGACTTAGAAAGAGATTTTTACTGACGTAAGAAATAGGGCTAAAAATATCCCCTTCAGGGTCAAATTGGGTTGACGTATGTATGTACGCAAGGGACGTATGAGAGAGCGTCGTTATAAAGACCTCCAAAAGTAGATAACCTCGATTAAAGAGATACTTTGTAAATTTGGTTGTCCATAGGCTTATGGCCCTAGCGATATTTTTAAGATCAATCATTTTAAGATAAAATCTTTTCTTCCCTAAAAGTGATATTAAAATTGTAACTTTTACAATAAATAATTTTTTTCTAGACTTTATTAATTTTGTGATACCATCACCAGAACAGTGCCTTCCTATAGCTTACCCTTTATTAGCCTCAATGATGGCTGGTGAAGAACATTTTATTAAAGTGGGTATTTTGTGGGGTTTTTCTACTGAATTGTGTCTATTTTAGGCAAAATCAGAAATTGGCCTTTGTAATCTTAATGGAAAATTAAATGGAAAATTCACTTCAACCCCACGTAGATCCTCGGTAAAATTAAAAATTTTTTTTAAATTTTTCCAAAAAATTTTATCATTTAATTAGGCATTTATTCGCCGTCCTCAATTTAAATCACGTTCACTTGAAAATTTGTCTGGTTTAGCTGTCTGGAATTGTGTTCCTTTAGTTGTTCCTTTACTTAAGGATGTTAAAGGGCTTGGATTTTCTATTGCTGATTATCAGGCATTTAAAAAATTATTTTTAACCAAAATGAAGATTTTTAAATTTTAAAGGACCCATTACACCCTGGAGAAAGAGTTGTTTTAATTATTAGAAGTCTAGTTCCAGGAGGAGCAGCACAAGTGAGTTTATAGGCTTATTAGTTACTTTTCAGTAATTTATAATTTTTTTAGGCCGATGGACGAATTGTCCCTGGGGATAGACTTCTTTTCGTTAATGACAAAGACCTTTCTAACAGTTCCTTGGAGAATGCTGTTGAAGTGTTGAAGGTAAAAAATTATTAGTTAAAACTTAACTATCAAGTCAGACCTAATTATAAGCTCAATCTCATTGGTCTTGAATAGAGTTCAGCGGGATCGTAATCCCGTTAAGGCATCGGGCGGGAGTATCCCGGGTTTTTTGAATCCCGATCCCAATTTTTCAGATCCCGAGACGTAAAGATAAATCCAGATCCCGATCTCATATCGGTATCAGCATTCCAAAATTCCGATCCCGATTTTTTGTTAAAGTTTTGAAAAAATTGTCGCTTATAATGTGGTAGAGTTATCTCAAATTGATGGGGTATCGATAAGTCAGCTCCTCACAAAAGATGGGCCGGATTACCCAAATCTGATATCCTGACATTTTTCGAAAATCCCATACGACTTTCATCCTCCCTCCCCCTCCCTCAATTATACCGCTCATCCCACAATGTCTTTTAAATAGAGGTTTATTTAATAATTAGGTATATCTTATAATGAGTCCAGTCCCTCCATATTTTTAATCGAAAAAAAAATTTTTTTAGACAGCTCCTGTTGGCCAAATTGTTCGTCTTGGAATTGCAAAGCCTATTCCTATTGAAAAGGTGGGGGGTTTTATATTTTTATATATTTTTTAACCTAAAATTTACTTATTTTGCACTTTTTATTTTTAATTTTTTAACTTTTCAAAATATTTGTTTTCGTCTAGTATTTTCTAATTTTTTTTAAATTAACGTCTATATCTCTGAGAAAAATAATAATAATTATTATTATTAATCCCTTTTTTACATCAGACTTTCCCCTCACTTTTTCTAATTTTCCTAAAAGTAAACAGACAAAAAACATGTGAATATTAACGTTAATTTTTATTTTTCAATATCATGTCAAACATTTTTTAAAATTATTTTAATTAATATTAGTAGGGTTTAAGGTCCCCTTTTCTTAATTTTTATCAACTCCTATTTTATTTATTATCTGATTTTTCCTTGGACAGGTCCCGAAACTTTCGTATCAGGAATTTCCGTATCCAAGATTTTTGGAAACTTTTGTCTCCAAATTTCGGAATTTTCATCTCCAGTGAAATATTCGTCACAAAGGAAATAAACTGGAATTTTAGGAATGCATTTTAATTTTAGTCACTGGAATTTAGGCGCGAAGAATTGAGGGCGTAGGGGTGAATTTCTTGATTTATTCGAGGGGGAGTCGACCTGTGGGAGTCGTCTGTCTTTATAAAAAGCATTATTAAATCCTGACCCCACAGAAATTTAAAATTAAAAGAAAAAGTGAAAAATCACACTAAAAATTAATCTCTTCATTTTTTGTACTTAATTTTTTAACAAAAAAACCGGTTATTATTCAAAATTCATTTTTTTCAAAACCGCGTGAAAAATTTATTATACTTTTAATCTTTTTTTATTTAAAAATAATAATCCTATCTTTTTTATTTACTTTTTAACCAAAAAAAATTATTTTTTCTATTTTATTTATCTTTGGATGTCAAAATATTTATTTTTATTTTTTATGTACCTATAAGGGATGTCACAGGTTGAGAAAAATGTCGGGTCAGGTTTCGGGCCAGGTTTCCAAAATTTTTCTCATATCGGGTTTCGGTCGGCAACCCTATTACCTATGTAAATTGTAGTGATGCTTGGGTATCCCAACTCCCGAATCAGGAAAATTTCCCGAGTCTTTGCCTCCCGATCCCTACTCTCGATGTCAATTCCCGTCCAGACTTCCGTTTCCCGATTCCCGGGTTTTTTCTTCTACCGAACATTACTACTAAATTGACGTATTATCGTGAGTCGCGTGTCCTAAAAACGCCTCTTTGTTATGTACTTGTTTAAATATTTAATTTTATACTCCTATTGTTAACCTTAAAACGAGGTTTAACTTTATTTAAATATATTCAACAATTAATCTTTTATTTTTGCAAAATTTTTTTACTAAAAAATATTTCCTATTTTAGTAAAATACCCCTCCGTATAATTAATTACTCTTTCCTTCATTTCCTCTATACAAAATGATTTATTGCTTTTTTCTAAATTTTATAAAAATATTTTTTGGCTGCCTATTTTGTTCTTAAGCCCTTCTTTTAAATTTTTAAACTCTTTAGTAAAATTTAAGCTCGATAGTTTGTCTTCACTTTGGCATTTCTCTCTCCTTATTACGTCGGATTTATTTGGTCCTGAGGGTTACTCATTATTGAGATTCTACTAATTATTTTATAATTATTAAAAAAACGACCCTCGCTATATTGCGTCGGCTCAATTCTGTCCATAAGTTACGTTTATTATTAAGAATTCAATTTTAATTCCATAATAATATTTTTTTGGGTGGTTTGTCATCTTTTAATTTTTGATAAAAAAAATTTATTCTTGTTCATATTTTAGAATTTTAAAATTGGCTTAATCATACATGAAGAACAAACACCCACCTCATTTTTAAAATTTTATTTGACCTCCAAATAAGATTTTATTTTGTGATTAATTCTAAGCATTGTTTTATCATGCAAATATATATTTTAGAAATAAAAATACTATTGACGAAATTAAATCTAAAAATGCGAAATACGAAACACTTTTAAAACGCGAAAAGCAATACCCTTATATTAGGGATGTCATGGGTTGAAAAAAAAGTGGGGTTAGGTTTGGAGGTTTTAAAAATTTTCTTCGGACCGGGGCAAATTTTATTTGGAGTTGCGTGTAACCCGGGACGTCCCTGCTTGATAAGGTCGATTTCATGGGACACCATGCTTTAATCCTATTTTTTCATGTTCCTTTTTTTAATTAAAAACAATTGTGTGTATATCCACTTTTGTTTTTAGGTAGCTTTAAAAAAGAAAAGCAGAGAGAGAGTTTTTCCTAAATCTTTTATTTTTATTTATTTTTATTACCAACCGACTCTCTTACTTTGTAAAGTATATACCTTTATTTTACACTAAAACTACTAAATGCTTCACTGGCTTATTTTTTTTTCTTGCTCTTTCCCTTCTCTTTTGTTTTCCTTATTTTTTTATCGTCTGGTTTGTATTTTTATATTGATCCTCACACTTTAATTCTCGTCCATTCTCGCTTTTATTTTTTCCTAAAAAACCAACGTCCAGATATAATTTAATATCCACAATGTCTAGCAGTAATTTCATAGATTAATGCATATCGGAACGAGCCGACAAAAAAAAAACAAACTTCCCTATTTCATGAAATTGGGATTCCCAGCTCAAAAAACGACCAAAAAACCGACCCAGAAAACATAGGTAATTCCTGATTTCCGGGAATCGTGACGGCTCGTTCCCTGATGCATATCTTCTGACAATTTAATTACCTTCCGAAAAGGGGCTTTAATTCGTAAGGGGGCTGTAATAATTCCATGTGTTCTGGTGTAACTAGCACAATTTTCGGCTAAAATAAATTAGTAAAACTATAGTACTTTAAAATTGATGAGGGATTAAGAGGTGCTAGGAAGATATGTTGGGGATCGTCAAGTATCGGGATAAATATTGCTTTTGTCTGCTAGATTTTAAATTAAAAGAAAATTTTTTTTTGGGTTTCTAAAAAATTTATTTTTTAGAAAAATATTTTTTGTAAAAAATTCATCATTTAAAATCCCATTAAATTTATCAAAAAATTTGGAACTTATGCAGTTTGGGTACACACCCCATTTATTCGCGAGAGACACCCTCATTTATTAGGCGAATTGACTAATCAACCCATTTATTCGCGAGCTAACAATAACCCCATATTACTGCATACTCGACAAGCAACTTCCGACTCTTGCGAGATACGTGCTGGATAACCCAGCACGACGTGAAGAATTATGCACTAACGTTTTGCCGATCTCAATATGGTTATTTTGACCCTTTTGAGCTTGCGAATAAATGGGGTGTGTACCCAAACTGCATAAGTTCCAAAAATTTTTTTCTCTCAATTCCCATCCCTACTATTTATTATTTATTTTTATTTCTACCACCTATCACTTAACCCTTGGCATAGTTTTTTTATTGGCCCAGATTTTGGGTTCTATTTTTGAAAGATAGAAAAAGAAGGGAGAGAAACGGCTGGTTTTCATTGATTCACTTCTACCCGCTTTTTTTATTTTAAATTCCATTCCCAAACTTTTTTTTTTATTTTATTGAACGATTAAATAAAAATTGAATTGAGGAAGGGGAAGAATTTGAAAGAATTTTTTAAATATCAAAATCAAAATTTTTTTTATTAATTTTTACGTTCGGACTTCTCCTCTTAAAGCATTGTAATACCCCATAATAAGATAGGTGTATTGTAGATTGCTAATATCGTTTTTGCATCTTTCCTTACATATTGGTCAACCAAATTTTAAAAGCGTCTCTTAAATAGAGGTGTATCAGGGGTGTGCGAGTTTCGCGTTTCGCGTGTCGCTTTTTTAAATTTCGCCTTTCGCGTTTCGCGTTTCGCTTTTTAAAATCCGTTTCGGCACGCCCCTGAGGTGTATCTATTATGTTATCTTATAGAGATGTACCTTATATCTACCTTATAACGATCTATATCTTAAACAGAGGGTATTGTTTAGGTAATTTCCCTCTAATATGACATCGCCTCAGGGTCGAACTGACCTGCATAACAACGAAATAGATTTAGTCGATGTGTCTTATAGTGAGATTTCCGACTTCAATTTCAAATGTTTTTTTGAATAATCTGTTCTTTTTAATTTTATCTCTCATGTACATATTAGTGTTCGGCACGAGACGATATATCGACGATATTTTTCGAGATATCGCGAGATTTTTTTCGAGATTATCGATCTCGATCTCGTCTCGATCAATTTTTGAAAAAATCGAGATTTTTCGATATCGAGATTTTTCGAGATTATCGATCTCGATCTCGTCTCGGTCAAGTCAGAAATATCGCGAGATTTTTCGATATTTCGATATTTTTAAAAAAGATTTTTCGTGATCAGTATTTATAAATTTTGGCGTTTTGTTAATTATTATTTGTTTCAATTGGCGAGCTTTGGTTTCGTCCCCTTTTGTTTCGTCCCCCTGAACAAAACTTTTGTTTCGTCCCAATGTAAAAAACTTGTTTCGTCCCCTTTTGTTTCGTCCCACTTTGGGTTCGACCCCCGAAATTCTGCCTTTTTTTCAGTTTTCAGGATTGTCAGGATTCCAGGATTTTCAGGATTAATCCTGCAGGATCCTGTCCTGTATGAAATTTTAAAACCCAATCCTGATACAGGACCCGTCCTGAATAATTTTCACTGTTCAGGACTCCTAAAGATTGACTTTTTGGAAGAAATCTGGCTTCGAGTCCTCCAAAAATTTCAAAATTTTCGCCTGCGGCGCTGAAAAAGGAAGAAATCTGGCTTCTTGCCCCCCCCCCCCCCCCCCCCCCCAAAATTCTCAAAGTAGAAAAGTGAAGAAGTATGTGATATAAGAGAAGAGTTATCAAAGGTTATGCTCGCATGTTTTAAGGCTGCTTGCTTCCGTTCGCTTTTAATTCCTCTTAATCATCCCAAATCCTTTGAATCACCTCCAATCCTCTTAGCGCTAGATGTTTCTCTTATTCCACCAGTAGCCTTCTTTGCCCTCTAGATCTTGTTAATCCCCCGAATATATTTAAATGAATTCTAATCGCTCTAACTTGAATGACTTTACTTGTCGGGTTGATACCTCCGCAAAAATTAGATACCTCCCTCGTTTTTCAGCACCGCAGGCGAAAATTTTTTGAAATTTGTGGAGGCCACTACATATTTTTTAAAATCCCGAAATCCTGGACAGGATCCTGGAAAAAAATGACCGCATTGGCAGGATTTCAGGATTTTCAGCCAAAGCTACTTCAGTAGATAGTAAAAAAGTTTTTTCAATTGCAAGAGACGTTTTCGATTATCGTCGCTCACTTTTGAGTCCAGAAAAAGCTGAAATGTTGATATTCCTTAACCAAACCCTTCCATTGATTCATTACAAATATTAAATTTACATTTAGATCATAATTATATTGATTGAAATAAATTTTTATTCAATTCTAAGGGATTATAAAAAATCTCGAAATCTCGCGATAATCTCGAAAATTTTGGACCGAGATTTTTCGAGATCGAGATTTTTCGAGATTATCGATCTCGATCTCGTCTCGATCAATTTTTGAAAAAATCGAGATTTTTTCGAGATCGAGATTTTTCGATAATCTCGATCTCGAAAAATCGCAAATGCCGAACACTAGTACATATTGTCTTTAAAAATAATTTTTATTACTAAAATTATAATTTTTTGTCCTTTTTTAGTGCCGATTAAGTACATCACCGCTAATTTCTCAAAGTGAACGTTTCCAAGCAAAATCGCATTCACCGCGAGGGAGGAGGCGTAGACGTCGCGAAAGCAGCAGCCTTCAATTGCTCAACACTGCTGACCAGGTAATCCTAGAAAATAATAAGCCTCCTTTACAACTTATCAGAAAAAATAAAATTAAACCCTCTTTAGAATATACACCCAGTATAAGTACCCTCAATATTATAAAGAGTATCCTAAATAGAAGATACTCATTAGGCAGCTTCTCCCTACATGTGGTTGGTCAACCAAAATTTTAAAAAGACGTGATTTTTTTTATTATTTTGTTTGGCCATCCACTATAAGAGACTTCAACCCAACTCCTTATAGCGAGGATCTTCTGTTTACCAAACCTCATTATAAGAGACTTTTCCACCCCCAGGGGTTTTGACTTTATTTTAAAATAATGAGTAGCTTTTGGGTGAGACCTCTATTTAATGTACACTTATTATAAGAGACCTTTCCTCCCCCAGGAGTTTTTGCTATAATGGGTGCCCCATGAAGCTAATGGGTAGCTTCATGGGTGAAACCCTCTATTTAATGTACACCTTATTATAAGAGACTTCAAACCAACCCCTTCTAGCGAGGAGTGGCTACATTTTTTTAAAAATAACACTAAAAAGCACTACTATAATGTCACTTCCACTTAAAAATAAATTCATTTAAATTTAAAGAAAAAAGGCAAAAATAAAGTAAAAGCCACCACTAAATATTAAGGAATTTTTAGACGGTTAATTCTCTTTATTTTTATTTTTTTTTGTTTGGCCATCCACTTTTTGGGCGGTTGACAAATTTATTTATTTATTTATTTTTCCTCTTTTTTAACATTTTAATATATTTTTGGCTTTTACTTTTTTCTCCTCTTTTTTGCATTGGAATAAAAATAAAAATATAAATTTTTATTTTTTGTCGTTGCAATGAACAAAAAAAATTTTTTTTCTAAAGAAAATTCTTAAAAAAAACCCCCCCAAAGGATTTTAAAGACTAATAAATTAAATTAATTCATGTCGGGGTCACCTAAAAATTGCTCGGGGTCGGTGTCGTCAAAGTTGAAACTTTCGATGTTTTAGACGAAAAGAGTTAAGGGCTATAAGGGGTCGGAGATTTAACCCTAAGTAAAAACAAAATTTTTTAAATCAATTTTCCCCCAGTGCTTTCTTTCGACCGGATCCAGTCAAGAAGAGATTTGGATAGGTCAACAACAACAACACAATTCTCTTTATAATTCCCAGCGGTGCTTAAATCCACAGGTACTTTTAAAAAGTTGAGACACTAATTTGGGTGTTTAACCATCAATTCATTAAAGTGACGCATAATGGAGCGTCGTTATTGAGAGACTTTTTTATAAAAAGGCGGCACAAGCATGTGAAAGCTAAGGGTCGAAAAAAGGGGAGGCGAAGCCTTCCATGCTATCAATTTACCCCCTATCCTGCTGTATCTCTCAGGGATTTTATCACTCGATTCCTGAAAATTGGGAATTAAAAAACATTTAAATTTAATTTTGAATTTTGTTTTTCCAGTTATATTTCCCTTCTCCAAGTAGTTTGACATCTACTCCAAAAGTAAGTACATAGTCTTTCTAAAAATTTTAATTTTTGGGAATTTACATATTTTTATTTGTTAAAATAAAATTCCAAACAAGCAAATTAACTATTTTTTTAATTAATTAATTTTTTGCTTTAATATCAATTTTATTTTTTTTTCTTATTCCTTATTTGTGTTTTTATCGTTCATTCTCTCTTTTATTTTTTTGGGGAAGGAAAAAAATTTTTTAAATTTTTTTCCAAAATTTTTTGCTGATTGTGAATAATTTTAAAAAATAAATAATAAAATAATTATGATATTCAGCTGAATTTATAAAAAATTTTTTTGGGCATTCTTTAACCAAATTTCATCAAGAATTCATTAAAAATAATTTTTCTAGAGTCCTACCCATTCTCCTATGCAAACAGCCACAGTTTCTGCCTGGACCCCATGCTCAAGTCGTTCACTTTCTCCTTGTGCCTCACCTGCAGCCTCTTTGAGAGGTTCTTGGTCTTATGGTAAAATTAAATGATAGAACCTCACTATAAGGGATAACCCGTTGACAATTATACCGAAGTGTGTTTTATAATGAGAGGTTCTTAAATTGGGAGTATCTTGCTTTGACAGCTTTCCTCCACCAACGTATCTTAGAGAGGCTTATCTAAATCTAATCTAAGTTTAATTTTCGAATTTTTATGTCCAAAAACAGCTTGGTCCCTATTGTTAGTAAAGGAAGCCGCCGAGGCGACACCCCCAAAAGTTAAGATACCCTCTCGTTATAAGTTCGATTTTCTATTTTCTAAAGGGTTTCTTATAGTGGGGTTTTCGTCTATATTTAAACAAAATACGAAAAATTAATTTAAAATTTAAAGATATTGTATTTCTGCCTTCACACCTTGAACGGCACATAAAAATCCTTAAAAGTTCGTTGCCCTTGGGCGTTGTATTGGACGCTGATGCTGATAAGGCAATTAATGGTTGTGTTGCAAAAAATATTTGTAGTAAAAAGGCTTTGGCAAAAGATGGAAGAATACAGGTGTGGGGAAGGAAAAATTTTTGAAATTTTTGAAAAAAAAATTTTTTAATTTAGCCTGGCGATTTTATTGTTAAAATAAATGGTGAAAATTTGAGGAATGTTACTAATGCACAGGCTAGGGCTATTTTGAAAAGGGCTAATTTGATTGGAGCTCAGTGCAAGTAAAATTTAACAAATTATCTTTTCTCTTAAAAAAATGTTGACTCTCATTATAAGTGACCTTTGGGGTGATTAGGTCTTATAATGAAGCGTCTCTTATAAAGAGGAATACCAAATAATCCTCCTTATTCCAGATACATTTTAATTTGGCTGACACAAGACAGCTTGAGCTGCTTAAGCGATACCTCCAATATTTAAGCCTCATTCCGATAGAAATGAGGCCCTGACTCGAACGTCGGCCCGACTCGAAAACCCCTAGTTATAAGTTTCATTTTTTCTCCTTCAAGGGTGTCTCGTATCATTAGGTATCTTAACATTTTTCTCCCTCAAGTGGGTTTTAATCATCTTTAAAAAATATTCTTTTAGTATTTCATACATAACTGCATCTGATGCTAGATTGTGGAAAGATCGTTTCCATAGATTAGACAGTGTTTCAATGTTTCCTACAGATGATAGTATCCAACAAATACGTTCAGTACAACAGAATGTTTTTGAAAGTTCCAGGCTATCGCCAAAGTGAATCATTTTTAATTAAATTTAATTTTAACGTCATTTTGGACCGAGGTTTAGTGTCGAGCTTGGACGGGTTAAATTTAAATTGAAGACCAAAAATTGAAGGCTAAAGTCAGATCTTTTAAAATGACTCGAACGTCGGCTCGACTCGAAAACCCCTACCCTAGAATGTTTTCTACAAAAGTCCACTACCTACTCGAAAATGTGGAACTCATAATTCTTTAAAAAAATAAATTCCAGAGTTTATCCAAAATTCTACAAAAGTCCACTATTCAATGAAGATGAACAACAACAACAAATATTAGCAACAACAACAAATGCCTTAGATTACAGCATTCCAAATAGTGAATTACACTCTCCTAATAATGATGAACAACGATATTTACTTCCATCAACTTCACAAATATTTGAAGGGGAGGAAAAATCGAGAAAAGAGGAATTGACCCAAATGAGTCAATTAAATTTTGAAAGATTTGTTGATAATCTTCAAAAGGTGACTTTTTAGGAAAAATAGTCTTGTTTAACTTTAATAATATTACTACTACATAGTAGTATCGTTTGGGAACCCTCCAAAGAATTGAGAAAAATCTACATTAGACGACCCTACAGTCGAATCTCTCTAACTTCTCTCTAAGGACCGAGGTTATCCAACGTGAAAGAGGATCTAACAAGATTGACGGATCCTGGAAAATCTTCAGTTGTCTGGATCCGGAATTCTTATCCAAACCGATCTTCGGAACGAAAATTTTGGATTCAGTTTTGGATTCCTAGAGATTCCACTCTATTACCTCTAAAAAATTTTTTTTCAAAGGCAATAATAGCTGATGCAATTTTTGATCTTTACATTCTTTGGAGTCGAGATAAACAAAGTATTTTACATTCCAATATTGCGGCAACAGCACCTTCACTTCCATCCCCATCAACATCAACTATTTCTTCGCCAAAACCAATAAAATCACCTCCTCGTGCTTTAAGAGCTGCTTCAATTGCCGTTACTCAACCACCGCCTAAACCCCAAAAAGGAATACTTAGAAGAGCGGCATCTTCGTTTAGAAAGGTGAATAACACGTTTTTTGAATCTGGGAAGAGGCAAACTTGCAGATAAAAAGCTGCGGATTTGGGAAGTCGGTCGGACCTCTTTATAGGATATCCCCATTATAATATACCTTCATTATTAGATACCCCCAATATTAGATAGGTATATTTAATATACGATTTTTAATTGGGCTGACCAATGATTAAGCGAATACCACATTAACCTACAAACTCAGTTTAGTGTCTGATTTTCTTAGAGGGATTAGGGGTTCGTGAGAGGTGCCTTAGAGTTTATGGAGGGATTAGCCTCAAGTTGGTGAGAGGTGCCTTAGAGATGATACACCTCATTTTAGTGTGTAACCCTAGTTTAGCGTTCGATACCCCAAGGGCGTATTTTATAACGAAATTAGACTCTTTAAAATACACCTCTATTTTTAGTACTGATAGGGGTATCTTCTGAGGTCCGACTGTCAATAGAAAGATAATCGACTGGCAATAAAAACAAAAAATTAATTTTACAGCCAGTCTCCAGAGCTTAAAAAATAATAGGAATTAAAGGGGGAATATTTAATGTTAAAAAATTTGTAAGTCTCTCCCAAGGGTGTTAAAAGAAGAAACGGAAGTGGCCGCCTTCTTATAAAAATAAAATAAAGTGGGGAGGGAGAGAATGGCATATATAATTGATTTTCTAGTTTTTTTTCTGGATGAAAGGATATACTTAAATAAAAACAAAAAAAAAAGTGTTGGTGCTTTCTTCACTTTATAGATAAGGGAAGGGAGAGACACATTGCAAGAATGAGATAAATAATTTTTTGTATTTGTGGGAAAGGGAGAATTCCTTTTTTAAAAAAAATTTTTTTCTAATTTTAATTCTCAAGCAAAAAAATATTTTTTGGCTCAGTTACCAACTTAGGATGGACGAATCCTTGGAACTTTTCGAGTATCCGGATATCCGGATCTCGTGTTTTGTCTGTTCCGTGATTTGCCCCTTCACCCCTTCCTCAATAGTATCTCACAGACTTTCCCCTTCCTTAATTTACGCTCTAATCCCTTATTGATGGGATTGAATGCCATAAAGAAGAAAATTAAATTAAAAAATAAAGTTTTACCATTATGAGCCTTTTTAAGGAAAAAGGACCTGAAAATATTTTTGGACGCTTAAACTTTTGATTTTAGTCACAAAATTCGATATTAATTTTTATTTTTTAAAGAAGCGTTCCAAACCCCCAGAAGAACAACAACAAAATTTGGAATATATGACAACAACACCAGCAACAACGTCAAATATAGAGATGAATAGAAGTAGCAGTAGATCTAGATCGGATACTCTGGATAATATTCCAACAACTTCAAATAGCCTTCCAACAAGTCCACGATTAGATGAGTCTAATAATAGAGAATCTGCAAGTAGAGAACCTAGTAGAGAACCTATTAATTTTTGGAGTGAGCCGAGAAGTGTTGTTTTACAGAGGCATCCAAATGAAACGTTTGGTAATAATTTATGCTTTAAAAATACCTAAACTTAAAAAATACAAAAGAACACAAAAATAAACTTAATAATAAGCTTTAACTTGAAAACACAAAAATAAACCTAAAAATAAGCTTGAACTTAAAAATACAAAAATAAACTTGAAAATAATCTTGAACTTAAGAATACAAAAATAAACCTAAAAATAAGCTTGAACTTAAAAATACAAAAATAAACTTAAAAACACAAAAATAAACTTGTAAATGAGCATGAACTTAAAAACACAAAAATAAACTTGAAAATGAGCATGAACTTGGAAATACAAAAATAAATTAAAAATGAGCTTGAACTTAAAAACACAAAATTAAACTTAAAAATAAGCATGAACTTAAAAATACAAAAATAAACCTGAAAATGAGCTTGAACTTAAAAATACAAAAATAAACTTGAAAATAATCTTTAACTTAAAAACACAAAATTAAACTTAAAAATAAGCTTGAACTTAAAAACACAAAAATAAACTTAAAAATAAGCATGAACTTAAAAATACAAAAATAAACCTGAAAATGAGCTTGAATTCAAAACTTTTTTTAGGTATTAGCATTGTTGGAGGTCGTGTAGAAGTTAGCCAAAAAGGTATTGAAATGGCTACTACTTCGACTCTCGGCTCTTCTTCCCCAGCATTGTCTAGTACCGTTTCTGGCATTTTTATCAAATCAGTTATTGCCGATTCCCCGGCTGGACGGTGTGGAAAACTTTTTATGGGGGATAGACTACTTAAAGTAAATGAAATAGATTTGTTAAATACAACACATGAAAATGCTGTTCAAGCAATTAAAAACGCTTCAAATCCTGTCTGTTTTGTTGTGCAATCATTACAATCTTTGCAAACATTTGTTGCTAGAGAGAAGGAGGTAGGGAGAGGATTTATGGAAGGAATATTTTTAAAATATAAGTTGACCCCTTAGGATTGAAAAATTTAATCGTATACATAACAATCTGAAAAATAAAAAAAATCCGCAAAAAGTGTCCGCAAAATTTTTGCGGACAAAAAATTTTTTTGCGGACAAAAATTTTTTGCGGACAAAAATTTTTGGCGGACAAGAGAAATCTTCTTTTTCAGAATTCAAAGAAAGCTTCACTAACTTCAATAATCAGTGAAGGCCAAACATCACTATCCATTCCCCCATCTCCCGCTATTGTTGAAATAGATTCAGCAAGTGCCGCAGCCTTAGAAAAGGATGGAGAGGATGAGGAAGTAGAGGATATATTTCATTATACTAAAAGTATAGTGTTTAATAAATTTGAAAAAATTTGAAAAAAAAAAGTTTATTTTTTAAAGGAAAGGTGCTAAAGAAGTATTCTGATTTGCCGGGAAAACCTGTACTAATACGCATGCCAAATATTCCCCCTGGGGGTCTTGGACTTATTCTCTCTACAAGGCGAGATGAGGTAGCTGGAATTTTTTTGTTTGTGTTAAACATTGGGACCTCATTATAAGATACACCTTGCGATCTTACCAGGGTTGTCGTTTTACCCTATTTATAGGGGATTTTCCCTATTTTTGGCCTTTTCGCCCTATTTTTTCCCTATTTTATACATTTGCCATATTTTGCCCTATTTTTAACATTTTGTAATATTTTTCAAATTTTTGGGCATTTTGTAAATAAAAGCGAAAAAACAAAGAAATTTAACTTTTGAACATAAAAATTCCCAAAATTTATGGGGCGTAGGCGAGGCGCTTGTGCAAAACCCCGCGCTTCGCAACCGTCGCTGGGTTTTGGGCTCGTAACATCATCCTATTCCTATCATTATGATGCGGGCATCTCAGGCTTCCTCCGCAACAGCAAAACCTCCACAGATGCGATAGGTAGCTAATACAAACGATCATAACGTTGTACAATCTTGTTCGATCACGCTGATCTTTGTGCCATTCGACTCAGCTCGTCGAGCTCTTTCAAATGACATACATTTTGTTCATATTCATGATTCTTGACCATTTTATTCATTGTATGTTTTGAATATTTCGAGCTCGTACCATTTCGAACCCCACATGATTTTGGTGTCATTCGACTCAGCTCGAAGAGCTCTTTCGAATGACATATAGTTTGTCCATATTCATAACCCTTTTTAAACATTTTTAGGGTGCGGTCACAAAACAGAAAAGTACCGAAATTTAGTTAAAACTAGTGGAGAACATGCAGAATAAGGCTTTTTATTTAAAATTTTAATTATTTTTGTGTTTTTTAAAATAATTCCCTATTTTTTGCCATATTTTTGACCGATTTCGCCCTATTTTTTCCCTATTTTTGAGTGGCTGCGCCCCATTTCAGTGGTTTGGAAACGACAACCCTGGATCTTACTTTATAATAAAGTGTATCTAAAATGGAGGTCGATCCTCATGAAACCCTCGAGCTGAAAAATAATTTTTTATAATGGGGTATCTCTTAGGTATCCTTCACCCAGGGGCCAACCAAATTTAACCATAGATAAATAAGTAAATCTAAACGATACCTTCTATTTAAACTACATCTCATTATAAGAGACTAAAATTTTCTGCCCCCAAAGGGTCTTATAATGTGGTCTGATTGGTATTTTTTAAGTTTATTTAATTTTCCAGGGTGCCAATCGTCCCCCAGTTATCGTTGTTGGTGTCAAATCAGATTCTCCTCTTTCACTAAAAGTTGGTGATGAATTACTTGAGGTACCTTATTTTTAATGAGGTGTTTTTAAATTTAATTTTAATTCAAAATAAGATTAATGGACTCGTTCTTTTTGGCCTAAGCCATTTAGAAGCAACAGAAAAAATTAGAAAATGTTGTCAACATAGCAGTTTATCATTACTAGTTTTGAGAAAAGAGGAAGAAGCAACAAAAGAAGTTCAACAACAATCACTAGAAAAAGAATCATGTTCTACTACAACAATAGAGACTGTTGTGAATACAAATCTAGATAACGTAAGAGGGAAAAGTATTGTCGGATCCGGATCAAGGATACTCGAAATTTCGTTTCATTTCGTCGATTCGATTTTTTTGATTCATTTAAAAAAATTTTATTTCAAGCATTCGTATCCGAAAGAGTCCGAATAAAAAAAAGAGGAGGATTTCTTAGGATCCTAAAGCCTTATAAGGAGAGAAAGGAGGGAGAATTTTTAGAAATTTTTTAATTTCCCTAGCCTTGGTTTAAATAATTTTTTATTTCTTCCCTTTATTCTTCCTATCTCTTCCTTGGTCCACATCATTGCTTAAAAACTTCATTTTAATCTTTGCCATTTTTAGGCCCCAATATCCCCAGAAAAGGAATATACAAGTGAAAGCGAATGCGAATTAGGTGCTAGAACAATTGTCTCAGAAATTCTTGCAAGGCAACAACAACAAATGCCTGAAGTAAAAATTGAACCGGTGGGTTATCTTATGATTTATGAAAAAAATTTTTGTATGGGAAAATCTGTAGGCAAAAATTGTCCGCAAAAAATCGTCCGCTAAAATATTGGGAAAAAATTTTTTGTGCGCAAATGTTGAAAAAAATCTGCAAAAATTCGTCGAAAAATTATCCGCAAAAAATCGCCGCAATTATTTACATTTATACAAATTATCCATTTATTTTTCAAGTCCTGTTTATTAAATTTTCAACATTTCTCAATCCAAAATAATTTTTGCAAAATAAGAGATTTCGTAGAAACTAACATCCTTTGGGACACTTAATAGTGAAAAAAAAAGATTTTTCAAAAAAATTTTTGGAATTTTTTTGGAAATTTTTTTATTTAATTATTAAAAAATAAAAAAGAAAATTTCTTTTCTTAATGACGACATTTTATTTTTGTAAAAATAAAAAAAGCTAAATAAACTTACTTTTCTCGCTCAATTCTCTCGGGTACACCCCGAATTACCGCGAGCCCAACTTGCCGCATAGCTATAACTTCGTTCAGAATTATTGAATCCGTGGCGCCCTGGTGTGGTTCGATTCAGCTAGTCGAGACGCATCGAACCATAACAGGGCGCCACGGATTCAAAAACTTTGAACAAAGTTATAGCTCGGCGGTACATTGGGCTCGCGGTACACTGGCCTGCTCCCACAGCTCCTCTCTTCCCCCCTCTTCCCTTCTCCTCTCCTTTTTTTTTATTTCCTCCAAAAACTTTTTATATTTAAAAAAAGGATAAGCCTTTCTTTTTAAATTTAATTTTCAATACGCCCCCACATAAAATTTTTTGTTGCAGTTGCTTTTTCTCTTTTTTTTCTATTCTTCATTTTTTTATAGAAAAATAATCCCCATAGATGCTTCTCAAATTTTGAAGAATTTTTTTTATATTTAAAGACTCCTTCAAATTAAAAATTTTTTTTAAATTAATTCTAACTTAACAATAAGAAAAAAAAAATTTTTTTTATTGTTAAATATTAATTTTGAGAATATACATATTTTTATAAATACTCTATACTAAATTTGCATTTATTATTATTACTATTTATTTTAAAATTTACATATTATGTAATTTCTCCCCCAAGTTTATTTATTTTTGTTTCAAGTTTATTCTACTCCTTCACCAAGTTTATTTTCTTTATCACCCAAGTTTTTCTGCAAGTTTTCAACGTATCGCGACAATTGCGAAGCCACGACATTTGCGCACTAAAGCAAAAACAAAAAATTTTTTTAATTATTATTTAATTTTAAATGATTCGAAAAATTAGCAATATTGTTGTTGGGCGTTTTGGAAATTCGGTGTTTTCTTTAATTATCAATATCTAATCTAAAGATACATGGAATCTCTCTCTTTTGCGTCACCTCTCGAGGCGAATTGATTATGTAGACGTAAGAGGGGAAGGGACTTGGGATAGGGCGTTCTAGAGCGCTTCCTATTCAAGACCAAACTCAGACCCAAAACAGACTTCATAAGCCGGATTTTGTGTTGTTCCGGACTTGAGACCAAGACTAACCCTCCTTTAAAGGCAATATTTACTCTATTCAAGAATAATTGTAGAAACCCTCAAGAAAATTAATAGAAAAGCTGTTTAAAATTTAATGAATAAAAATTATTTTATTTTTATAGCCAGAAGATGGTTGTTCACAATCTGCAAAAGACGGACTTTTGCTTGGAACAACAACGCAAAATGATTCTGGCAATTCAAACAATGAGCCTATTTGTAAGTCGTTTTTTTGTTTTAAAGTACAGTATTTCCTATAAATAAAGCCCCACGGGGCTTCTCAACTATCCTCCAAAGTGGGGTTCTATTTTAGGGTGGGTCTCTAAAGCATGGGGCTTTATTTGTCAACTACCGTATTCTTTTTTAAATTTTCCAATTTCCGCGGTAAAAAATATCCGCAAAAATTCCAGCGCACACAGAGCACTTCAATATCTACAAATTCGGATATCCGAGGATTTCCCAGGATCCGCCAGCCTTACTTTACTTATCTTTAAGCTTTCTTTAGCTAGTTATTTTTATATATTTTCTTGTCACTTTATTTTTTATTAACCCCTCTGGCTTATTTTCACCTCTACTAACTAAATTCAATTTTCTGTGCCACTCCTATTTTTCTATCCATTTTCTTTTTTTTCCCTCAATTACGTTGCTTGCCTTATTTTGACAAAATATAAAAAAAACTTTTCTATTAGCTTTAGCTTTTCACTCAGCTTTTTAAAGAAAAAAAAATTTCGCGACTACACATTTTGCCAATTCCACATTTTGCCAATAAGGCTAAAAATCTACGTTTTGTCACTAAGCTTGTTGGCAAAACATGGATTTTTAGCCTTATTGGCAAACTGTGGTATTGGCAAAATGTGTTGATGCCTAAAAATTTTTCAGAAAAAATCGATAAAAATTATATTTTCTGTAAATGCCAGTTGGGTAAACGCTGCTTTTTTATTTTATTTTAAAAAAGCATTCCTTCAAGGCATTTTATATATACGGCTGAATGAAGCAATTGTGTGTGTATATATTATTGGCATTTCCGTTAACCCCTAAGGGGAAATAAATAAAATGGGGTTGTTTATTTGCTAGGAAGTAAGTAAGGATATCTACTGCTATATTGAATATTTAAATAACCCTTTGAGCGTATCTTATAATGAACTTATAGGGAGGTGTATCTTAAATAGGGGGTAATCGTTTCCCCATCCCGTAGCCTATCAAAATTTTTAAAAGGATATCTGAAGACCTTTAGACCTCATATATTAAGGCCTTAAGCTACCCACATGTTGCTTGGTATCTTTAATGAGGTTTGGGGATTAGAGATCGGACCGAGACGAGATCTCGATGGAATATCTCGATTATCGAGATCGAGCATTTTTTGAGTTCTCGCTTTTCCCACGACACACCCAGTCCGGTCTCTAGTTTCGATTGTATGTTCTAATGTATGTACCTATCTATTTTGGGATTTTTCAAGGCTTATCTTCTATTAGATTAAGAACTTTTTAGGCGAGCATATTCCGCAATTTAATTCGCAATTAGCTATTGTGGAAAGCACTTCCTCTTCATTTGCTTATTTTTAGTATTTTTTGCAACGCATAATTTGCCAAAAATGCAATTACAATTAATTACGTCAATTTCCTTTATTTTTTTAATTCTCTAGTTGCTTCTTTTTTTAATTTTTCTAAATTAAAAAATATTTGAAAAAATTTTTTTTGAAAATTTTTTTCAAATTTTTATGTTCTTTATTCTTTTTTTTCTTTAAACAAAAGGCTTCATAATTATTTTACTAATTTTTTAATAAATCCCTCCATTGAATTTTTAAAATTTTTTTTATTAATTTATAATCCATTTTATAATTCTTTCTATTTTTATATCTTCTTTTTTTCTTAGAGCTCATCAATCTTCGTTTTTTGTTAAAATTTTAAACAAAGGGTTTCTTTATTAATTCATCATCTTTTTAAAATTTTTTTAAAGTTTCTTATTTAAAAATGTTTAATTAGAAGCTTTGACTGCGCAATTTAAAAAATACGAAACTGGCTCACTCCAAAAAATATTTTTTTAAATTATCAGGGATCCGAAACGTGTTTTATATATTTCGATTAATTCAGAACGAAATAAAATTGAAAAGCGAAATACGAAATTGTGAGAAAAGCGAAATAAATTTAAAAGAATCGAAAGGCGAAATAGCGAAACACGAAATTAAATTTAAAAACGAAATGCGAAATGACTAACACGAAATGCGAAATGACGAACACGAAATGCGAAATGACGAACACGAAATGCGAAATGACTAACACGAAATGCGAAATGACTAACACGAAATGCGAAATGACGAACACGAAATGCGAAATGACGAACACGAAAGGCGAAACTGGCACCCTTGTTGAATCTATTGTAGCAAAAGACGAAAGACAAAACGAAATTTAATTAAATAGACGGAAGTCGAAAGGGGAAGAAGTAAAAAAGACGAAACTTGCCAAAGACGAAACACGAAAGGCGAAACTGGCACACTCCTGTTTTTCTATATATTTTTCACTCTCGCAGCTCTTTCCTATATTTTTATATCACTTTTCAGCAGTAAATGGCGTAAATAAAAAAAAAGAAAAAGCTTTTTTTATGTGTGAAAGCGCTTTTACAGCCGAGACAAATTGAAAATAAAATTATAAAAATATACAACTAAAAGCCCTCTCTCTAATATTTTCTCTCTATAAATTTTATGTAAAGCTTATATTTATTTTTAACTGACAAAACTCTCTAAATATTATTCTGTGAATGCTCATTGCGCTGTCACCCCACAATAAACGTGTGTTTGTCTTTTCGGCACATATTCTCTCGTTTCCTGGCATTTTTTACTCTCTTTTTTTAATCCTCAATTGAAATTACTAATAGAAATAGGTACATAATATTTTTTCTCATTTTGCTTAATATATATTTTTCTGTTTTTCTAAAAACATAAAAAAGTGTAGGTAAACTATTAAGCAAGGTTAGCGGTCCTGGGATAACCGAGTCATTCGGAAATCCGGGTTCTTATGGTTCCGGATATCCGTAACTGCCAACCTTCGTAATAATTACCTTCGTCATTGCAAGAATCTTTGTTCTTGCCCTATTTTTGCGAATTCAATTTGGCAAGTTTTTTCAGACATTTTCAACTTAATAATACCTCAAAAATTGAAAAAAAATATTTGAAATTCGATCCCCACATTCGCATTCGTCTTACTAGAGTAAGATTATTTACTTACATCCCCCACAGACATATGCGAAACTCTTCCATTATTTCGTATAATTCTTCAGTTTCGTTTTGTTTCGTTTCTTTAGAAATTTCTTTTTAGTGTCTCGCAGATGTCTCCCAATCCCTTTCCCCCCCTACTTTATTTTGTTCTTAATCAACGAAATCCGATATAGGTAGTCCTTTCTTTGTTTTTAGTTTCTTCCTTTCTTCCCGATCCCGTTCTTCCTTTTCACTAAAAAATCTTTCTTTTGCTTATTTCCTCCAAACCCCTCATAATAAACATCCCTCCAACAGCTTTAGCCACTTCTTAAAAAACATTTTTAGTCGCCTAAAGCATCCCTCACAAAAAATATTTTTTTTCTTCCTTTTTTCCTCTATTTTTTCTTCCTTCTTTCCTCCCTTTCTCCACTCAATTCTCGACTCAATTTTTTAAAGATTTTTTATGCTTTTCCTTTTTTCTCTCATGGGAATTTTGTGTTATTTCCCCCCAACTTTTTCCTTTCTACTTTTCTTTAAAGCTCATCAAAACTGTTCTTTTCTCATAATTTTTAGTGAGTGGCAGCTTTTTGTGAATGAAGTATTACCTCTATAATAGTGCTTTTTCTCGCTTTTTTTGATGAGTTTCTGCCTTAAAGCATTCTTTTTTTAATAATATAACCACATTTTGTTATTCTGAGATTTTTGTCTTTTTATTTTTTGGCGTTTGGTTGGCGTTCTGTTTTCACCCGAAAATTAATTATTATTAAGAGTTTTGCCAACTTAAGGTTTTCCAACTCCTATAAAGTGGGGGAATTTAGCTTAGTTCCCTGCCTCTTCCCCTCCCTCCGCGTCGTAGAGAGCACCCCTGCTCACCTTATTCAGGTGGTGCCTTTGCCTACGGAGCTACAAGAGGCGATGACTACGTATATTCTCAGACCTATAAAACTCCTCTCTCTCGTCTAATCGTTTCCTTACTGTACACTTGAATCCCACTAATACGACACACTTCAAGACCGAATCAGGTGTCGTATAAATGAATGAGTCTGTGTCATATCAGACTAAAAGCATTCCACAGGGATCGAATTGGCCTGTGTTTGGATTAAAGTTATGTGTTATTTGTGAGTTGTCTTGGCTAGATTCCACTATAATTGCTCCATTTAAATTTCCATTATATCCATATCTTCTCGATATTTTACCTCTAAAATAAAAAAATTTTTAGCCAGAAAAAGAAGCTGGCAAATGGAACAACAACAATCACAATTTCTCCAAAAATGCCCAATTCAAATTGGGCAAGAGACTTTAATTGAAATTGACAAGGATGGTAAAGGGCTGGGTTTAAGTATTGTTGGTGGATCGGATACTGTACTGGGTACTGTAATAATTCATGAAGTTTATCCTGATGGAGCCGCTGCAATCGACGGCCGTCTGAAGCCTGGCGATCAAGTCTTTGAGGTAGTATAGTGAAAATTGGATATAGAGGGCTTAAAGGGGAGGTCCTCACATAAGATCCCCCTCAGGGCACACCCTTGATACACCTATTGTTACTGAAGAATTGTCTCTTATAATGAAGTGCACCTTAAATGAAGGGTATCGCTTTGGCAGTTTCTCCGCCCAAGAGACAACCATAATTTTAGAAAAACGTCTCTTAAATAGAGGTTATTTAGTATGGAGGTGTATCTTATATCGGGCGTATCTTATTGAGAGGTTTACCTATTTGTAGTCTATCTACTTAATTTCCTTCCCAGTTGTAAAATAAAATGAATTCTGTAGGTAAACAACACTTCTCTTCGGAACAGTACACATGAACAAGCTATACTTTTGTTAAGGAGGACCCCAGCAAAAGTACGTCTACTCGTTTATAGAGGTGATTATATTCTTTTTTAAATTAGCTAAATTCCGCTAAATTACGGTAATTAACGTTAAAGTCCGTTTAATTTTATAGTGCATATTTTGGGTCGTAACTTTTTATTCTCAACTGATTTACACACTTTTTTATATCAATCGAGAGCTCTCGATATAAGGATTATTTTATCTAACAGGACTTATTTGATCAGATCATCCTACTAAGAGTTATGTCTGAATGAAGATCAAAAATCACGATTACGCGCACTTATCAAAATGTAACCTTCTATGGGTTGATCTGATCAAATCACTCCTGCTAAATAAAATAATCCTCACATCCAGAGCTTTCGATTGGTATATAAATTATTTAAATCGGTTAAGTATCGAAAAAGTTATGGCCCAAAATATGGCTTTGAGTCGGAAACAGCGATACTGAGTCGGCTCCTTATTGAATGGACGATACTGTGTAGTGACAGTTCAGTACAGACCTTCGCTGCTAGTAAAATACTCCTTACATCCAGAGCTTTTGATTGATATATAATTTATTTAAATCGGTTCAGAATCAAAAAAGTTATGCCAAAAATATGGCCTCAAGACTAGAACATCAGCGATACTCAAAATCCTCTACACCAAATTAATGCCTTTAAATTTAAACAAAAAACATTTAAAATACATATTCAGTTTTTACAGACCAGAATTTACAAATGAGCTTACTCGATCCAACACAAATTTACAACATTATCGACATCGAAATTCTAAAAAAGGCTGGGAAAGGATTGGGTATTTCTATTGTTGGACGCAAAAATGAGCCTGGAGTTTATGTTTCCGAAATTGTTAAAGGAGGTGTTGCTGACACAGATGGGCGTTTAATGCAAGGGGATCAAATTTTGGCTGTTAACAATCACGATGTTGCCAATTGGATGCAGGAAGATGTTGCTACTGTTTTAAAAGTGAATTTTAAAGATCTCATAAAATACCCTTAGGGCTAGAAAATTGTCTCTTATAATGAGGTGTATCTTAAATAGAGGGTATCGTTTGTACAGTCTTCTATGCTAGGAAGGTGGCGAATTTTAAAAAGCGAAATTGAAAACGAAATAGAAAATGCGAAACTCAATTTAGAAATCGAATTGCGAAAGACGAAACGCGAAATTCACATCTCTATTCTATACCGGTGGCCAACAAATTTGAAAAACGTTTTCTAAAAAGAGGTTGAGGGTATCATTTGGGCAAACCTATAAGATACCTCTAATATTAGAGACACCTCTATTTAAGGTATGTTTTTAAAAGCTGGGTGGTCACTGGGTGGAGGAACTGTCTGAACAATACCCTCTGTTTAACATACACCTCATTATAAGAGACTACTTTTTCAGCTTCCGGGGTGTATCTTATAAAGAGGTTTTACTCTATTTTATTTCTAGACATGTATTGGAAAAGTCTCCCTCAAAATTGGTCGCTGGAAATTAACAGAAACAGCTCAACGTGTTCGCTCTGCTCAGCCTCCTTCAAACAATACAGAAAATAACAACAACAATTCAGTTGAAGAAACAACAACACAAATGCCTTTACAACAACAACAAAATATAAATGAATCTAATAATAATTCACAAGATTTGTTAAAACAACAAAATGGAAGTAATAGGTAAATGTTGTTATCATGTGCTTCATTTTTCCCCTATGAACATTCTAATAATTCAATTAAATTTTAGCTTTATTGAGGAATTTACAAGGCTAATTAAAACTTTTTTTGGGGTTAAATTTTAAATTTTCCAAAAACGCCAAAATTGGCATAAAGTTTGGCGTTGTGTTTGTATAATTTCGAAATAATCCCTTGCGCCCATTCTTGATCTATGTTGGTGTGTTCTCAGTGCCGAACATATTTTGGACATTTTTACACCTTGGACCACAAGCCATAATCTATAGTAGTAGTGATCCCGGGACGAGATCTCGATCAAAAATCTCGGTTATAAGATCGAGATTTTTCGAGATCTCGATTCTCGTACGACACTTCAAGTCCGGTCTTTTTATAGCTTATTTGATTACCTATTTAATTTTATATACCTAAATATTTTTTAAAGAGACCCCCCACCGCCAGCACCTATCCCTGCTGGAGCCAAATTACCTCCACCAACACTACAAATAACTTTACATGACGAGAACAATCAACAACAAAATTTAACTGGGCGAACAGATTTATCGCCTGTTAGTGAAGAGGATTTGGTTGGTATTTTGCTTGAAAAAAATTTTCAAAAAAAAATTTTTTTTAAAGAAATCCATAGCGGAGACCGTAGCCTCCGAAGAGACCATCTCAGGAATCACCACAACCTCTTCCTCCCAAAGACGCCCAATTAGTCAATTACCAAATAGCGGTTCAGCTTCAACTTCCTCCTCTACAAATATTCAACAACAACCTTCTGCTGCTTTCAGATCAGATTTAAAAGAGGCTGGGTGTGATAGTCTTCTAATTGCTCTTAAAAAGGATGAGGGGCAACAATGGGGAATGGGGATTGGAAAGAGGCCTAGAGGAATTCTTGTAGGTTTTTCTTTTTGGATTTTTTTGTATGCTAGGCGATTCCTCAGTTTTAAAAAGCTTCCGATTTCTGCCAGGAATGTCATGTATTGCCATAAACCGATACCCTAAACCTGGACTTTCCTGACTAAACCCCCAACCTTGATATCGGACGATTCCAAGATCTTGGTAGTTCCTTAGCTTAGTTTCGGTCCTTGAAAATCGTGTTTTTCTGGGGGTATTTTTGAAACTTAATTTGATGTTTGAGCGAAAATTTCCCAGATGGCCAGTTAACTTCCAGTTTTTCTTTCAGATAACTTCTCTTCAGCCAGGCAGTTCTGCAGCTGAAAAATTAGCAATTGGAGATCGTATAATGGCTGTTAATGCACACGAAGTTACAACACAAGTAGTTATATTTATTAAATATTGGAGGCTGTTTTTGCGGACTTTTCTTGCGGACAATTTTTGCGGACTATTCTTGCGGACATTTTTTGCGGACATTTTTTTGCGGACTTTTCTTGCGGACTTTTTTTTCCGGAATATTTCATGCTAAAAATTATTTATATTTTTCAGCATTCAGCAGTTACTTATATCCGTTCAAGTGGTAATTCTGTTACCTTACAAATTTCAAGACCAGCAAAGCTCAGTACAACAACAACATCGTCAAATAATTAAAAATGAATATTGCCAAATTTCCAACAAATTTAAATGCCTATATTTTTAAAAATTTAAAAAATGTCTTTTGAAAAATTTTTTTAACTTTTTTGGGGCTTAAAAATATCTGAAATTTATTATCTTTGAAAATATTCATGTATACGGTCAAACCTCCATTATAAGACACTTTTAGAATAAGATACCCCCAATATTATATACACCTCCATTTAAGGTACGCTCTGCTAAAAATTGGCTGTCTATTAAATGGAGGTAGCTGTTTAGGTAATACCCTCCATTTAATATACATCTCACTATAGGGTACACCTCATTATAGGTTACTCCCAAAATAAGGTACCCTTCATTATAAGGTATACTTCCATTTAAGATAGGGCTTTCTAAGAATTTGGTTGGTAACTGTTTAAGCAGACACCCTCTATTTAATATACACCTCCTTATAAGATAAGCTCATTATAAGGTACCCACAATACTCCAACCTTTCCTAAAAGTTGGCTGGCCTTTGGGTCTAAGGAGCTGCTTAAGTAATACCCTCAATTTAATATACACTCCATTATAAGATCCTATTTTGCCTCAGGGGTCTCTCTGAGGCAAATCTTATAATGAGGGTTGACTATTTTTAATTTTACCGAAATTTTCTTTTCCCGGTTTATTTTGTTTTAATTGTTTTTTGTGCATTTTTTCACTCAAATTAAATTTTATTTTTAAAATAAAAAAAAATTAAATATAAATATTTAAAATTTTAATTTTTTAAAAAATATAAAGCGTCTTACATTTTGCGGCAAAAAATAGCATTGGAAATGAAGAGACGCGATTTTGTCTCTACACCTTTTGAATACTATTTCCGCAAAACGCAAGACGCTTTTAAACACAGCTTTAGAGAGTAAGCAAAATTGAGAGTGTATAAATTTGTAATTATTTATCCACGTGCCATCATTTCATAATGCCTAAGAGGGGGGTCATGCAAAATTAAGGGCTCCATATTTCGCCAATTAGGCTAAAAACCCTCGATGTGCCAACAAATTTATTGGCAAGACGTGTATTTCTAGCCTAATTGGCAAAATATGGAATTGGCATAATATACACGGGCCTTCATCTTTCCCCTCCTCCTCCCTCCCTCCCTTCCTCTCCCCATTCTCTTCTCTCCTCCTCTCCCCTCCCTTACTCTCCCCATTCTTGGCCTAGGTGAGATATAGGAAAGACTCTCCCCCTCTCTTCTTCCCCATCCCTTCTTTCCTTTGGGAGACCCATCCCTCCCTCCTCTCCCCTTCTTTCCTCCCCTTCTTTCCTCCATTATTAAAGAATTCCTCCTTATCCCCCTTTAAATGTATTCCCTTATACATATTTTTTATAATTAAAAATTCATTTTTAAATTATTTTTTTCAATTTATTATGAGGAAAATTGTTTTTATATTAATTATTATTTTGTTGAAATTCTCGTCCCCTGTTAAATCTACAGGATCTACAGGGGAATCTAGTAAACATAAACATGTAGAAGATAAAGGAAAAGGTATATTGATGGTAGATGAGGAGGAATTAAATGAGGAGATATATAAAATGTTTCCAAGTAAGTCAAACCTCCATTTTAGATACCCTCATTATAAGAGGATTAGAACTCTCATTATAACCTCCTCTTTCCCCTCAGGTTCCAAGTAAGTCAAATTTCGAATTTTTCTCTCTCTTTCGAATCGGGGCGACGGTCGAGACATTTTTTCGGGCTTCTTTTTATCGGACTTGGCCGTACAAGGAGTCATTTTCGGGCCATATATCCTAGGCCCGACCTAATCCTTCGGTCCAAGTCGTTCCATTTTGAAAACCCTATCTTAAGCGATAACCCAAATTTAAGATACACTTCATTATACTTGGGTGGAGGATCCTAATATCATAATACTTAACCGACAGACTCGGTATAAACTGAGTCGAGGGTCAGGGTTTTCCCAATTACTCGGTGATTATTGTATTAATTAAAATATTTCAATTAAATTTTTTCAATTTTTAGAAGCTCTAGACACGTCTAATTTACATATAAACATAAAAATCGAGTCTGGGGTTAATCGTGAGAAATTTCTCCATTCAAACATGGGCGGTCAAGGATATAAAATAATCCTCTTTAATGTAAAATTGAACGAAAAAAATGAACCACATCAAGGGCAAGAAATTGGGACAAAATTTTCACAAAAATACGATACTGTAACATTTAAATTGAGCAAAGAATGGGTTGAATATATGGAAGTTTATGAAGAGGATACAGGGCACTTTAAGTATAAGAAAAATAACCAATTTTCTATTTATGTTTTTGGAAATAATGAGAATGTGTGGGGCTTCTTGGTAAGATATCTAAGAGTAGAGAACGGTCTCGATCAAAATCTCTAGAGAGTTTTTTGAAATTGACTCTTGCACCCGATCCAGAAACAAAATATCATATCTACCTGCATATAAGCTTTACAAAGGAAAAAGATTAGCCAGCCGGCTTATCAAACGGTGGTCTAGGCGAGGTTTAAGCTCTATTAAAAGATAAAGAGCATCAAGGTAGCTCAGTTGGTAGAGCATTTATTCCAGGGATATCACGACTACTGAACACTAGTGATGTTCGAGACTCTCGGTCTCGACTCTCGAGTCGAGAAATTTCATGGGTTTTCTGGGCTCTCGATCTCGACTCTCGGCTTTTTTTGACTCTCGAACATCACTACGGAACCCCGGACATTTTTTCCACCTACGTCTGAAACAGAATCCGAGAAATTTTCAGAGACCCGACCCACGCTTTTCTCAACACGTGATATCCCTGATTTTCACGTAGTGAAGCAAAGAGGCTCCTACCCGTAACTAAACGTTTACCTCCCTTTTATTCTTCTTATTTTCAAAATTATCATTTCTCCTTTTTTAGTTTTCACGTTATTTTTATTTGGATCATGTTTTTAACATTGTAAAATTAAATTTGAAGCAACACGATGTAAAAGTTATCCCTTATTATCCATTTGAATTCGACACTCCTCTACGCTTTTTTTTCTTTAATTTTGAAAAAACAGAGAATATAATCCCAACAATATTAAATTGTAATGAACAACCAGGATGGTCATTTCATGTTCAAGGAAGTATTTTGTATGGAAACTTTAATGTTTGTAAAGGAGATGAATATATTTTGAATTTTAAATATTTAAATAATGGAAATGTGTTTGATGGAGAGGTGCTTTTTTGAATAATTAAATCAACCACAAAGGCTATTTAGCACTTAAATGTGGAGGGAGGAGGATTAGTGATTTATATACTCGTTACGAGTAGTGTTTGGCCCTTTGGAAATTGCTTGTACTCGTAATTTCGTACACAGGTGCGAGTGCGGATTGGTACGACCTTCCAAACATTGGTTACGAGTAGCCAGAGATCTGTCTGAATTCCGATTCCGGCACCTTTGTTATTTTAGATTCTAGTAGCTAGTAGTAGCTGTCTGAGTCTAGTAGCTATCCGAGAATAGTCAGAGACCGGTTTAGTTTTAGTAGCTGGTAGTAGCTGTCCGAGTCTCACCTAGTTGCCTCTTAATTACAAGTAAAGCTAGACCTTCTCTCCACTCTGGGTCTGTAATCTGTTTAAGTGGAACAATAAGGCAGTCTTTCCCAACTGTAACCAAGCGTTGTCGGTCTCCCGTTAAGTACCGGGTTTGTATTCGAACATTTTGGTTCGGCTCCTAGATTTGCTTCGGTGAAACTGGAGGTTTACTACCTATTTTAAAAAGTTATATTTTCTGGCAAATTTCAAATTTGTCTGAAATTTGTTTTTTAGACAACTGTTAAATGTGACGAGGCTTTATCTGTTGAAAATTTTAATTTGTATTATATTAAGTTTGGAATTGAAACAACTGGAAATATTAAAGCTTTTTGTAGCTTAGTTGGATTTAGTTCTCACTTAGACTTAAATAATGATTTTGAACATTTATTAAAGGTACTATGAATTTTGGGAGTAAAAAATTATTTTTAAATTAAATTACAGAAGAAAACTCAAGGATTATTTAATGAACTTCTTAAAAGAGGCTCCCCTTCAAACTCTTCTCATTTGGATATTCGAGATGCTAAAAGAATTAAAGAAGAATGAAAACCATAGGGGAGCTTAGGGAACTGAAAGTATTGTCGTTGGGGGCGATTGGGGGATCTCTTTAAAAGAGAGATGCCTCTGTATAGGGTTTCGATGGTTCTTTGGATCGGATTTTTTTTTTGGGAGGGGGGGGGGGGTTTAGTTTTTGGTGTGGGTTTTTTGTTGGGGTTTTTGATGGGTTTTTGGGTTTTTTATTTTTTGACGGAGTTTTAGGGGTTTTTTGTTTTGTTTTTAGGGGTTTTTTGTTTTTCAGTTTTTTATGTCTTTTTTCATTTTGATGGGGTTGGACGCCCTGGTTCTTTTTTCGGTTATGTTGCCCAAACTCTGCAAGTTCTGCAATTTATTAGGTAACCTTATTTTCCCTAAAGGACTATTTTTATTTAAGAAAAAATTGTTTTAAATCTGCCGGCGAATTTGAAATTTGTCTAAATCTCTAAATCACCTTTTTGCAGTAAAACTTTTGAAATTTGGGGCAACAAAAGGCAAAAGCTTTGGACCCAGTTCCAGACTTGTAGAAAAAACATGCGGACTCGGGCAACATAACCGAAAGAACTAACCCCCTTTATGCTTTTGATTAAAATTTTTTATTTTATTTAAAGTTGATTTAAAAAAAGAAAATTTAAATGTGAATCTATTTTATACTTTTAATTTAAATCACACGATTAGACAAATTTACAGATGTTGTTGATGATTTCTTCGAGGTTCCACTGACGCATTGTCCGGACAAGGGTCGAGGATAGGTTAGGAAGGAAGGATCAATGATAAGACGGATCAAGGGGATTAAGAGGGATATCGGAGGAATTAGAGGGATTAAAGGGGATATCGAGGGATCTGTGGGTGCTATCGAGGTATCAAGAAGGATTAAGGGGGATATGGTAGCTTTGGAGGGGTTAAGAGTCCTCCGATATCTCCAAATCCTCTGATATTCCCCCAAAGTCCTTCTTAATCTCATTAAATTATTAGAACTAAAATGTAGCACAGATCTCTGCGCAGACAGTGTTTTGTTTGTATCAAGCTTCGCCGTTCAAAGTTTGGCAAGACAGAGCTTTCCCCACACTGATAATTTACGTGTCAGTCAATAATTTTAATTTCGTAATCTTCCCTCTCGCCTTCCCTCCCTTCTTCGCTCTTCCCCATCTTTTTCACCTCCCTCCTTGCCATCTCCCTCTATATCCCCTTAATTTATAAGGGAATAAAGAGGGGAGATGGTAGAGACTCTCTAATATGGAGGGGGGACTCTTTCTTAATGTATTTTATTTTTTTTATTTTTCTCTAAAACTTTAAACCAAATTTTATAGACTTGCACTTGTAAAATTATTTTTTGTTTTGTGCCGCCTTAACATTAAAAACCCTTATAAATTTACTTTTATGTGGAGAATTATTTTAATTATTTTGTTAAAATTCTTGCCACTTGTTAAAGGCAAGGTAAATTAACCCGAAACGGAACAGCTTGGCGAGCCCTAATATGGATGTGACTTCAGCCTAGATGTTTTTTTTCTTCTCTACTAGCCAACTTTGCTGATCAAATTGCTCCGAATACAGGAGAGATGCCAGAAATTGTTTGTTTTCATGAAAACTTGAATGCACTTACCCTATCAAGGTTCCCCATCTCCAAACACCGTTGAGGATTAACTTTTTCGGTTAGCAGAGTTGTCGAGGAATCGATGTCGTATTTTGATAAAAAAATTTCACGTGGCCATTACATTTTTAAGCAATTTTCCCCTCCTCTCCTCACTTACATGCCCACCACCATTGAATCCAATCCCCCTCCATCCCCTCATCCCATCCCATCCTTCATCCTTCACAACCTCCTCCTCTCTTTCCCCTCCTCCCCATAACGAGCTCGTCTCCTCCGCCTATCTTCCCCTACATCCATTTCAATTTATTCTTTTTATTTAATTTTTTAAATCGCTAAAATCTAACAAAATTTTTTATAGTTTTTCATTAAAAAAATTTTTTGACGCTCTAAAAATTAAAAAAAATTTCTGGATTTATTATGAGGAAAATTATTTTAATTTTAATTATTTTCTTGCTGAAATTTTCGTCCCTTGTTAAATCTACAGGGGAATCTAGTGGACATAAACATGTAGATCATAAAGGAAAACATATACTGATGGCAGATGAGGAGAATAAACAAATAAGTGAATTGTTGCCAAGTAAGCTTGAGAAATACATTCAGACCTCGATTTTGAATACCTTATTTTTCCTAATCGAGCGGCCGGCCGCTCTATAGTGGAGACGGCCGTTCAAATGGAAGCGACCGCTCTATTAGAAAAAAATACGGTACATCATTATAGAATACACCTAGAGCTAAAAAAGAGCCCCGGAAATTTGGGCTCTGGAAAATTGAGCTCCAAGATCTTTCAGAACTTTTGGGCTCTAAGTGAAAAAACGGAAAATTTGGCTCTAAAACAGGCGCGGGGATTTGTGAGGATTTAGTCAAAAAATCCTTGTCCAATAATAGAAAAACATTTACTTAGTCCAAATAAAAAAAGTAAACCTATTGGAGTAGCGAGACGCTTGTGCCAGGTATCTAAGCTCAAGTTCCGACAATTTAAAAAAATATTAATTTAATTTTTGTTTTTCAATTTAAGCTATACATAGCTTATATATAAACATAAAAATCGAGTCTGGAATTATTCCTGAGGAATTAATCAGAAATGGTGTCAAATTAGAGGAGCTTGTCAAGGATCAAAGATATAGAATCATGCTTTATCATTTAAAATTGGACAAACATAATACTGTTCTACCAGGGGGACGACTAATTGGGACAGAGATTACGCAAAAATACGATACCATAACTTTTGTATTGCCTAACGAATTGGCTGAATCTATGGAAGTTTATGTTGAACCAAATACAGGACTATACAAATATAAGAAAAATAATAAATTTTCAATTTATGTTTCTAAAAATATTATCAATTCTACGAGCAACTTTGAGGTTATTATTAAAAGTAGGGTGGCAGCCGGACCCCCGAAACCCTTACCCCGACGATTTTTTTTGGCAAAAACTTTTACCCAAAGTTCGAAGGCTCTACATAGACCCGAACTCATACTAACCCCGACATCTCCAACCTCTCGGGGTCAGTTTGTTACCCTTATTTAAAGGTTTATTTACGGAAATTTACATAAAACAGAACTGATAAGTCGAAGGACCTACTCTGGTCAAAGGCCAAAATGGCACAGCCTTGAATCCACCTAAAAGGGGTATCTCCCACATTTTTTTTATTCATTATCCTGCCAAAGTGTGTCATTGTCTTCAAATTTATATTGTCTTTTATGCTTATTAAATCCATTGTGTCAAATCGGGGATAATTTCGGTATACTAAACAGACTCCGTCCAAAATGAGCTTACTACACCCTATGGTTTTTGACCATTTTGAGCCATGCATCTCGGCCCATAGTTCTGTCCCAATTAAAATTTTGATTTCATTCCTCAGCTCGATGAGCCCTTTCAATTGACATACCTTCAAATCTACCTACTTATGTCTTTTATTTCTACAATTTCTTTTTAGTTTACAACATTTTTTGAATTGGATCTTGTTACTAATATTGTAAAAATAAATTTGGAGCAGCAGGATTTAAAAATTGTTCTCTACGATCCATTAGAATTTGACTGTCCTCAACGCTATTTTTCCTTTAAATTTGAAAAAATGGAGCATATACTTCCAATAATGCTTAGCTGTACATATCCAGAATGGACTTTGCCAATTAAGGATGGAGAGATTTTTTATAGAGAAGAGATTACTCATGTTTGTAGGGGAGATGAATATATTTTGCATTTGCAATATTCATTTAATGAATATGTGTTTCCGGTTAGCTTAAATAATTCGATATAAAAATATTTGGAACTTGTCCAGTTTAGCCGTCCAATCAACCTTTATACGTCCAATCACATTTTTTAAATACACGGGTCTACGTGTTAAAACCTATGGTCTGATAATATGCGTGTGTATCATAACTATAGGTGAGTAAAGGTTTATATTCCAATAGAATAGATATATGTGAGTGGACGCATAAATTTAGTAAAGCAGCTGGGCTATAGCTATTTCTCTCCTTTAGCTGGTGCAAAAGGTTATTCGGCGGCTGGGAGCGAACCAGCATCTTCAGTAGACCGGACTGATGTGTTAGCCATTACACCACGCCGCCTACTGCTCAGCCTTAGGAAATTAATAGCTATATGCTTTACAATTTATTGGACGCATAAATTTATTGGACGCATAAAGGTTGATTGGACGCATAAACTGGACAGTAGCCAAATATTTTTAAAATTAAAAAAATTTTTTAAAGTTAATTATAAAATGTGACGAGGCTCTATTTGTTGAAAAAATTAATTTGTATTATATTAATTTCGAAATTGATGAAAATGGGAATATTAGAGCATTTTGTAGTTTAGTTGGATTTAATTCTAAAGGACCATTCAATGATGCATTTGTAAATTTATTAAAGGTATAAAGTCTGAGAAAATTTTTTTAAATATAAGCTTTTAGATGATAACAAAACCAAAATCAACTACGAAACAACTTGAAAGTGGCTCGGCTTCAAAATCCCCTGATTTGGATATTCCTGATGCTAAAAGAGTGAAAAAAGAACGAAAACCACGAAAACCGAAGAGGAACTGAGGGATGTGAAAGTATTGGGATGTATACAAGGAAGGGATCTAGCCGATCCGATCACCGAAAAAACGATTTTTGTATCAGGACTTCGATCTACCGAAATAGGGTTTTTATTTATTATATCGGCTAGATCCCTGATACTGGGTACAATATACACCAGGGATGTCACGAGTTAAGAAAAATATCGGAACGGGCTTCTTGTCGAAAGAAAAATCCGGGTTTTGGCTAACCCGTGACATCCCTGACAAAGTCGGACCTTGCATGAAACCTCATTTAAACGACAGAATTTTTCGAATGAAAGATGACGTACGATTGAGGTCCGACATTTATAGGGGGTTCGATATTCGGGAGTGACTTTTTTGGCTTTTTTTATGTTTCCCATAGTCCGCAACTTTATTATATTTTATTAAAAGAATTACCGTATATACCGTATATGCTCAAATAATTCGTGGATGTCTCTCTTGGTGTTTCTCCCCAAGAGGGTGTCTCTATGTGGTGTCACTCCCCAAGAATTATCGTCTGAATATCTTGCTTAAGTGGGTACTTAATGAGGAGGTGTATCTGAGAAGGGAGTAATTATTTGAGTAAATACGGTATAAAAGCGATATACAGTTGGACCTTACTTAAATGACAGTTGTTTTATGATCATAAGGTGACATAAAAGTGAGGTCAGACTGTGTAAGAACTTTGATTAGAGGCCGGACCATTCTAAATCTCGAACTAAAATATAGGATATTTTGATTAAAGGTTAGAGGATTGATTAGAGGTAATAACTTTGATTAGGTAAGAACTTTGATTAGAGGCCGGACCATACTAAATCTCGAACTAAAATATAGGATATTTTCCTTTTTTGATGGTTGCTGTTTCTCAATATGAGACGAGCATCTTTTGTTTACGTCCTTCCGGTCCGGTCCCTAATTTAGATATTCGAGGATGACACCAATGCTGGGTATGGCTCTAGCTCCGGAACGGCTCTACCTAGAATTTAATATTCCCGTAGCTGGGGCTACAAAATGCCCAATACCCAGCATTGACACTGTAAATGCTTTATGATCAAAATCACCAAACACTTTATTTATTTTATTTTTATTTAAATTTATTTTAAAAAGAAATTTTTTGGGAATCAATTATTTTCAATTTATTTAAATCACACGATTAGCAGGTGAATTTACAGAAGTTTGTTGTTGATGATTTCTTCGTGGGCTAATTTTGGGGAAATAAAATTAAAAAAATTTTTCACGAAATTACCGATATTGAAGAGGATTTGGGATTGACTGTTCTTCTCCTTCCTCTTCCTTGTTTTCGATTGAAGCGTCTTTTTGCAGTCTAGTTTGGTCTTGACTCTCGGAAATGCTTTAAATTTTAGTTAAAGTTAGTCTTTGATACTCTTTAATGCCCTTTGATAACTAGAAATGGATATCGGGATCAAAAGAAAAGTTCTGAGTATCCAGAAAAATTCGGTTCGAATCCTAGTCACCAAACCTCTATATCTCCTCCTATTGATAACCCATTCGTTACCTGTGCCCTTAAAAAGGCCAGGGACGGATATCTGGATCAGAAGACTCTTTCGGGATCAGAAGACTCATAATTTTCTCTTCCGGACCTCCGAAGATCTCCCAGGATTAGCTAATACAATTGTGAACTCGATCTTTTCAAATACGACACTTTCGGACAAAATATTTCAGCATTTGAGAGATAAAAAAATTTTACGGTTGTTCGTCATTAGACATTTGATCCTCTATTTTCTGTTGAGGCATTGAAGGGTGAGGAATTGAGGGTTGTTGTTGTGATTGTTGACGCTCTGATTGGCAAACAATTCTATAAACCCAAACTCTAACCCCTCCTCTGGAAAAAATTTTTTTCCAAATTAAAATAAAATTTCTAACTGTTCTGTTCTGGCATTTGCAACAAAATCGTACTCAATTCCTGTTGTTCCCATCATGTCCTTTTCGGGGACAATGCCTCCTGAAATGCGGGTTTTTATCAGAAAAACCATAGACCCTACCAGTATAGTATGACCCAAGAGTTACCAAATCTGTTCCAATATATACTTTATTGCCTGCTTGTAAAGAACAGCAACGAAGTAAGAGGCTAAATTGAGGTTTGTAAAAATATTTATCCGCAAAAAACTTGCGGAAAAATTTTTTTGTACGCAAAAATTGTCCGCAACTTTTTTGCGGACTTTTCTCTTCATTTATAAAATTTAGGTTAATTAATTTGCCTTTGACCATTACGAGCCCATTTCATTCCAGAAAAGATATCAGAAGCTGCTTTACAAGAGCTTAAATCATCTGAACATGCCCCAGTAGAACCACAAGGTAAGGGTCCACATTCTGCTTCGATGGCACCGTCCTCATAAACTGTTAATTTGTTCACTACCTAAACAGTTAAACTCAATATTTGTTAATCAAACTTGTCAGACCCCTCATAGGATACCCCCTCGGGGATAAAAAAATGGTCTCTTATAATGAGGTGTCTTTTAAATAGAGGGTATCCATTAAATAGAGGGTATCCCTAAGAAAACTCCCTATATAGTAGACGACCATAATTGAAGAGCGTCTCTTAAATAGAGGGTTATCCAATATTGGGGGTGTCTTACAAAGAGGTTTTCTTCTAAATTTCTAATAAAAATTGCCTGATTCTGTGCACACTTCTTTCCCCTAACTGCATTCTTTAGGGCATAAATTGAAGTGAAATAAAATAAAAAAAGGATTAATAAAATATTATTTTGTTTCATTTTGGGAGGATAAATTTGGAAAAATTGTTCTCTAAAAATTATTAAAAATGAAACGAAGCATATCTTTTACACAAACAAAAATGGGAATAAATGGGGAGATTTTGAGTAGATTTATTTTGGGAGAAGAGGATTTGAATGAGGATATTGTTATTATTATTTTTATTTTTGATTGAAAAATAATTGCAAAGTACAATTATCTCGTTATAGAGAAAGCCCTAAAGGCTAAAAATATAAACAAGATGAGTTGTACACCAGGGCTGTGCGTCATGGCGTTTGGCGTTTGGCGTTTTGCGTTTTGGCGTTAATTTTGGCCGATTTTTGGCGTTTTGCGTTTGGCGTGATTTTCCGATTTTGGCGCGCCAAACGCCAAAAATATACACCCCTAATGATGGAATTTTTTTAAAATAAATGGAGAAAGGGATGATCGAAAAAGGAAATTTTTCTCCATACATTTCGGCTTCTTTGCCTCCAAAATTTTCAAAAATTTTGTTCCGGCGGTAAAAAAGGATGAATTCTGGCTTCTGGTAATCCTGAAAATTCAAAAAATTTCGCCTGCGGCGCTAAAATGAGATGGACAGTGGTTTTTAAGTTTTTATAGACTCTAAAAATTTTGGCGTTTGGCGTTTGGCGTTTTGGCGTTGATTTTGGCCGATTTTTGGCGTTTGGCGTTTGGCGTGTTTTTAAAATTTAAAAAATTGGCGTTTGGCGTTTGGCGCGCCACGCGAAAATTTTGGCGCACAGCCCTGTTGTACACTAAGTGAGAGGGGTACAGGAGTGGGGGTAGGCCGTAATGAGGTTTTACTTTCATATCCCACTATAAGATAACCAAAATAAGATAAGCCTCTATTTAAGAGTGGGAGCCTCTATTTAAGTGGGAAGCTATTTGGAATCTTCTATTTGGGATCGAGCCAACGTAAAGCCGAGCTATAACTTCGTTAGAAATTGTCCTTGTATGGTTCGATACACAACGACGAACTGAATCGAACCATGCAAGAACTTTCAGGATTTGAAAATTTCTAACGAAGTTATAGCTCGGCGGTATGTTGGGGTCAGGTGTGAGCGCAAGAGGCAAATGTGAATGCGCTCTCACCTAGTTGGGGTGTACCCCTCTATTTAAGGTACATTTCACTATAAGATATGATTTTTAGCTCTAAGAGTGTTCCTATAGGGAGATCAGAAATTATTTTTATCAAATATTAAATGAATTATTTCATTAGCAACAATAAACATATCAGTCAATTTTAGCGTTATATTCTCTCAATTTTTCAATATTTAATTGGTTTTAGAAAAATATTTAGGTCAGCAAATGTTTAAAAACGATTCGGAAGGAATTTAAAAGAAAAAAGGAGGGAGAGAATTACAAAATAAATTTATTATTAAAAAATTTTTTAGGTCAAAATTCGATAATCTCTTACGCTCGATAAAGCATGCAAAAATTTTTAACTTTTACTGTTTCCTATTTTTTTTGTTAATTCAATTTTTGCTGTAACACTAAACAAAAAAAACTCATCCTCTCAAATATACTGTATATACTCTTAATTACCCTTCCTCAGATAATTACCCCTCCCCCTTCTATTAGTTACCTCTTCCAGCGAAAGATTGAAATAATAATTACCCCCTTAGACCCTCTCCAGAGAGATGTCGACACAATAATTACCCAGGGTAATTAATATAGTATATACGAAACGTTCGAATACTCAAAGGTTGTGTGCTCAAATGTCAAGTACCCAAATGTCAGGTACCCAAATGTTCAGGTACACAAATGTCAAGTACACAAATGTCTAGCATTCAAACGTCGTGTACCTACATGTCGGATACTCAAATGTCGTGTAAAAAGTTTATTCAAATACATTAAAAATCGAAAATAAAAGAAAAATATTTATTTGAAAATTTAATTTATTTGGTAACAAAATATATTCTAAAAAAGGGAACAATTAATGTAGTAATAAAAGTTGGTATTAGAAATGGCGAGAAAATATATAAAATTTAAAAAATTTTGGGATCTGATTTAAACATTGCATATTATCTCAAAAATTTGATTGGAAAAATATATAAAATTGGAAGAATCAGTCCTCGTTATAGTGTGCCTTGGTCTTTGACTAAACTGAAATAGGCCCCCCATTCCCCTCAACCAGTGGCCAACAACAATGAAAAATCCGTACACACTAGATTAATGGAGGTATACTATAACAAGATTTAACTAATTTAAACAGGGAGCGACATTTGTGGCAATTAGAAGGGTAACCCTTTGCGGCGAATATGAAACAAAGAAGTAAAAAGGGGCAGATGCCGCTTGAAAGAGGTGAAGGGTCCCCTTCGCTGTAGGCAAAAAATTTTTCCCAGTTAATCGTATTAAAATAAAAATAGGGACGCAAATGTCGCATAGACGAAAAAAAATATTTTCATTGAATATTAAGTACATAAAGGGAAATTCCACTTTTTTCCATTTACCAAACTTTACATTTCTGAATTGGATTCATTGGACTTCCCTTTAAAATATTTTTTAAATAATTTTATGAAATTAAAAAATACTTCAGGGCAGTTATAAGCAGCAGCAAAATCAACAGAATTTGAAAGAGGACCTTTTACTCTGAAAAGAAGAATTTTAAATTGACAAAATGGGAAGTGACATTTGTGAACAAACATTTGCGGACACTACTGAACCTTTTCTTAGCATATAAAAAAATTGTCTCTTATAATGAGTGTATCGTAAATAGAGGTGCCCACATAAAGTCCTGAGGGTATATTATCGTGAAGGATCGGCACTTGTGTAGTTTCCCCCCCCCCTCCCCCAACTCACAAATACCGACGGATCTTATAATGAGGTTTGGAGGTAGAGGGTATCTTATAGAGAGGCTTGGGAGTATCCTATGTGAAGTTCTACATGTCCGCAATTGTCGGACAATCAAAAAAAATATTTTTTACCTTATCGGACCAGGAGAATGTTCAGAAGTCCTCAATTTTCTAACCGCCTCCTTATCATTCATTATACCACACCAAATCTTTAAATTATTTAATTCCACTAAATTTCCAAAATTTAAATTACTTGGGCATAATTAAGAAAGAATAATTGGTCATGTGTTAAATTAACTCCAGGCAATTGTTGGGGAAGAGATCGGTATCGTTCATATTTTTTATAAGCACGATATGCTTGTTTAAGCCCCCCATTGTCTGCTATATTCTCTCCTTTTGTACTGCGCCCATTTATTTTCATTGAGATTTGATCGAGAACATAATTTGAATACTTGAAAATTTATGGGGAAATTTAATTAATTTTTTTAAATTTATTTATGCCTGATCTTCAATACATTTTGCCTTTTCTTCAAATTTAACAATTGTAGCATTATCCCTAAAAATTAATTTTTAGTTTAATACTGCAAGGATAGTATGACAATTGGACAGTAAGGAATTGGAGAGGACAATTGGACACTAAGGACAATTGAAAGTAAGACAAATGGACAGTCAGGACAATTGGACTCTAGGTCAATTTGCCATTGGGGACAAATAGACGGTAGGGACAATTGGAAAGTAGGACATTTTGCCATGAAGACAATTGAACAAAAGGACATTTGGCTGGCAAGGACAATTGGACAGTAACGAAAGTAGGACAATCGGACAAAAAATTGGACTATAAGACATATTGACAGTGAGAACATTTGTTCGTTAGAACAATTGGACAACGCTGACAATTGGATTTCCTAAGATAACGTGATCTAATAAACCAATTTAGGCTTTTAATCCCTTTAAAATTTCAATTAACTGACCACCACTGCCTTATATTACCAAATTGATCATAAAGCCTTCCTCTATCATCAAATCCTACAAAATAAAACTAATTATTCCAGCAAGTCCGTGCCTAATTTTAAATCTACCGTGTGTTATTTCATGCCCAATAACTACACCAATTCCCCCAAAATTCATTGAACGGGGGAAATGTTTACTGTAAAAGACTGGCTGTAAAATGCCCGCTGGGAATACTAGAAAAAATTTTTTATTTTTATTTAATTTTTAATATTTTTTTACTGATTTCGTTTGTATTTGGTGAATAGAAAGCATTAACTAAAGCTGCACCTGCTACCCATCTTTTAATTTAAAAATTAAAGGATTTTTTAATTAAAGGCTTATTTGCAGTGGAGAACCATCCATATTTAATCGACCACAACTTTTATGTCCCCGATCGGTTCCGAATGGATTATATATCATTCGAAAGCTCTTAATGAGGGAAATATTTTTTCTAACTGGACTGATCCGGTCTGATCACTAATTAAAAAGTTACAACCCGTCAAGTGCGAAAAACAGCAATTTCTTGCAATTATCAAGCCCTAACTCTTTAAGGAACGCTCGCACACGATCTGTCCTGTTGGAATAAATACTCCACTCTTCAATAGCTTTCGAATGGTATGTTATTCTCTTGATTAGACCAAAACTGGAGGAAGTTATGGGCGATCAACTAACAGGTACCCAACTACTATCCCTAGGGTAATTTACCTATTTCTGTCGACAGGCATTCTAATTTTTTCCAAAATATCTTTTTGATACATTTCGTAAAATTGGAATTTTGTTTTGTAATAATCCGATTCATATACGATATAACTTTAATTAATTAAAAATTATTTTTAATTTTTAGAAATTAAAAAACACCGTTCATATTCCTTATTAACCGCCGTGTTGTTCTCCAAATAGTCAGGGTAGCCTATTTTTTGATGCATTGTTTTTATCTTTTGTTTTGCATAGGCTTTAGTTTCTCCAGTTAGCCATTCTTCCTCGTCCAATAACTCAACAAATGCTTCCATTATCTTTGAAAATAAAAAATTGTTTGATACAATTAAGTAAAGACCGGTTTGAGACGGACTCTCGAACAAATATCTCGGTTATTGAAATCAAACCTGGGCGAAAATTTCGTTTCGTGGACAAAATAAACGCCTGATTGAGATCGAACTTTTATAAGATATCTCGCACGATTCTCATCCGACCCACCCAGTCCAGTTTCTACACTCAAGCCTCATTTTTAGGTCCTTTGATACAGAAATACTCCAGGGGTGTGCGAGTTTCGCCTTTCGTCTTTCGCCTTTCGCTTTTTAAAATCACTTTCGGCACACCCCTGAAATACTCCTTATAATGAGGGAACGGGTGTTGATTAAATAGAGCAGGCCTGTAACCAGGATCTTCCCCCTCCACGCAGTGGTTACGGGCCTGAAATGAAACGATACCTTATCATAAGTGGTATTACATTTAATGGAGGGCCTCTTACTACAACAACCCAACTTTTAAAAAAGAGGTATCTTAAACTGTCGTGTAATTTTTGGGTATCTAAAAATGAGGGTCCAGCATTAAAAAATAAGAAACACCAAGGCAATCATTTCTTCAACTTGTGCTTTTGCTTCATTATCAAAATGATGTTTTACATAAATACTTGATGTTGCCATAGGCATTAAACTATTAACTCGAGTAACACATCCATGCCATCTTAGTTTTTGTACCATCATTACTTGAAAAATTTGAGGGAAATTTTTTTGAATTCAGAAAAGTCCGCAAATTTTATCCACAAGTCATATCTTCTTAAAACCGGACCTCACTTACGTGGGTACACCATCAAGTTAGTATAATTACACTCTCACTTACGGTACGTTCTTTTAAATTTTGTTAACTATTAGGTTGGCCCCCTAGGTTATACTCCTATTCAGACTACCCCTCATTATAGTATACGATATTTTTCGGCCCTAAAGGCAATACACTATGACAGTCCGGCGTATGTCGTTTTGCATTTCGTCTTTCGCTTTTTTAAACTCTGTTCGACATGCCCCATGCTATACAGTTAAATGAAGTAACATCCAATTTTTGATAAAACATTTGCGGACAAAACTTGCGGACTTTTCCAGATAAATTTAAAAAAGCCTTCTAACAATTAAGTGTTCTGTAGAATTTAAACATAGTTAAAGCAAAAGGATCAGGCAAATCTCTAAGCATTGCTTTAAAGAACCAACACCAAGTTAGGTAATTTTGAACAACTCTAAAATATATTTTTTTTAATATTTCCAAATTTTAGTGTCTACCTAGGCTCGAATGTTGGTAATAATTTGTCTAGTCTTGCAACAAACTCAGCTCCATATATAACTATCGGTTCATCATGTCCAAATTGTATAGGATTTTTTCCCTTTTGTTCATTAATATTCTCAAATATTGTATTGAAAAATAAGAGCCAATCAAAATTTGGGTATCTTCAGAAAAAAAATTTTTTTAATTTAAAAATATTTTTGTTTTGTCCGCAAAATTTTTGCGGACTTTTTTTTGTCCGCAAAATTTTTGCGGACTTTTTTTTGTCCGCAAAATTTTTTTTTGTCCGCAAAATTTTTGCGGACTTTTTTTTTGTCCGCAAATTTTTTTGCGGACATTTTTTTGTCCGCAAATTTTTTGCGGACTTTTTTTTGTCCGCAAATTTTTTGCGGACTTTTTTTTTGTCCGCAAATTTTTTGCGGACTTTTTTTTTGTCCGCAAATTTTTTTGCCGACTTTTTTTTTGTCCGCAAATTTCTTGCGGACTTTTTTTTTGTCCGCAAATTTTTTGCGGACTATTAATTAAGCCCACCTTTCTTTAATCTCTCCAATTGTATATTTTGTATAAAGTTCAGAAACATCATGTCTTTGATCCTCAGACACTGTTATCTTCAAAATAAAATTAAAAAATAAAAGTAATATTAACATTTTATTAAAACATTTGCGAGTTCGGTTTCAAATTGAAGAACTTCGAGAGAGTCTCTTTCTGCTATCCGATGATCTGCTCCAAGTAGCACCAATACATCACGAATACTTTAAAGAAACGAAAAGTAGTTGAAAAACTAAAGTAACTAGGGGTAAGGTGTCCGCATAATATTTGCGGATTTGTCCGCAAATTTTTTGCGGACATTTTTATTTCTGCGGATTTTTTGATAAAAGATTCGATTCTTACAGAGTTCGGTAAGCTAGCCGTTCAACTTCCGTCTCAGTAAGCATATAAAAGTCACGAGCAAACAGATTAAGTGCTGGTTGGTCTATCTAATTAATCAAATTATTGTCGAACTTCACTAGAACCTTACCAGCAAAATATGTTTGTCAGAATTTTTGTCGTCTGGTTGAACTGTTGCTTTAAAAAGTGAATCTGCGCGAAACTTTGAAACCTCAAAAAAAAATAAAATTCATTAAGAATTAGATGTAAAATCCACCATAATTCCATAAAGTCGCTCAATTCTTATTCTAATATTAGGTTGAGATGAAGATTCTAAAGAAGGCCAACCACCAAAAGTATGTAAAACTTGATCGAACACGTTTCTCCAAGAGGTCATTATTTCACCTAAATTGTGCATGCGTCTAAAGGTAGAAAGTCCGCAAATTATTTGCGGACTTTTATTTTGTACGCAAATTATTTGCGGACACAATTCCTACTTTCATTCAGGCACATTTGGTAAAAATATTTGGCTTTTTTGACTGCTTCTTCATTTGTTTCTTCCATATTGATAAGTGTGTCAGGTCCATCTTCCAATAAATCTTTTAATGCTAATTCCAAGTCTTGTCCAAGATTTTCAAAATTTGAAACAGAAGGAGCGTCATCTTAAATTTTTAGAATTACCCCCATTTTAAAAATATACCCCCATTTTATCTTAAAATCGGGGATGTCGTTAAAATAGCACTCCCATCCAGTAGCTAATTGGATTGTATCTAATAATGAGTGTTCCTTACACAGAGGTATGACTGTAGAAAGCTTAGTGGGTGTTCGCAAACGTCATGTTCGCAATTGTCGTTCTCTCTGTTCATAAATTTACCTGGAATAGGATGTTGTTTAATCCAATTACCACAAGCATATTCAAAAAAATCATCACAGGGATCAACAGTTGCATTCATGGAATTTAAAATTATTGCGGCTAAAAAATTTTAATAAAATTAATAATAGAATTGTCGGACCTCAACATATCATACACTCTTAGGGCTCAAAAGACAGTATCCTATAATGGAGGTGTATTTTAGGGTTTGTGCCTTATACAGGGAGTACCTTTAATAGAGGTGTGCCATATACGGGAGTATCTTAAATAGAGGGGTGCCTTATAACGAGGTGTGCATTAAATAGAGGTAGCTTATACTGGACGTATCTTAAATAGAGGTCTGACAGTGCTAAAATATAGAGCACCCACCTGTATGAACACAAACAGGTGTTAAACAAACAGCACTCTTCTCCTTATACAACAAAACAATCAAAGCAACAATTAGGGCAATAAGAAAAAATAAAATAATTAAAAAAGAGATTCCCAACAATAAACGTTTATAATTTCTTCTTCTGCTCTTTTTGGGTGGTTCAACTGCTGTACGTGTTGTTGTCATTGATGTAGGGGAGGATAGGGGGATTTTTTCCAGGCTATTTTTCTTGTTATTTATGGCTACTAGAGGTAAGACTGATGTTGTTGAATTTGCTTCTTCTGCAAGCATAGGGGAATGATTGGCTGTTGTTGCCTCTAATGTTGTTGATTCACCAGATTTTATTGAAGGGGCGGCAGGGCTGGTTTCTTTGGATTTTGAGACCTTTTTTGAGGAGGTTTTTTTTAAATGATAGGTATATTTGAATTATACTTATTAAGGAATTGTTTGTTTTCCTTTGCTCCTAGATGTCCGCAAATTTATTCCGCTTGCGAAAAATTTTTGATACGACTTGCGGACAAAATATGCGGACATATTTTTAGTCAAAAACTTGCGGACTAATTTTGCGGACGAAAACTTGCGGACAACACTTGCGGACAAAATTTTGCGGACTAAATTTGCGGACAAAAATTTGCGGACTTTTAGGGGCATGAACTAAAATACCCTATAATATTCCTAATTTTTCCCCTCTATGAAAAAATATTTTGTCAATCTCACAGAAGGTGTGGCACTGTCAACAAGCAATGCCCCAACAGCATTTTGTTGTTGTTCTGTTGTCGTCATAATCATTTAAAGAAAAGTGTGTGCCCTCTTGAATAATTCGAAAAGTAGGCAAAAAGGGCAAGGATGAGGCAAAGGATTTTTTGCCAAAAAAATTTTTTTTTTGTTTTTTAGCGCAAAAGCAATCCTCTTTGTATGGCACTTCTTTTTATTTGTTTATTGAAGATGGGAACGCATTTTTTGCTTAAATAAACTTGAGCCTTTATTTAAGGCTTTAAAATATTTTTTTGAAGAAAAGGGGGATTTAAAGGGGAATTTAAAGGGGTATTTAAAGGGGTTTATTAAAAATATTTGGCAAGTGCCAGAATAAAACAAAGGGAAAAAATGCTTCCGATAAATGAAGAAAAATAATTTATTGTCTTAAATGATGTTTGTTTTGGCAGTGTTGTTTTAATTAATTTTTTAAAATTTATTTATTGAGAGCCAATTAATTGAAGAACATACTAGGGTATTTTAAAAATTATTTTTATTAATTAGAAGCTAATTTAAATAAAATAAAGTTTAAAAATCGGGACATGAAAAGTTGAATATTTAAGCGATCAATGCATAGGGAAAAAACGTTGGAAAAATAAATATGCAAAAGTAATGGGTCTTTCAAATTTATAAACAATCAAACCTTATTTTTGGATACTTTTTAGGGATGAAAATTTGTCTCCTATAACGAGGTGTGTGTTAAAAAAAGGGTAATCTTCTGCTTCATTGGTCCCTAGAAAAAAATGAGGAAAAAGTGCTAGTTCGGCATTTTTGAGGTTTACCAGTAGGTAATCAAGTGTGCTGAGTCCGAATACGAGCTTAGAATTTGTTTATTTCGAACCCTGAACCCGAATTCGACCAAGTCGGATATGGGATAAAAATTCAAAATTTCAAATTTTTTGTTTAATCGGATTCGTCTCTTCGAGCTGAGTCGATTTGTATCAAAATTATTACGTTTCGACATCTTTAGACTAAGTTATGGTGGATGATTTATATACGGAAGTCTAACCAAGCATGTATTTAATTGATCATAACTCAGTCTAAGGTTGACAAAACACAATAATTTTGATATCAGTCGACTCAGCTTGCAGAGCGCGTCAGAATAGCGATAGCCTAATAGTTTCGAATTCTTACCCCGAATTCGACTTGGTCGAATTCGGGTCCGGGGTTCGAAATAAGCAAATTCTAAGCTCAGATTCGGACTCAGCACACTCGATTACCTACTGGCAGATTTCAAAAATATCGAAAAAGCATTTCTACCACATTTTTTCTAGGGACCAATGAAGCAGAAGATTACCAAAAAAAGGTATTGCTTATGAAGCTCATTAAAAAAGATAAAACTTATTTTAAGATAGGGGGAGCTTTTTAAGATAGCATCACTGGGTGGGGGTTGGACGAGCTACTCCACGACTGGGTTAGAGAGCTCTTGTACTACCTTTTGTATCTTAAAATGAGTTATGGCTAGTATTGGGGGTATCTTATAATGAATAGGTGACGTATAAGAGAGTATCTCTCCAACCCAGTCGTGGAGTAGCTCTTCTAACCCACACGAGTGATGCTGTTTTAAAAAGCTCCCCCTATCTTAAAATGAGGTTCATCTGTCTATGATAATAGAGATTAATTAAAAACATATCTTTGGAATAATCAAAAAGAAATGTTTTTTAAACGAAAAAATTTTTTTGTTTTTAATAAATACACTTTTCTTCTCTATAATAATAGAGAGGAGTATTACGTAAATCACCCTCCATCCTCTCTCTCTCTCCATTTTTTATTCAACAACACATATTCGATTTGGCCAAGGAATAAATAAAATATTGAATATAGCAAGGCATATGGCCGTAAAGTGAAGACAAATAAAAAAAATTTTTTCGAAGCCTTCAATCATTGCCTGTTTGGGGGTGATAAAAAGTGGGGAAAAATAAAAGAGACACCCAACAACACAAAACAATTTTTCATTTAGAGAGGGAGATGCCGATTAAAGAGGGGAAAAGGACAGTTAATTGAGAAGGGTGTTGATTGTTGCTAACACATTTTTTAGAAAAAAGAAATTAATTAAATTGCAATTTTGGAACAGCTAGAGAAGAAGGCTGGCCTAGGAAATGGTGGAAATTGGGAATTAAAAAGATTTTTTTGGAAATAAAAAACAAAAAAAACATGGAAATAAAGATTAGGTCACTTTAACTGCCATTAAAGATTCGAATTTATTTTGGTGGATATTGAAATCTCAATAAGACATTGAAATCTTCAAAATGCAATTTATGTGTCTATTATGTGTACAAACTTTTCCGAAAAAATTTTTTATAGGGTCAGACTGCATACAGATTATGATCTTCGAGCTGAGTTAAAGATCCGCAATATCCGCGGATTTGGAGCATCATATCCGTAACTATCCGATTTTTAAAAAACATCCATATACGCCCGTATCCGGATATTATCCGTATCCATGTCCAGCTCTGGTTAATACAATTAATGTTTGTATTTTCAGAATATTTAATTTAGCCAAATTTTTTAATTAATTTAAAATGACGCGATTAAAAATAAAAATACACTTATTTTTCAATTAAAAGGCTATTAACAAATAAATAAATTTTGTCCAATTAATTTTAAAAAATATTTGAAAAGCTGATTCACTTCTTGTTTATTTTAAATAAAAATTATATTAATCGTTTTTAAAAAAATAAAAATGTGTAATTGAAAATATTGTTCATTTTTTGTAAATAATTTTAATACAATATAGGGGTGACACACGCTTATACGGCCCCTCACTTGGTAAAGTATACAAAATATTTTATAATAAATTTAAAAAAAAATATTTAAAATAAATCATTATGCTTAGGTAAAGATTAAATTAATTAAATGTTTCGATAAGAAAATATTTTTTGGGTTCAGACAACACATGATAATTAACTGTTTATAGATCGCTTGCAAATGAGGGTAGGAACAGCTGGAAGTTTTGGAATGACTAATGAGTCCGTATGTGGGTCGGGGGTGTGCCGAAACTATTTTTAAAGCGAAATAAGAAAGACGAAAGGCGAAGGTCGGTTTAAAGAGCGAAAAATGGAAGACGAAAGACGAAACGGCACACCCCTGTTATCCACGTGTGGGTCAGTGGTGTGCCGAAACTGTCTTTAAAAGCGAAACACGAAACCCAAAAATGCGAAACTGCTAATCGGCATCCTTAATATGGGTATTGTTCAGGCATCTCCCCCACCAAGTGGTCAAATAAATTAAAAACTTAAATGAGAGTACCTACAAGTGAGATGTACACCTAGGTAAGATCCGATTATTAAAAGGTTTATTTTAAATCGATCTAGTTAAAACAAAAACTTGCCAGAAAATCTATCATAAATAGGATAACTTTTGTTTTTTAAACATCCCCCAAATCCCTCCTTAATTATCGATCAAACTAAGGAAGGTATTGAAGGGCCAACTTATGCTCTAAAATTCCCGAACAAAAAGCTCCTTCCTTTTGCTAATTGAAACGTCCTATTTTCTTCTTCCTTGTTTGCACTATCCTAAGAGCCTCAAAAACCTTCCCGACATTCATCTATCCATCTATTTATTAGCCCCTTCTTAATAAGTGTCATCTTCCTCCAATGCTTAAAATAAAAGAAAGGCAAGTCTGACGATAATAAAGTTATCGGGGAGAGCGTCTTTATTAAATGAGTTAACATTAAACGAAGAAAAAAGGGGTTGGGGGATGGCTGGCATCTAGCCCGATGAAAGTGAATGGCTGCCTCTTCTTTGTTATCCTCTCCTATTGCCATCAAAAAAGTTGAGAGGAAAAAAGAGAACTTTTGTCTCAATTGAGAATATAAAATGGAAAAATGATTTAATAATAAATTTAAAGAAAAAAATTTTTTTAAGTAGATCAATAAGAAATATTTTTTGGTAGTCTATACGACATAATAAAATCCGATAGTGGCCATAGACCACACCTAGGCGTATTCAAGTACCCTATAGACAATGCACTTAATGGCAATGCTCTATAATGATTTTGGCGCAAATCTCCGGGACTTGAATGCCATCTGCGTGAAAAGAGGGATTTCAGTTTCTCCCTGCCGAAGCAAGTGGATAAGAGTTTAGATTGTAACTACTATAACGATCATTGATGTTGATAATTAACATGTTTCTGTTGTTTAATTCGTTCTGCCTTTTCCTCGTTGAACATAACGTGAATTTCAAAAGTACATGGGGAATAGAAAGCCGAATAATCCGAAAAGTCTTATGGTAAGAAAAATAATCGTAATTAAAATTAGACAACAAAACATTTTACCCCTTGTATAGACAGCAAGGATCAAAAATTAACCCTGATAAATATTTTTTAAATTAAAAGCCCCCTCCGAAGCAAGGGGCAGGTCCAATGTACAAAACGGCACATGGACACACCAAAATTTGTGCCCCCTGCACAAGGCAGGGGACTTCCAAAATTTGTGCCCCCTGCACGAAGGCAGGGGGACTTGAGTTGCCCCCTGCACGAAGGCAGGGGGACTTGGGTTGCCCCCTGCACGAAGGCAGGGGGACTTGAGTTGCCCCCTGCACGAAGGCAGGGGGACTTGGGTTGCCCCCTGCACGAAGGCAGGGGGACTTGGGTTGCCCCCTGCACGAAGGCAGGGGGACTTGAGTTGCCCCCTGCACGAAGGCAGGGGGACTTGGGTTGCCCCCTGCACGAAGGCAGGGGGACTTGGGTTGCCCCCTGCACGAAGGCAGGGGGACTTGGGTTGCCCCCTGCACGAAGGCAGGGGGACTTGGGTTGCCCCCTGCACGAAGGCAGGGGGACTTGAGTTGCCCCCTGCACGAAGGCAGGGGACTTCCAAAATTTGTGCCCCCTGCACGAAGGCAGAGGGACTTGAGTTGCCCCCTGCACGAAGGCAGGGGGACTTGGGTTGCCCCCTGCACGAAGGCAGGGGGACTTGAGTTGCCCCCTGCACGAAGGCAGGGGGACTTGGGTTGCCCCCTGCACGAAGGCAGGGGGACTTGGGTTGCCCCCTGCACGAAGGCAGGGGGACTTGAGTTGCCCCCTGCACGAAGGCAGGGGGACTTGGGTTGCCCCCTGCACGAAGGCAGGGGGACTTGGGTTGCCCCCTGCACGAAGGCAGGGGGACTTGGGTTGCCCCCTGCATGAAGGCAGGGGGACTTGGGTTGCCCCCTGCACGAAGGCAGGGGGACTTGGGTTGCCCCCTGCACGAAGGCAGGGGGACTTGGGTTGCCCCCTGCACGAAGGCAGGGGGACTTGGGTTGCCCCCTGCACGAAGGCAGGGGGACTTGGGTTGCCCCCTGCACGAAGGCAGGGGGACTTGAGTTGCCCCCTGCACGAAGGCAGGGGGACTTGGGTTGCCCCCTGCACGAAGGCAGGGGGACTTGGGTTGCCCCCTGCACGAAGGCAGGGGGACTTGGGTTGCCCCCTGCACGAAGGCAGGGGGACTTGGGTTGCCCCCTGCACGAAGGCAGGGGGACTTGAGTTGCCCCCTGCACGAAGGCAGGGGACTTCCAAAATTTGTGCCCCCTGCACGAAGGCAGAGGGACTTGAGTTGCCCCCTGCACGAAGGCAGGGGGACTTGGGTTGCCCCCTGCACGAAGGCAGGGGGACTTGAGTTGCCCCCTGCACGAAGGCAGGGGGACTTGAGTTGCCCCCTGCACGAAGGCAGGGGGACTTGGGTTGCCCCCTGCACGAAGGCAGAGGGACTTGAGTTGCCCCCTGCACGAAGGCAGGGGGACTTGAGTTGCCCCCTGCACGAAGGCAGGGGGACTTGAGTTGCCCCCTGCACGAAGGCAGGGGGACTTGAGTTGCCCCCTGCACGAAGGCAGGGGGGCTTGATTGCCTACCGCCGAAGCTGCAGGACTTTATGGGGCGCCCAATTTTTTATTAAAAAAAATTAGAAACTTACGTTTTAAGATTTATAATTTTTGGACGGTATGCAAACTATAAACAAAGAACATAATTATTTGGTCCTTCTTTGATTAATTTCCATTTCTCTGCCTTTTTCACTCTTCTTCACTTTTTTTCACTCTTCATTACTATTTCACTCTTCTTTTTCACTCTTCTTTTTATTGCTAAAATGACTATAGGAGAAAAATACACAAAATATATATTTTTCAAAATGGTCAGAAGGGGAAATTTTTTCAAATTGTCGAAGGGCTCCTATTCTTCCCTCCTTAATTATTCCTTTGAAACTTTTTTAAAATTTTGAAAAATATTTATACATCATTCAAATCGAACATATAAATTTAGGGTATTAAATGCACACTTTTTTCACTAAAATCATCCTCAACTTCATTATCCAATCTATTATTTAGAAAGGAGAATGAATTTAATTTATTATTTTCTTCCTCCATATTTCTTCTCTCTTGGGGATATCCATTATATAAATAGACAGAAACTGCAACCATTAAAGTTCCAACCAAAAATAAATTATTAGGCGAAAAATCGAATAAAAGCCAAGAGCCGAAAGCTGCTCCAACAATCGCTGCAGCTTGAGCATAGGCTTTCTGAAATTGATTTCGGGTGTAGGACATGCGTTTATAAGATGGGGTCCATGGTTGCGCCTTACAAAGGGGTGCAAGGAAATACGACTTATTTTTGCGTCGCAAAAGGGGACGCATGTATTATTTCGGTGACGCAGATCTTTTCAGGTACGCATAGATTTTCATAATACAAATTGTAAGCATGTCCTAACCCAGAGACTTTAAATTTTGAAAACAATTACAGTAAAACCTCATTATAGTATTGAGAGTATCATATAAGAAGTCGGTAGTGCAGATGAGTATTTTGCTTAGAAGCGTATCTAGTACCCATCAGCGTATCTAATATTGGGTGAATCTAATATTGAGTTTCATACATGTAAACGAGGCCATACTGTAACCATTTCTATTAAACATACCAATATATTATCTGCATATTTAATCACAACTAGAAATTAAAAAAAATTTAATTTCTTCAAGTTAAACTACCAGCAATCAAAAGCCCTCCCAACGAATTTGTTGCAGTCATTACCCAAACCAAAGCATCAAAACCGACAAATAACCCTTCTAATCATAAAAATAATTCGTATAAATTAGCTTTAAGAACCTTCAGAAATTCGTCTCGTATCTTTTACTAAAATAAGAATTGCCCCAATAAACAGACCAAAAATTGCTAGCCTTATATTTTGCATCCAAATGTTCACAGAACTTTCTTTTAATACCATTTCCAGATAGACACCTTTTTGAATATTTTAGTGTTCCTTTAGTCTCCGAAAATCCGCAAGTTTTCAAAAGTTCGCAAGTTTTGTCCGCAAAAAATACCCCCTAATGCAGGGCTAGGGAGCTACTTTAGCGATACTACCTATCTAATCTACGCCCCATTATAAGAGACTGACTTTCAATCCCAAAGACGTTTCTAAAGTGAGGTTGGTCTGTAAGGCATGTCTTTATAAAACGGGAAAAAGCAATGCAATTGTACGTGCGGACTTTTTAAGCATAAATTTTCTACCAAATTTACCTGCAAATGCAGATGAGATACACATAGTAAGAACGGATAACATTCCAACAAAGAAGCTTTGTTCTTTACTGGATTGACTTGCTGGAGGCTCATACTGACTTTGAACTATAGCAACTCCTAATACCTTTAAAAAAATTTTTGTTGAAATAAAAATCTTAGATACATGCTCTCATTAAAGATAAGATGCCTTCCAAAAGTCCGCAAGTTTTATCCGCAAAAATATTTGCGGACTTTTTCTATCTTGCGGATAAAATTTGCGGACATTACTGAGAATACCTAAACGATACCCTCTATTTAAGATACCCCTTATTATAAGAGACTATTTTTAATCTCACAAGGGTGTGTCTAATAATGGAGGTTTACTAACAAGAATTAAAAGAGCAATCCATTGTATTCTAGAAATTAGTTTCCCAAGCAATATTCTCAACATAATTGCTGTTGTTAAAATTTTTAATTGATAAATGACCTTCAAAATATTTTTTAAATTAATTTAATTAATTAAAAATCAAACACAAAATGTTGTGGATTCCAAATTGGATAAAGCCACATAATACAAATTATTTTGTAGATTATATATTAATGAAGGGGCACAAACCTTTAAGAGGCGTATTTTTATTAAATTATTTTTTAGTAAAAAATACTTTGGCAGTTTCGATTGGATCTCCAAATATTGCGTTTTTACAATCATTTAAGAATCTTTAAAAAAATCTGCATTTTTAAGGAAAAAAGGTTGTACGCAGGTTTTTTTGCGGACTTTCCGCAAGTAAAACTTGCGGATCGTCGCAAGTTGTTTTGCGGATCGTCCGCAAGTTTTTTGCGGATTTTTCCATTGAGGTGAATTTTAGATAGGGAGTTAGGCATCAGGTCCGTCAGTAAGATATTTTATATAAAAAATCCGCAAAAGTTATCATCAAATTTTTTTATTACCTGAAAATACTTCTTGCTTTAAAACAAAGCAATATGGAACAAGCAGATAATTTAATCAAATCCATAAAAAATACATTCCTAAAAATTAAAATTTTTTTGCTCAGTCCAAGAAGTCCGAGCTAAAATACACTGTCGTTATGAATGCATTATCTCTATCTCTTGAAGCTCTAACCATCAAAGGCATGCTACAAAAATATTTTAAGAAATTTTTTTAATTTTTTTAATGCCTTGATTGCTGCAAAGTCAATAATAAAATTCCCAATTGTTTGTAGAAAATAGGATTTGTATTCATTTTTTGAGATTAATTTTTAATTTAAAAACTGGACCCAAAATCTGTAAGCTTTATCCACAAGTCATACCTCATAATTATTTTTAGATACCGTCGAAGAGGTGAAAAAATAGTCTCCTATAATGAGAGGTAGCTTAAATAGAGGTCAAATCTCATTATACGATACACTCTTGGATGTATCCTAAATAGAGGTCGAATCTCATTATAAGATACTTTTTAAGGTTGAAAAGCAGTCTCTTATAATGAGAGGTATCTTAAATAGAGGGTAATTTAGCTTAGACAGCTCCTTTTGCCAAGTTTCCCACAAAATTAAAAAACGTATCTTAAATTGAAGCCAATCCTGGGGTGTTTAAAATTGAGTTTGAATGAGTACGACTTGCGGATAAAACTTGCGGATTTTCTCGAGCATAAGGGAAAAAGAACCAATAATTTTTAATTTTATCGAAACATTTTTAATTTTAAAAAAGAGGCGTTTCATCAATCGAAAAATATTCTAGGTTAATATTTTGAAGATTAGACAGATTTATAATTTATTAGATTTCAAATGGAGATAAAAAAAGAGAAATTGATTTAAAATTAATTTTATAATTTATTGAACACATTTTGATTATTAAATGTTGAAAATGAACTATTAAACTATTTATGAATGCGGACCTAGCTATAAGATACTCCCCCACCCACACCACTAAGAATACGGTCTCTAAAATTTGGTTACCCTGGGTGTAACCTTACCGTATATCCTTTAATAACTACCCTGGGTAATTAATGTTTCGACCCTCCGCTGGAGGGAGTAATTAATCGAGGGAGGGTGATTATAAGAGGTTTGAAATTTGAACTTGTTTTAGGGCATTTGTTTGGAGGTAATTATTGTTTCAATCCAGCACTGGATGGGGTAATTAATGAAAGTGGGGTAATTATTTGAGGGAGGACAATTAATACAAGTTATACGGTATATACACTTTCTAATTAAGATACAGCCCATTTAAGGTCCGATTTTTCAGGCTTGAGGGGGTATTTTATATTAAGGTCCGGCTATATTAATTTTGTTAAGTTGAGCAAAAAAATTCTTGAAATTGAAGTTTCTAATTTGCAGATTTTTCCTACATTAAGGGGAAAATAAGGGGAAAATCTCTGCAAGATTGGTCACCTCATTTTTCAAAAAATTCAAAAAAAAATATTTTTTCTTGAGATTATTATTTTTTAATTAAATTTTTAATAAATTCTGCTTTCCAAAGTGTCAATATTTAAATGATTTGGAGGGTTTTGATTATTAATATTATTTTCATCTTCAATTTCTTGCCTTTGTTTTTTGTCCTTTCCACGATTTATTAGCCAAACAATTAGCCAAACTATTAGAGAAATTAAAACGAGAAGACAAAATAGAGCTAAGAGGCCAATAACAAGTGTGTATTTTGATCTCCTAAAATAAACTTGTTAATTTTGAAAAATTTTTGGAAATGAAAAATACAAGCAAACCGCGAGATACTCCCAAGGGGCTGAGAAATTGTGCTTATAATGAGATTTAACTTAGAGGATGCCTTATATTCAAGGGTGTCTTAAATAGAGGGATCCATTACTATGAGGTACCGTAAATGGAGGATATTGTTTGGATAGCTCCCCTCCTGGGCCTGCCAAATTTTAAAAATGACTCTCAGAGGTGAATCTAGTATTGGGTGTATCTGATAGTGAAGGGTCTGTTTGTATTTTTCAAAAAAGTTTCCTACCAATTGGAATCACAACAAGTCTTTTCACAACAATCAACATCGATATGACACTCTTGTATAACCTTTAAATAAGTTAAATTGAAGTTAGGACAAAGTAGAAAGGAGCAGGCTAGTCTACTTCTAGCCCAGTCTACTGAAAAATCTCACAGCAAGCCAAGCTCAACTATAACTATAAGTAGAGATCGAACTGGATAACCGACATTTTTTTATTTCTTCTCAGTCCGATCTCTGGTAGTTATAAGCCCTACGGAAGTCTAAACTGTCTTAGATCGTAAGAGAAATTTCTCTCAAGTTTCCATATCCTTTCATTTTAAAAAACTCAGATTTTTCAAGAATGCTACCTGTTGTACGCTGTCTGGAATTCCATAAATGCAATTATAAAATGATGGATCATGTTCTGAATTTCAAAAAACATTTTTCAAAATTTAGCTATATTTTTAACCATTAATTTCTTTTGTTACTAAAGTTGCGTCTTTTATGGTTTCGAATGTTGCATCGTTTGGAGGGCCTGAAGCCGAGTTTGAATAGGATGGGTCAAATAGTTGTAATTCTCTTTCCTTATCTGTTAAATGGTCTGTCTGTTGAGCTGGGTCTGAATTATTATTTTTTATTCCCGTTATAAGTTACCCCCAAACCCTCAGTATAAGATACTCTCATTATAAGATACCCTCTATGATACCCCCAACCTCCCTATAAAATACCATCATTATAAAACCTTCAGCTGAGCCTCATTATAAGATACCCCCTTATAAGACACCTCCAAACCCCTCTCTATAAGTCACCCCCAAACCTCTCTATAAGACACGCTCATTATAAGAGCATAAGTCAACTTATTATAAGATGCGCATAATACTAGAACACCTCAGTTTAAGACATTTATTTTGTTAACCCTTACGTGGGGAAGGCTCTCACTAACATAAGCGATACCCTCTAGGTAAGATTCACGATTCACCCCATTATAAGGTTAGATTTTTTCAATCCCAAAGGTATCCTGTAGTGAGGTCTTGTTTGTAGCCTTTCGACACAGCTAAAACTCACTAAGATATTTTCACAATAAACTACCTGAATAAGGAAGATCCCATCTCGACCACGGAGTTTTAGGTTCTTGTGCCATTACTTCAAATTTACTTACGGACAAAACTTGCGGATTTTTGGGATCATAAAGTAAACTGAACCGAAACTTTTTTCCAGAAGATTATATATATTCCTTTAAATAAACTATATAATATAGGTAAGTATTTGTGTGTAAAATATATGTATATATTTTACACAAACACAGCAAAAAAACGTTAACTCGCAACGTCCTCCCTTTCAATACAAAAAATGATTGTTTACACAAAGGTCCCAAACTCTTCCCGTTTTTTTTGTTTTTTCCCTCAAATTATTTTTTACTTTGTATCGACTCTTTGAAGGATTTTTGGAGGAAAAAAAGTAAAAAATTCTCTAAGTTATTGGCCCTCTTGAGAATAATTGAAGAGAAGAGAAGGATCAACAACAACAGAAAAACTAACCAGAACCAAATTACCCTTCTCTTTCTTTTTCTATTTTTAAAGACTAATACCTACTAATCTATTTTTAAATGTTAAAGAGAGTGAAAAAAGAAATGTGTATTTCAGGGCTCTCATCGACAAAATGCCACTCAAAAGTATCAAAATCTTGATAAAAAAGTATATAGGGAGAAAATTTCCAAATTTAAAGTATACTCAAAATTAAATTGGAAAATATTTGTTCGTGCTCAAATCTTTTATATTTCTCTCTTAAATGAATCTTTTCTAATAATTTCTTGCTTCCATTGGGCATTTTGTGCATTTCAACGCATGACATGTCAAAATTCGCTGATACAAGAAATAAAGCCTTGACAGTCTTAACCTCAAGCTTTCGTCCATTTTCAGCGCCGCAGGCGAAAATTTTTTGAAATTTGGAGCCCAAGAAGTCAGATTTCTCCCATTTTCAGCGCCGCAGGCGAAAATTTTTTGAAATTTGGAGCCCAAGAAGTCAGATTTCTCCCATTTTCAGCGCCGCAGGCGAAAATTTTTTGAAATTTGGAGCCCAAGAAGCCAGATTTCTTTCTTTTTCAGCGCCGCAGGCGAAAATTTTGATAATTTCGAAGGCCCAAGGCTAAAAAAATTCACTTTTTTGCCCAATCCCTTCCCCAATTTCATTTTCAATCCAAAATGTTGATTTTAAAGTATATACTTTCAATAAAGTATAAATTCAATTTCTTAAGTATGGAGGTCGGTTTCAAAGTATAATACTTTCAAATAAAGCACGAATGAGAGCCCTGGTGTATTTTCTATAAGAGGAATTTTTTGAAATAATTTGTTAAGATTCGGAAATCTTGAAGCAAGTTATCGCTTTGCGCCGGTATGGCCGCGCGCCTACTTGGGCTATACCTTTTAAGTCTTCTTTAAAACTACGTCGAGTTACAAATAAGAGACGTGGGAATACTCCTGTTCTACAGGGTGTTTCAGCTGAAAAGCGCTATTTGAAAAATTAATAAACTTTTACTGCGTGGACAGATTTAAATGAAATTTTGTATTTTGCATCTATATTTTTGGCAATTTTTTTGACATAAAAATTATGTCGAAATTCGAACCCTAACCCGAGATAATTTCGTACTCTATCGTTCTGTTTTTCCCTTTTTCCGCACATGCATTCTTACTCCCTTTTGTTTGTTACAAGCGGCGATAGACACTAGAGTAAACACTAAGCGATAGACACTACATTTTCAATACAGTATCCACTCTTCGCCATACGCAGGAAAATAAATGCACTAAGATAGCGCGCAATGAAAAGAGAAAGGAAAGAGAACGGTAGAGTACGAAATTGTACGAAATTGAAATACGGGGTTAGGTTCGAATTTCAACATAATTTTTATGTCAAAAAATTGCCATAAAATATAAATGCAAAATACAAAATTTCATTCAAATCTGTCCATGGTGTAAAAAATTATGGATTTTTCAAATAGCGCTTTTCAGCTGAAACACCCTGTACTACTCTGGGCAGTGTTAAGAGAAGGCGATCACGTGCGAGGAAACAAGTCATTGGGACGCCATTAATCGATTTTGATGGTCCTAAGATCCATACAATTTTGTTTTTAAATTTAATAAACATCCTACGCCATTGGTCGACATTAGCGTGGAAGTTAGGAATTATTTGAAGGAATCTAGTAGACTGGTTGGATTTAAAAAGTTTAAATTTTTAAGTTTTAATTATTTTTCTAGCCAAAACTCTTACATGTCAAGCTAGTTGGTCTTTCACCCGTTCCGTCATCTTCTATGGGACCAATTCAGCAAGCATTCCATTCAGGAATGTCTATGTTTGGTGGAGTAAACAGGTCTGGTCGTCTCATTTGGAGCCCGTACGGGTCATCAAATGTAGAAAACTCCGAGAAGTGCTAAGAGAAAACGATCACAGGCGAGGGAGTAATTCAATGGGTCAATAATTTTAGACGGCCAGAAAGCTCGCCAAAGTTGAGGAGCAGCAATTGTAAATGGAATGCGTTTTTTATAAAAATTTGGGCTTTTTTCCAAACAACAAGGCGTATCCAGGGGGTCGGTTTCGGGGGGAGGGGGCTGAATACGCCCTTGCCGAACAAAACTAACAATGTTTACATATTTCCCGAAAAATCTATTATTTTCGACCGATAATCATAAAGCATTTTCAGACCCAAGAAATCATAGAACTCGAGAAGTTGAGCAAGACGTGAATTCTTCTGAAATTGCTGCTTTTAATTATGCTGATATGACTCTTTTTACTCAATCAGGTTTTCAATTAAGATTTTAATATTTCTAAATTATAGTACATTTATTTGTGATAGGTCTTATGCGAAATACAACAATTCCACAACATCTTATTCTCTTCCAAATGCTTCCAGATTTGAAGTATGATTGCGTAAAGTCTGTTATTGAACTTCAAAGAAATAGCCAAAGTTGAGGAGCAGCAATTGAAATGGAATGCGTGAAGAAGAAACTGCCTGAAGAAATAGTGAATTGTGGTTTAATTACCCAAATACAGACAATATTTTTGTGAAAGTGCTAGGTTTGGTTTTAATATTTTTTGTTTAATTATTCTTTTTTTAAAGAATACTCACACCGGATGAAATTGTTGAGTAAGTTTTTCAATATTTTTTCTTTACAAATTCAAATCTGTCTGGTCGTCTTGTCTGGTCGTCTCATTTGGAGCCCGTACGGGTCATCAAATGTAGAAAACTCCGAGAAGTGTTAAGAGAAGGCGATCACCTGATGATAGTGATGATAGTGACATTGAAGTTGTTTTTACTTGCAACAATTTGCGTACTAATAACCTCATGGAAAAGGTTTTTTTCTTTATAAAATATTGGGCTTTTTTCAAAACAACAAGGGCGTATTCAGTGGGTCGGTTTCAGGGGGAGGGGCCTGGATACGCCCTTGCCGAACAAAACTAACAAAGTTGACATATTTCCCGAAAAATCTAATATTTTTTAACGATAATTACAAAACATTTTTTGACCCAAGATATCAATGAACTCGTGAAGGAAGATGGCGAAGATTTTAACAAATGGTTTGCTCAATATTTGTCTATGAAGATTGTAACTGTTGAGCAAAACTTCAATTCTCCTGAAATTCCTGCTTTATTTTTACTCAGTCAGGCTTTCAATTAAGATTTTAATATTTTTAAATTATAATACATTTATTATTGATAGGTCTTATGCAAAATGAAGAAAGCTTTTTAAAAAAATAGCCAAAGTTCCGTTCTGATTATCTGATTACCCTTTGCAAATTTGTATAACTAAAGCATACAAGTATTGACAAGGATTATTAGCTTAATTGAAGGCTTTCTCGCGTGATTGACTTCACTTTTCTCTCTCTCCACATATTTGGTTTGCTGTCACAAACGAACGTTTAACCACCAACCGCATTCTTTTTTGGCTTATTTTAATCCTTGTTCTCTTTGTAATTTATATCTTTCCACACTCTTTATAAATCTCGTAAGGCTCATTTTGTCACTGCTTTTTATCCTTTTCCTTTAACTATTGAATTTTTACATTCTCTTTGCAGAGAATTTTACAAGTTAAATTGTAGACTAATTGTAAGGAGAAATGCTCTTTATAGATACTCTTGAAGCTGAAAGAATTGTGTTTTATAATGATGTGTGTGTAGAAACCGAAGGGGTGTATTACGCCTTCACCGGGGGTATGCTAGTTTCGGGGTATGACAGTTTCGTCTTTCGCCGAATTTCGCCTTTTTAGTGTTTCGTCTTTCATCTTGTTCATTTCAAATTCCCTTTCGTTACCTCCCTCGCATTTATGTATGTAAATACAATTTTGTGAAAATTAAGATGGGAAACTCACATCAATTTTTCAACTTTTTATAATTCAAGTCCAAGTATAGGTACATATTTTTACTTTTTCATAAAATAGACGCTTGCGTCTTTCTAGTAAAGGCAAAAAATCTGAAATGCAAAATTGAGTAAAATCATAAGTTTCTATAATTAAATTTTCCTCTCCACATTCAAAGTTTTTTTTTAATTTTTGTTTAAAAAATCAATTTTTTAATTTCAACTTTTTTGTTTAAATATTTTTATTTTTCCCCCTCCTTTCTATAAGGAAAATTTGTGTTGTTGTATTTGATATTTTCTCACAAAGCAATCACATTTTCTCTTATTTTTACAACATTCCTCCTCCATTTTTCTATTTATAGAAGGGTAATATTTTGAATATAAGCCTTTTCTACATTTTTAGTCAATCACACAAAGAATTTTACAAGATTACAAATCAGTTTTATAAATTTATTACTTGTTTTTGGGTAATAAAATGAAGATTTTTTACTTTAAAAATTTTTTTATTACTTTTTTAAATTTAAAAAATAATCGATCAAAGGCAAATATATGTACTAACATTTGTGTACTCGATTTTTAATTTTTGACGAAAATAATTTTTAAGCATGTTCACTTTAAGTTGTTATAAAAACCAAGGAATACCTCTCATTAACCGAATTTTAGTCCTCGACGTAAATATACTCTCCATGCTAAATACACTTTTATTTAAGAGACGTTTTTTAAATTTGATTGGCTATTGCATGAGAGAAGCTACTTAATCTCACTTATACGACACTTAAATCTCATTATAAGATACCCCCTATATTAGGCGTACCTCATTTTAGGATACGCTGGAAGGGAGAAGTTGCCTGAACAATAACGCCTATTTAACATACACCTCGTTATAAGGGACAATTTTTGATATCCGGGGGTATCTTATAGGTATCTCATATCTCTCAGGGGTATGCTCTCTCTCTCATCTCTCTCTCATCTCATACCCTAGAGTATCTCATAGGTATCTCTAGTATCTCATAGAGAGGTCCAACTGTGTTTTCATCATAAAAGAAAAAATTTTATTGCCCCTATTTTATGAAAAATAAAAAAAATAATTGAAAGTTCCTATCTTCATGTTACCATAAACTTTCCTTATCAGCTATATTTTATTTTTTTCTCTGTTATTTTTAGAACTCCACATATAAAATAATATTTGCAAAATTCCCAGTGACTGTAAACATTCTTGTTTTTTTTTCTTAAAAGTCATTAAAAGGTGTAAACTTGCTATATTTCTCGGTTTAACTGACCCAACTTTAATGTATTCCATTTTTAGAAAGCTAACTTTTCAAGCTAAAAAACGATAACAGCCATCAATCTAATCCAAATAAGGAAGCAATATTGTTGATATTACGCGCCTTTATCCCCCCCCCCCCTCCTTCCACCTCAATTTTTGTTATTCCCACCCGTGTGACATAAATGTCCTCCCGCTGACCGGCGCCAACAGATATTTTCTGTCACTTTTTTAAAAAAATTTTTTTAATCGATTGTTTATTGTCGCTTTGGTGCAATATTCGACCGCTTTGCCTAGCACCTCTCTTCTCTCTCCACACAAAACAGCCAGTCGCTCACGTCTTTTTTTTTAAATCTTCATCCCATCTGCCCCTATTACTACTCTATTTTTCTTCCTTTAATAACAGCAAAGAGGCAAGTTATCTCTTCACTGTTTTTTATTTTTTTGTTTCATTTAAAGTCCTCATTGCGTTCATTTCCGTTTGTTTGAATAAGGAAACTTATTTGTTAGGGTTTAATAGGGTGATAAAAATGGTTATGAATTGAGCTTTGAACGATTAATTTTTAATCAAGATCCAAGTAAAATTCATAAATCGGTACTAGTTATGAAATACTCTCTTGGGGGAAATGATTGACCATTTTGTACATCAAGAAAGAAAACTGGCTGGCGGGAACGACAAAAAATTATGTTACATGTCTTCTCATCCCTCTCAGTTCCCTTTTTTGTTTCAGATGTACATAATGGTTCGATTGAGCTCGTTGAGACGAGTCGAATGACACCAAAATTAGTAGAGAAGTCTTTGAGCCTAGTCAAAAAAACATAGGTTACAGGGGTTCAAAATGGTAACTTTTTGGTAATGATGTTTATTTTATAATGAGGAGTATTTTGAATTGCGTTGTTTACTTAGGGAGCTTCCCCCATTCAGTAGCGTGTTCCCCTATTCAGTAACGTGTCTCTTAATCACAATTTCTGTTTATTTTTAGATTAAAGTCAAATCAACGTTTTTTTAACTCAGGAGCTGAAATATTATTTTTAACAAAATTTATTTTTCCAACCGGACTTGCCTCCCACTAATCATCGATTAATTTGTAAATGGGACAAAGGTCGTCAGTTCAACAACCTGGCGCTGATGTTGCTGTATAAATTTTTTTGATTTTTCGGATTCCTTGTTTTTTTAGCACAGGCCGCGTACCAGTTCCGATATTTCCAACGGTTTGGCTTCTAGGCACCAAAGACATAGAAGCACCAATCAACGCTCAAGGTTCCAACAGAACGATACGGTTTGTGACCAAGCAAACGATTTATCTTACTCATTTTAGTCTTCTTCCTCATCGTCCCCTTCAAATAGAACCTCAACTGATGAAGATAATAGGAGTGAAGAGGATGGGGCTGGCGATCTTAATTTTGCTTCTATTCTGATGAGCCATCTTGGCCTTAGCTCAGGTTTTGTATATTTTTGTTCTTTTTGCTTTAGTCGGCGTAGTAGGGTTTGAGATCTTCAAGACTTTGGGCCTGTAATGTTTGTTAAGTCCACAACCACGGATCGGATCCTGGCCAAACAAGTATCCTGGGAGTGAATTTTTTTTCGAGGCCGTGGGCATGTGGTTCTTAAGCCCCAGTAAGACTCGAAAAGTTGATGTAGACTCATCCAGGCTACATGCTTGATCTTGAGCCGGTGGTTCTGTGAGCCCCAGTAGGCTGTAAGCCTCATCTGCTGCTTATAAGGATGTTCGCCTTACATACATTTTTGTCTTCCTTGGTTTTTAATTTTTCCCTTGGCTTTGAAATAATTTGATGGTTGTGATTTTTGTCTTTTTTAGGTGTTTCACCATCAACAACTGGGTCTTCAAACTCTGCTCAACGTACTAATGTTCGACGTAGTGAGGGAGGGAGTACATTGAATAACGGGTTCTTCCACAACAGAAACCCTAGAACTAATCGCTTTGGTGGTAGTCAAAGGTTTTTTTGTTACACATTTCTATAAGATGCACCCAATACTATGGGGACCCCCAATTTAAGATCAATGGCCGCGGGCCCCATTTTCCTCCTAAGTTTGGTCAGCCTTCTAAATTCCTCCTTTTTATTTTGCCAATAATGAATCAAAAAGAGTTAATTTTTATTCTATTTTGAGCGGGAGAAAGGAAAAAAATCTAACCTTGGGGAAAAACTTGGGAAGGAAAAAAGGGACTTTAAAAAATTTTTCAGGTCTCGGCGTGCTTTGGTTAGCAACTCAACCTCTTCTGCAGGTGAATTATTGTCTAGTGGACGTCTCGAAGCTTTATTACGTGGAATGGAGGATAGCCTTTCTGCTTCAAATTCTGCTTCTAGCAGTTCAATGCGGGTGATGGGAACACAAAAACAACAGGCAGCGTTGGGCCGTTTACGTCAATCTCTTCCACTTTTGCAGTTAATTGGTATAAATTTTTCTTGGATTTCCCATACCTTACCACAAATTCTTTTAAATCATCAGTGATCTACGGGTTATCCGAAACCCAAAGCCCGTACTTTTTTCGACCCATAACTCCAATCCGGCATTTTTCTCAAGCCGGGACATTCTTGATGAACGTGCCTTTGACAATTAATTTAGAAAAAACCTTGTTGAGTGTTATTAGTTTGTTAGGGCTTGGGAATAGAATTATACCCCAAAATTGATCCTTTATTAATATAAATTAGGGCTGTTCCCGGCCGGTTAACTTTTGCCTGTGGTACCTCAAATGCTTTTATTCTTAATTTTTGACCTCACGGCAAGAATTAACCGCTCCTAAACAAATTAACCAGCCCTACTTTAAATGGTAATTTGGGGAAATGAAAAGCAGTCATAAACTTCAAAATTGCTTAAATTCCATTTTTAACTGTTAAAGAGTTCAAAACCCTCTTACTTGATTAATTCAGGTCGTGATATAAAATGTCCAGTGTGCCATAAAATTGTGCCTTTAAAAGATGTAGAGATGCATTTGGTTATGTGTTTTACTAGACCTGTGCTTTCTTACAATGGTTTTCTTTTAATTTAGTATTCTTTAAAAATTCTCTCAATAGATGATGTTTTAACCGCTGATAAAGGGGAATGTTCCATTTGTTTGGAGGATATGTCTGAAGGAGATAATATTGCTCGATTGCCTTGTCTATGTATTTATCACAAAATGTGAGAGGTTTTTTTGATTGCATAGTTTTGAGGATATCTAAGATTTTCTAGAGGGTATTTTCTAAGAAGGCCCTTCCGAAAATTTTAGGTTCTTAACAATTTTAAACTCGATTCTTCTTCATAGGTGGACTCCCTTCTTTAATTTTGTTGGCCTATGGGTGGGTATAGCTGCTTAAATGGGAGGGAGACACAGGCCCGTAGCCAGTGGGACAAATCGGGATGGACAGAGAACTTTTTGCTGGTTTTACGTTGGTTCTATAGTAAAACATGCAAATAGATGTCCAAGACTCAGTGGCTTTAGGGTCTTGAAACCAGTAAAGAGTAGCTGTTCAGACCTTTTTAATATCCTTCTATGTCCATACCGATATGTCTGACTTCCCACCTATTCAATATTCCTTAATTTAAAAATATACCTCACTCATCTCTTATGAGGTACGAGTTTTTAAGAGGGTATTTTATTGTAAGGTGCTCTTTTAACATAAACAAATAATTATTTTTATTCCTTTAGTTGTATCGATGAATGGTTTAAAAGGAAGAATACTTGTCCTGAACATCCACCAGTTGAGGATGACTAATCTTTGAATACAACAATTGAAACAAATTTTTTTCTGGATGTTCATTCTCTTCTATAAAGTTTCGTTTCAATTACTAAAAATTTTTTGTTTCTCTACAAGAGCATTCAATCGAAGAGTTTTCTTTTTTCTTTTCCAAATACAATTTTGAAAAATTATCTTTTTGTAGAATCTTGCAATTTTACACTATTTAAATCTTCATTTTCTTACAACTTCTCTTTTTTGGGCTGCGAAGGTTACTTATAAAAATATATTAGTAGAAGGTAGAGGCGAGCTTCTCAATCGAAACTTCCACAGACTCGTATGCATTGAGTTCGGTCCGAACCCCGGTCCAGGGCATTTTTAAGGAGGCGATATGAGTTATAGGAGCTGAAATTCTTGGTTCCTAGTTTCTCAAAAATTCCAACTCTAACTCGCAATCTCAAACCGGCCTAACTTCAATCCAAGTCCTTTTTTGAGGGGGGAAGAATTGAGGAAATGTGAATTCAAGGGCATCTAAAAATTTGTTTCCGGAACGCCAAGCAATCTCACCCGACCTAACTCCGGTTCAAGTCTTTTAGGACTAGGAAAATCGAAAGAATGAGTATTCAAAGGGGAGGGGACTCTCAAATTTTAGTTTTGCCCATCTTTAACAAAATTCTTCTTTTAAAGCCGCGTTCAAAGTGGTCTGAATTTTTACAACTTTTACCTTAAAAACATGGATTTTTATCTTAAACAAAAATCTTTTTTTTTCGCTCATTTACTAATTTTTCTATCCTTGTAAAAAACATTTTTTTAAAAAGCAAAAACAGGTTTCATTAAATATTATCAACACAAACACTGTTGATTATTCAATCAACAATTTTTTTAATTTTTCTACGCTTATATATTTTACACATTTTTGCTATATTTTTTAAATAAATATTTTTCTTAAATTGTTTTTTAAATTTATCCACTTGATTATTTTTGTGGTTTTTATTTGAATTTAATTTTAGGAAATTTTTTTTTAAAAATTTTGTTTCGTTTTTCTGGGCGAGCAAATGTCCACAAGTTTTTTTCTGTAAATCTGAATGTTATTATTCTATAGGAAATTGACTTGTGGATAATTCGTCAAGCCTTTTTCCTTCATAAAAATGTCTTGCAGATATCTACATGTTTTGTTCGAGCTCAGAATTTTATTAATTTCCTAAAGAAAATGACTTACGGATAAATCTTTCGAAGCTAACAGCCCAATTAGGCGCGCGACCACAACGGCGCAAAGCCATAACTTGCTTCAAGATGTCCGAATCTTACCAAATTTAGTATTAAACGATTCCTCTCATCGAGCTTAAGAAATTCGTACCAAAATTGTTAAGGTCCATAAATTTTCCAGCTAGTTATGGCTCTGCGCCGTTATGGTCGCGCGCCTAAATGGGCGTGTCCCTCTTCTTGACGTTTGCTGGCATAATGAAAAAATCAATAAATTTTTTAAAATTGATTTTTAAGTCATTTAACGGTCTCAAAATTTAGTCTTTGAGAAAAATATTTTAATTTTATCATTTTCAGTTCGTTTACCCACATTCCATTATTGCCTTAAAAATATGATTCCTTCATTTTCAATGGCCCAAAATTTTGGGGTCCAAAATGGTCAACCTCGTAATAATTTTGTTCAACACCAATCTACTCCGCTTATTTATGGTGCTGTTATGCGTCAAGGTGCTACTCAATCTCAAGTGCAATTTCAACAAATGATGCCGCAACGGGTTGTTCAACAAATTCCAAGTTTTGGGGTTCAACAGGTTTTTTAAATTTTTTATTAGAGACGGGGGTTGGGTCTGAAGTAGGACATGGTTTAATGTTTGTAGACTTACTTGGATTCATTCGAGGGACTTTCACGGGTATTTGGTTTCTCCTGATCCTGATTTTTCTTTGACTCAAGGTCAAGTCTTTGGCCAGGTTCATTTATTTGATGTCAGACAAGGGTTCTTGATGCCAAAAAGGATTCTTGATGCCGAAAAGGATTCTAGTCAATTTTTCTTGGATTCATTCGAGGGATTTTTGGGGTTTCTTGGTTTTTCCTGATCTTGATTTTTTGTGAATCGAGTTATGTGATTTTGTTTTTGACTCTGTCAGATCGATGATCTTGATATCAGAGGGGTGTCCTTTTTCTGGGCTCAAAACTTTTCTTTCAATTTTCGAAATACTTTCTGAATCCGACTTCAGGTCCGACATTTGAGTATTCTAATCCCTGCCCTTTCGATCTTCCTCACCTCCATCTGTCCGGTGAAAGGTCTCAGATTCTCCGATCCCCAATTCTGATGCTCTATTTTTTGTTCTTTTAAGAATTACAACAATCCTCTACCTGCCAACTCAACAAATATGAACATTAATTTGGGCCGTTCTAACCAGAACGTTTTTGCGCTTCAAACCAATCAATTGACGACTACATCAAGTCAATATTTGCCACAACAACAACTTCAACCGCCCTATCCTCTTCTTGCAACAAATTCGTCTCCTGCTATGATTTCACCGCCTCGGATGTCTTTTGTTTCTTTTCCACCAATGCCTTCGGTTCATATGAATCCACCGCCAGCGCACATAAATTTAACGGTTAATGGTCGTCAGCAACCGCAGGCTCAACCAACTGTAACGCTCAACCATGTGGTATTTTTATTAATTTTTGGGGTGGTCCAGGCTTTTTTCAACTCGAAACCCGATTCCATAATCCTACCTGACTTTCTCAAACCATTCCATTACGGGTGCCGACCATATTATGTGTCAATTCTTCTAAAAAGGGGGCCCATGAACGTAACTATCAGGCACAATAAAAATTTCAAGGGGGAGAGGGGCTTTTGAAAATTTCGGCGCCGAATTTTTCGAGTTAAAGCCACCAAAACTATGCCCTCTTTTTGGCTCTATCATTATAATAAAAAATTTTTTTAAAAGAACTTCTGTCCGTATCAGCCTCCAGCTTGTATTAATCAACAACTATTTTCGCCTGCCGTAGGGTGGTCTTTTACTAGTGAACCTCCAACTAATACAAACCGAGTGCAACAACAACATCAACAACCTATTTTGCGAATGCCAACTGTTGTTATTCGACCTGGGGGGACTACAATTATTCGTTTAAATGGTTATAATCGTCCGTCGGGATACTTTGGGCGAGGGCCGTCGACTAATATTGGTTTGGTTTTTGATAATTTTTTATTTTTCCAGTGGTTTTTTATGTAGTTGAAAACCTCATACACTCATGGGGCTGAAAAATCATACCTTGTTATTAGGTCAGGCCCGTAGCCAGGATTTTTTCGGGGTGGTGAGGAACCCTCAAAAGACGAGTCGAAAATACTAAAATTTGGATTGTTAACAACTTTTTCATGTTGATGGGGAACAACCTTCAACTTTGTGATTGAAGCTTTTCTGTATTTTTTTGTAAAACCTTGTTTGTATTTTTCCTACTGTTCGGTATTTTGCGGCTTTTGTATTTAGGCGTTTGGGAAATTTTTTGCAATTCCCTCCAACGGCTAACCAGAAATTAAAGAAATCTAAAAACGAGATTTTCAATTATCTCTTAAAAATTTCACAAAGAAAACATTTTTTAGGTTGTCATACTTCAAATGTTAAAAACGGATATAAAGCTCAACAACCACGTATCAAATATAACGGTTTGAATTTTTCGTTCAAAAATTTTTTTAAAAACTTCAATTTTTAGAAGAAATTCTTGCTGATAAAAAAGATGAATGTCCTATTTGTTTGGAAGATATGGATAGTGGAAATTTAATTGCTAGACTTCCATGTCTTTGCATTTTTCATAAAAGGTTTCTTTTTTGATTTTATAAAGTGGAGTGGTTTTTTTTGGGGGGTTCTAGTGCATGACATGCGTCCCTCAACAGTGATGTTCATTCGATTTCTGGTTAATATTTGGTTTTAAAATTTTTTTTCTTGGGAATTCGTTCTTAAGGATTGTTGTGGGAACCGGACGTAAATTCTTATTAGTTCCTAGAAGCGACGAGTCTGACCAACTACAAGCTATGGACCAATGACGGTCGAAACCCAAGATAGAGATTTTGAAAAGCCTGGGTCTGTTCTTGGGTTTGATTTATTGCCCTGGGCCGGATCCTGGGCATGTAGTCCATGAAAAACCCAGGCCCAGAAAAACCCTAGGAAGGTCAGAAATGCCTGGGCCTGGACTCTGGGTACATGAATCTCTAGTCAGGGCCAGAGGTGTCATGGGATGGAAAAAAAGTCGAATAGGGTTTTCAAAATTTCATTCATTTCTGGTTTAGACTCGAAAAATCCGAGTTTCGGGTAATCCGTGACATCCCTATTACTAGAATCCAAATCACAAACCTAAAAGTAAACTTAAAAACATGTGAAATCGAATGAACTGTTTCATTAATGCATACAATGCCGCGCATATTAATGTCTTGCACTAGAGCCATGCTTCCATTAACCTAACAAATTTTATTTTTTTTTAAATTTCAGTTGTATTGATGAATGGTTCTTGCGTAAGAACACTTGCCCATGCCATCCAGATGATTAATTTTGAAAAAGAATTTTAAACACCAGAATTTGGTTAAATTATTTATTTTAATGTTGATACTTTTTAAAAATTTCAAGTGATTTTTTTGGCCCTTAAAAATTGTGAGAGCTTTGCCCATTCTTTCAGCTTTACATGATAAAATTTTTGTTTTCTGGGGGATTTAAATATTAGTGAATATTTTCTGGGCGAATATTTTTTGAGAGATGAGGTGTATACGAAGAACTGTTTGATATCCTATTCCATTCTAATGATTCTTACCAAAATTATGAGTCCAAATCCTAGTTGGGAAAGTTTTTTGTGCCAATGCAAGGGAATAAATTAAACGGTCACAACTTTGCTCACTTAAGGCATTTTTCTTGCGAATGATATATAAATTGCCATAAATTGTAGAGCTGTCCGAGACTCTTGGTCTTGGTCTTGGAACCAAGACTTTTCTTGGTTTTTTTTCGGTCTTGGTCTTGGGGTGTTTGTCTTGGTCTTGTCTTGGTTTTATTTTTTGGTCTTGGTTTTTTGGCCTTTTTGGACCTAGTGCTTGGCCATCCAAAATCCTCAAAATTTTCGCCTGCGGCGCAGAAAATGGAAGAAATCTGGCTTCTTGAGTCCCAAAATTCAAAAAATTTTCGCCTGCGGCGCTGAAAAAGTGAATTTTTTTTTTGGCATACGGCCTTCCAAAATTCTCAAAATTTTTGCCTGCGGCGCAGGAAAAGGAAGATTTTTGGCTTCTCGGCCTTCATAATTCCCAAAATTTTCGCGCAAAAAGATAGGGATAAAATAGAGGATGGATATCAGCAGCCACCATCACCTAATCACCCAGGCCCCCCAACTTCATACTATTCCTTTTGATCCCTCATAATCCACTTAAATTCCCCTTTAAACCTCGAAATCCTCCTTAATCCAAGGGCGTAGCCAGGGGTCAATTTCGAATGGGGGGGGGGCTAACGTTGGGTATCGCCAAAATTTTGGCTTTACCTTGGCGTTCCAGACGTAAAATCCCACGACATCCCTCATAATTCACTAAATCCCACGGCAATCTCTCTTAATCCTTTGATATCACTAATATTCCGTTAATCCACCCAAATCCTCTGAAATATTAACCTATTTTATTGATTTTCCACACGAATAAATTCCCCGAAATTCTTTGAATTTCGCATAAATTTTTCGAAATTATAGATAATTGTGCTGAAGTTGACTGATCGTATCAAAATAACAAAAAATAAACCAAAAATTTGACCTATGGGATTTAAAAATTTGGTCTTGTTTTTTGGTCTTGAGTCTTGGAGTTTTGGTCTTGGTCTTGAGTCTTGGTCTTGGAAAAAATTTTGTCTTGGGTCTTGAGTCTTGGAAAAATTTTGGTCTCGGACAGCTCTAATAAATTGAGAACAAAGTAGGAAAAATAGAAAGGAAAAAGGGGGACGACTTCAACTTAACTAGCCTCTTTACAAGAAATTGACAAACTTAATTTTATTAAATATGGTCTAAAATATAGGACAGTGGTCTACGATATACGATAGTGAATCATTGCATGCACATACATGCTTTCTTTGGATTTAAATAAATATCCTGTTCCAATTTCTCTGTTGTAAAATAATAATCTCACTTCTGGATTGTGAATATTGGCAATTTGGTATTTTGTACATTTTGTTCCCTTTATTTGTTTAATTTCAACCTTCTCTGCTCTTCCACTTAATTCAAGATTTGTGGAATTGACAAAAGATAAACCAATATTAGCCACCATTTTTGAACAGTCTCTAGATGTTGCTATATACTAAAATTTGAATTTATGCTTATTTGTAAATAACATGTTAGTAGATAAATGTCCAGGGAATAAAATAAAAATCCCCTCTGGTCCGCAACGCCAAAAATACAAAGGAAAGAAAAGTGAAATTTCCAAAATTGCAATTTCCCCAATTTCTTTGCGGACATTTGGGGAGCCAACTAGACATTTACCAATAACTTACTTCAACAATATAATCATAAAACAAAACCACATTTTTTAATGCACCATTTTTATGATCCGCCTTAGTAATAAAATTCAAATGAATTTCTTCAAAATTGTCTCCTCCATTTGTTAAAATTTTACATAAAATATTTTTATAATTTTCCATAATGTCTTTGTTTTGTTTAAAATAACAATGAAGATCTTCACAAGCCAGATAATTCTTCAAAATAAATTGTAACAAATATTCAGTATTATCATCCGTAAAATACAGATGACATGTCTCTATATAAATTGAATTTTTAAATAATAATTGAAGTAATTCTGGATTGAATATTAATGTAGGTATTTCGCCAGATTTTAAATTAGATTCTTTAAAAGAACAATTAAATAATTTGTTTAAATAATAAAAAGCTATTTTCAATTGATTTTTGTTTTGAACAATTGATGGAAGTTTTATTTGAGTAATATCTCCATTATCTAAAAATGAAAACTTTTTTATAAATCCCAAGGCTAACCCAAAAAAACAAAGGTTTCTAAAATTTAACAAATAAAAAATTGGGGCCAAATTCGCCGTTTCCCATTTTTTTGTTTTTTTCCTTTTGCGGACTGATATAGCTAATAATTTTCAGGTGAGGGCTAGGTTTTGTTCAAAATTTTTGTTCGGCCGAAGTTTTGGCAAGACTAAGTTTTGTCCGACAGAGTTCTGTCGGTCGAAGTGCCCTGACAAGGAAAATTTCATTAAACAAAATTTAACCTTCAGTTAAGTGAATAACAATGTTTTTGTTCGACTCAACATTAGGCAAATACAAAGGAATTGGGTCTTCTAATCCATTTTTCCACTAAAAAGAAAAGAAACTTTGATGTTCAAATTATTTTAATTTAACCTTCTCTTCAAATTGTTCATTCAATGGAAAGTCAAAATTTTCTTCTTCAGGATTAAGTATAATATGAGAATAATGGTCATATTGCTTTAAATATCCCTTAAAAACATTTAATAATTAAATAAATTAAAAAACATTACTATAGAAATTTCATCAAATTCCTCCCGAGCAAGTTCTCCTTCAAAATTATTGATAAAGTTATAAAAGTACACATTTGTTTGATTGATTTCACATAATTGTTGATGGTTGAGACATTTAAAGACATCAAGTTTTGCTTCGGTTGGAAGAGAATAGAACGCTTAAAATTTTTATTTTAAATATACCCAATATTGTGAGTTTTTTGTGGGGAGGTACGGCTTTTAAACTAAACTAGTAAAAGAATCAACCTTTCACTCATTTGGGTTGGTAATTTAGAAAAATTTTAAAAATCCAAAAAAAAACAAAAAAATCACACAAAATTCATTTGAATTGGATCAAGCCCAAAAAACGATCCCCCTCCCCCCTGGATACGCCCTTGCTGGCCATCTAATTGTGAAAGGTATAATTTACATAGCTGTACAACTCCTAATTCTCCTTAACGCAATTTCAAGGAAACCTGATATCGCCCCTTAATTATACTTAAATCATGTTCATATCACACAATTAAAATAAAAAAATTAAAAACCTCCTCTATCAGATTTTTTACAAGCAACAGCATCATTTATTCCATCCCCAGTCATTGCCACAACTTCTCCAATATTTTGAAGTGCTTTAACAATTCGTAATTTATGTCTAGGAGAAGCTTTATAAAATATTGTAACATTTTGAATAAGTTGCTCCAATTCCGAATCTTTTAAATCATCAATTTGAGGACCAGAAAGCCACATAATGTTTTGATTGTGAAGTCCAAGACGAATTCCTTTAAAAAAAGTCTAGGTAAAAACAAAATATTGACCTTAAAATGGGATCTTGCATAACTGTTTTACAAAAACCGTAAAATTAAAAGAAAACTACAAACAGAATTAATTCTAAAAGATTCAAAAAACAGCACCCTTTCTATTAGAATAATAGATATGGTACTTAATCCAAAAAGGTAACAAAACTCAAAGAAATAATAGAAATACCAATGCTTTTTGCAGTTTCCAGCCCATACCCAGTCACAATTTTTACAGAAACTCCTCCTGACTGAACAATTTCTATTGATTGAAGACATCCAGGTCTAGGAGGATCCAATATTCCAACAAGTCCAGCATAATAAAGAGAACGCATATCTGAACCTCTAGCCATTCCAATCACTAGAAATTTTGATAGAAAAAAATTTTTTTCTCAAAAAAACCTCGAAGTCCAGATTGCACCAAACCACTAGCTGTTTGAATTATTTGATTATACTTCTCTTTAGTCATCTGCATTTTTATTTTTCCATTTTCCAAATAGCCAATACAGATATCTAGAATTCTGTCAATCGCTCCTTTTACCAATGTTTCAACTTCGCCTGGCTAAAAAATATTAAATTAAAGCTGTTAGATTCATTTTTTTCGTGGCTAATTTTTTTAACCAAGTCAAGCATCGAGACTTTAGGGAGATTTTTCAAAATTAGTCCTTGAAGACGGTTATTGGAAATTTCGGTTTTGCTCATAACGTAATTAGTCCGATCAGACTCGTACTCATCTGCCTATTTTACCCCGAGTAGGATTTTTAATACGAGCTTCCAAACACTCAGACGCTTATCCAGAGGGGTGTAGGATTTAAGATTTAACAAACCTTATTTAATTGTTCTACTTGAACAGCCATCCATTTACTATCAGAAGTGAAAGGGATTTCATGAAGACGTCGAATATTATTGCATAAAGTGTACATATTTGTCTAAAATTTTAATAAAAAAATTTTTTCTTTAAATTCAAAATTATTTACTTTTATAGCCAAAACCATTAAAGCTCCTTCTGTTGGTTGTCCAATAACTGTTCCATTTGCCAATTGTGCATTATTACATATACAGCCAATTTCAATGACACAAGCAATGGAAGGGTGACGTTCACTTCCAGAAACTAATTCTCCATTTTGAAGACAACAATCCCCATCAAAAGGGGCATAACCAGTACCCGTTACCTTAAAATTTAAGGTACCTTTACCATTGGGGACTTTTTGAAAGAAAAAAATAAAGATTAAAAAACCTCTGCCTGACAATCATCTGCTGAAATAACAACACACGCAGTCATCATATTTTTTGTAAGAGTTCCAGTTTTGTCAGAAGCTAAAATAAGATAATCAGACAAATTTAAAATGTTTTTTAAAGTTTAGATACGAAGTCTTTGAGACTCTTTATAAGAAATTGATTAACTTGAAAAATTGATTTTTATTAAATATGTGTGTGGTTTAATATATCCGATATAAAAGGACAATGAATATTTGCATAGAAAAAAGTTGCTTTCTATCAAATATTTTATAGGGGCAATATGAATTTAACAATCATATCCACTGACTTCTAGGTCCCCTTTAGAGGTAAAAAACCTTAATGAGGTGTACAATAGGGGATGTATCGTTTAGGAAACCTTCCTTCCCCTTCAGTTCCACAACAACTAACGGCCAACCGAACTAAAGAAGCAAAATTTCAATTTAGAGGATGTAGCCAATATCGGGTGTACCTAATATAGAGAGGTCCGATTTCCAAAAAAAATTAGAAAAAGCAACCTTTTCCTCATTTGGGTTGGTAATTTAAAAAATAGCAAAAATCCAAAAAAATAACAAAAAATAAAGATCAACCCAAATTAAATGCTAGAGGTCAAAAATGTGGGTCTATAAACAAATTTATTTTTAAGTCGAATTGAATAAAATGAAAAATATTGTTTGAAAAAAACTGATTCGAAAATAAGTCAGTCAAGTGTATATGGTGCCGTCCTCACAAATTCAGTTTTCTTTAACATTCTTATTGAACCCATCACGAGCTGAAAAAACAAAATGTACAATTTATGAGGGAAATTTTTTAAAATAATAAAGAAGTTAGCCCAAACGTGAGTGGATCTACTAATACGTTTGAAAAGCCATTTTCCATGCGGGGGGCCAGTGGTGGAATTGTCATTTATCCGACTCACTTTCTCATTTTGCCAGAATGCCCTCCCTTGTTCATTTCTCCGACACAAAATTATCCAAAAAGGATCTATGACGTCAAGTACCCCAGGTACAACCCCAAGTCCAGTAACGAGCAATTTACCGGACCAATCTTTAAATAAATAAAATTCTTTTCAAGCTAATTCTTGTCCCTTTAGACTTCAACGATCGGTATGTTTTTAGTTTCCCAAAGTTTTAAAAGTATGAATAAACTCAAAGGATGGTCTGACCCAAAAAATTTAAGGAATTCAACTAGCATGAACCAGGGAAGTCTTCTAGTAGTTTATCCCAAACTCGATAAAAAATAAAAATCACGAACCACTGTTGAGTTTCTCCTCAACATGCGCCGTATATTGGAGACAGAACGGGCGGATGAGGCGGTCGTAGATAAGAATAGCTCCCAAAGTCGATGGCATGTATAACCAAAGGAGAAAGACGCACTTGAAAAAAGATTTTTCTTTCAAAATAAAAAAAATTAAAAAAAACTTTGAGAAGAAAGTAAAATGGAAAGTAGTAGAGAATTGAGTCGGAAAAGAATTCGATAATGTTGAGGAGTGCAAAAACGACCTAAATTAAAGTTGAATTAGCGAGGGTTGATGAGTTAGTGTAGGACATACGTTCCAAACTGGGCCGTAACCAGGATTATTTGGGGGGGGGGGGGGGGGGGACAAGGGGGATTTTTGTGCGCCGGTTTGTACGCCGACCTCACCCCTGGTTCCAAAACTGGTTGTGTATCCCAAAGTCGTTGTGAACCCTCACGAGTTGGCAAAAGGAGTGAGATTCATAACATCCATAGGAGATTATAAAGAAAATTCGGTCAATGACGACATCAACTATGAACTAGAGCTGGGTTTTAGCTCAAAGAAAAAGCTTCAGGCTATACCCAACACTAATTATATATGCGGTTACGTGATTTTGGACAGGCCGCCGGCTTATCTTTTCAAATATTCAGGGAAATAAGCTCTTACCCTTACCCTCAAAGATTGTCCCAAACCCAGTGACCTTCACACCAAAAATAAAGAAACGTTAGGACCCAAAATCAGTGGAATTCCTAAAAGCCTCCCAGGAAAGCATGTCCTGTAGTAACCCCAAAATTAAATAAAAAATAAACCCAGTAAGTCAGCCATTGTGTGTCATCTTCCTTTGTGTGACTCTCAATGGCCTTTATTGAGACATAACTTGAAAATAAAAAATTTAACAAAATGAAAGATATTTAAAAAAATTACGCTGGGTAGAGATATCCTGTTATATTGCATGCCAGTTGAGCCCAGTGTCCGAAAAGAAGATAGAGTGCGTAGACGAGTACAAAACCTAAAATTAGCACAATCTGACTTCAATATAAGACACCCAATTAGCTTTGAAAAATGGTTTCTTATGATGGAGGTTTCTCGAAATGGGGAGGTATTGCCCACACACAGTGACTCAGCAGCCCCTTATGTTCTAAGAATGCTCTCTATTTCAAAGTTGAGGGGCTAATATTACGGTCCGGCCCCATTACAAGTACCCTCTCCGCAGCCAGTGAATACAGATTTCTGAATGCGAGTAAACTGCCTGGTGAGGGCTGTCTAGAAGGAAAAGTAAAGATTAGTGTTCGGCAAATGACCTTTTCCGGTATTCGGTATACCGAAAAAATACCGATACCGAAAAATACCGTTTTTTACAAAAATTGACCGGTACGGTATCGGTATACCGGAAAAATACCGATACCGGAAAATACCGTCTCAACATTTTCGGTATACCGGCCGGTATTCGGTATTTTTAAAAATTTTATAAAATTTTTTTTTTAATTTTATTTTTAAAATCTTAAAAATAAAATTCGAAAAATGAACATAATTTTAATATTTGTAATTTAAAAATGGTAAAGTTTTATTAAAAAAACGATTTTTTCTGCTGTATCAGGATTCAAACTAGAGTATGTCCGAGTCCGAGTATTTAAGAAAAACCGGAGTCAGTTTTGGGTATTGGGCATTTGTTGACAGTGATGCAGGGGATTCATTTATCCAAATCCCATTTATTTTCTTAATCCGCCTATATCCCTCTTAATCCGACAAGATTCCATGATACGCCCATGATCAATGCTGGCTTCGGGTGGAAAATGAATGCACCCAAGAAAATGAATCCACCCAAGTCCATTAACATCCTCCAATATAAACATAAGTCTTCTTTTTCAGCGCCGCAGGCGAAAATTTTGAGAAATTTGGAAGATCCTTAAGCCAAAAATCTTCCTTATTGCGCCGCAGATAGGGGTATCACAAATACCGAAATACCGGAAAATACCGCGGTATTTTTTCGAGGACCGGTACGGTTTCGGTATCGGTATACCGAAAAAATACCGATACCGAAAAATACCGTTTTTTTCAAAATTTGACCGGTACGGTATCGGTATCGGTATACCGGAAAAAAATACCGCGGTATACCGGGAAAAATACCGCGGTATACCGTACCGTGCCGAACACTAGTAAAGATGTGGAGCCACCTCAAAGGCTGAGGATGGGTACTTATAACAAAGGCAGGCCTTACATTACATCCACCCCCGCTACACTAAATCAGTCTCTGAATCGAATCAATTTTCAACCAAACTAAAAAGATATCCCAACCGGAGGCCATCTTATTTCGAAGGGTGTCTTATAATAAAATCCAAAAAAGAAACCTGCAAACACATGCAGACGTTTAACGCTGGTCTTCTTCTCAATCGTCTCCAATACGGACGTCAGAGCCCCAGGCTCGTGAAGTTTCTTGTCGAGATCTGCAACTACTTTTTGCATAACAGGTGGAATTGAAGGCATTATTTGATTTTTTGTAGAAAAATTGAATTAAATTTTAAAAAATCCTAAAAAAATTAAAAATTTAGAAAAATTGGTTTGCGTGTAAACAAACAAAAATCAATGAGTGAGGAAATAAAAACTGTTTGTTACAAAAACGTAAGGCGCAAATGAGGAAGAAAAACATGGGAGGAAAAAACGGGAGGAAAATGATGAACGCTTGGACTTTGACTCCAAATTGATTTATTAAACTCTTAAAAAATAAAAAATAATCAAAATCCATACTCAAGTGTACAGCGCGTGCCCAGACAAAATGGCACATCGGCCAAAAGGAGACAAAACGGTAACACGGGCAAATTAAGACAAAATGGTACGTTGGTAGATTTTGACAAAATGGAACTTCAGCTAAAATGAGACAAAATGGTACAGAGGGTAAAATAAGACAAAATGGAACCTCGGCTAGAATGAGACAAAATGGTACGAAGGGTAAAGACAACAAACTGGAAGGTAAAGACGACAAAATGGAACCTTGGGTAAAATAAGACAAAATGGAACAATAAGTAAAGTACGACAAAATGGAACCTCGGCTAAAAGGAGGCAAAATGGAACTACGGGTAATATGAGACAAAATGGTACAGCTCTAAGATAACTGGCACTGCGGCTTGATACTAAATAATTAATTTTTTAAATAAAACTCTATAGGAAATCATTTATTTAAAAAAGAAAGAACAATTTAACTAGAAAAAGGAATGACCATGAAAATATTTTAAAATTTAAAGTCAATGAAATTTGAAAAAATAAATATATGAAAAGTCTTCAATTGAAGGAAAATATCACTCGAATAAATGTACACAAAAATATATTTTATATGTAGTATGTATTGGAAAATAAATAAATATTTTTAAGATAAATATTAAAAAACAAAGGAAGAAGAAACCAAAAGATAACGAGAAATTAAAAAATGAAAAAAATGAAAAAAAATTTTTTTAACGATTTTTGAAGATACAAATGTGGAGAATTAAAAACCTCATTTATGTATAGACCCCCACCTCAAATTTGTACATTCTCGATTTTAAGTACTTTTTGGTCACTAGGTGGGAGCCTAAAAAAATCCAAACAATGTAACAAAGACAAAACGGAACTTCGGGTAAATTACGACAAAATGACACAACGGGTAAACTACGACAAAATGGTCCATTGACTAAACTGAGACAAAATGACACAACGGGTAAATTGCGACAAAATGTTACATCGAGTAAAACCACGACAAAAGGGAACTAAGGGCAAATTGCGACAAAATGGAACATTGACCAAAATAAGACAAAATGGTACCAGACAATTTAATTAGGTAAATCTTTTCGAAGGTCTATTTTTTCAGCCCTAAGAGAGTGTATACATAAAATGAGGTTTTTATTACATAATTTAATTATTTCCCTAATTTCAAAAAATAAATTGCACATTTTTAAAAATAGAAGAAAGAAAAGAAGAGAGATTTATATGTACTATACTTAAGAGAGATTTTTTTTGATTTTTTTAGACAGAAGAAACCAAAAATTAAAGCAAAAAGTATTGAAAAAAAATATTTTTTTACAATTAAAATAAATATTATTTAAAATTTTATTTAAAAATGCTTATAATAATTTTTTTCTTTTGTTGGTCAACTAGACCAAATAATTTATAATTTAATTTATAGTCGGACTTCATTAATAAGATACATCATTTACCTCCAAAAAATCAAATTGGCATTGGCTATGGACGCAAAACATTTCGGACTTTTTCTGTCCGTGAATTTAATGAAACTTTTTTTTCGTCCGCAAATTTTTTGCGGACACTTTTTTTTTGTCCGCAATTTTTTTGCGGACTTTTTTTTGTCCGCAATTTTTTTGCGGACTTTTTTTTTGTCCGCAAATGTCTCTCTTTATAATACGTTCTTTAAAAAAATTTTGTTGACCACTAGAGACGAGCTCCCTAAGATATCTTCTATTTAAAATAGCCTCATTATAAGAGACAAAATTTTTCCAGCTTTAAGGGTGTATGTATCTTATAATGAAATCCGAATAGAATAATAAAGCTCTCTAACATAAGCACATTCTTTTTTTTTTAAATTTCTTTATTGAAAAGAAGCCGTAGAAGTACGCTGTTGCAATTCTGCCAAAAATTGACTAAAAGCAGCCAAAGACGGGTTATTGTTGGTAGTTGCTGATGTTGTGGTGGTGGTAGATGTTGTTGGGCAAATTAACTGAAATGAGGGAAATTGAGGTAAAATGATGAATAAAAAGGTGTTTTAGGTTGTAGACGGTTAGGACGGCAAAAAGGAGAAAAAACCTTCCTTTCTGGGGAAGTTTTTTGTCGGTTATTTAAAAGGGAAATTTTGAAGGATGGGAAAAACTAATTGTAAAATAGCGGTAATACAAAGGAAAATTTGAATAAAAGGGTGGACTACGAGGAAGTTTTTTTTGAGGGCAATTGCTTTCTTTTGGAAAAATGTTTCTTTTCCCAAAACAAGAGACATTACTGTGTTATTTCTAAAAATCTTCAAAAAAATTTTTTTTAACAGAAAAACTTCATTGTGGAAGAGGTTGTGTTTTGCGGCAAAAATAGTATTGGAAATGAAGAGACGCAGATTTTGCCTATACTCATTTTGAATATACTTCTTGCCGCAAAACGCAAGACGCTTTTTATGTAAGCAAAGAATCATGGAGAGTTGTAAAAGTTTTTTTCTTTCCACAATTTTTGTTTGCGGATAAGATTTAAGGATTTTTGCCGTGATAACACACAAGTGTATATGTACTTACTTGTTCTTGTTGAGTTGTTTTTGGAGTATCATCTAAAGCCGTTAATTTTTGTTGCATTTGTACAACATTAAGAAGCATTAAAGCAGCCAACGAAGTATTCTATTAATTAATAGATTAAATGAAGAGTCAAGATTTTAGAAAATCAAGTTTAAGGAAACGTTTCAGTAGCCAAAACCACTGCCTTTTCCAGGGTAGAACTTAAAAACTTCCAGGGTTCGTAACAGACTTGGTAATGGATAAAGATAATTTCAAAATGCCTGCGGATATCCGCTTGATCCAAAGTAAGTATTCGGATACGAATACCAAATTCCATGCCCATTACTAAGCCTGGTTCGTAACATAGTTTCAAGTTTCCGTTAATTCCAGTACCGAAACTTGTTAATTTTTGTAAAGGTAGGAGATCTGCCGTTATTGTTATTGCTTCTCATCATTAACATTCGACTTAGTTCGGCTATAATCTATTTTTATCACACCAGATTCTGAAACAACGACTGAAAGCTTTTGAGCAGGGAGAAGAAAGGAGGGAGAGGAGGGGGGGGGAGGGGGAGAATTCAACTACCTTAATGGCATCCTCATTTTGTAATTCATCCCCAGATTTTTCTTCCTCAACTTTAATATCATCAACATTAACACAAAAATCCTCTGTATCATCCAAATTTTGTTCGTTCTTATTGGCAGTTTCTGCCTCCAACGGAGAATGTTTTTGTTGTAATTTGGAATTGTATGGAAGAGGACATGTTTTTGCTGTAATGGGTGCTGGGATTTTTACTTCTGGTGATTGAGAAGACTAAAAAATAAAATTAATTATAGATTATTCTACAATTAGGACGGCACTACTGTAGGCTGAGGGGATTTTTGCAGAAAAATCCGCAAAATTTTTGCGGACTCTTTTTGCGGATTTTTATTTTTTTGCGGACATTTTTTGTATACAGTAGTAAACCCGAATATTTACTTTTATTTCTCTCTTCAAATCCTCCACAATTTCAACATTATCATCCTCATTATTCTTTTCCAAATGGTTTGGTTTTTCACAATTATTATTAATTAGTGAGGCGTAAGATGGCGCAGTAGAAATGGCAGAACCGGGAGAACAACAATTTTGACTTTAATAAAAACAATAATTTTAATTAATCTATTTTGATTAAATAGAGAGAAGCTCATTATAAGAGACACATTGGGAAAAACCGTACCTTATAATGAGGCCCTCCTGTCTCTTATAATGAGGCAATCTTAAATAGAGGGTATCGCTTAGACAGCTTCGCTACCCATTGATTAACCAAATTTTTAAAAGGCATGCGTTAAATAGAGGTGTATCTTATAATGAGAGTACCTTATAATGGGAGTAAGTATCTTATAGGGAGTGCCTTATAGTGAGTGCCTTATCTTAAATAAGCAGCACCCCGTGGCCAACCTACTTCTTAAAACGTATCTCAAATAGAGGTGTATCTAATATTGGGTGTAGCTTATAGCGAGCGTCGACTAATTAAAAAATTAATTTATTTACCCAATCCCATGTAATTGAGCTATTGAATGACCAGAATATTGTGGAGGAAATGCCATTGTTGGTAATCCATAGGGAAATATTGCCGGAGGCAAAAGACCTCCAAAACCATTAAAATTAGCATTTTGATGCATATTTTGATGAAATAAAATATTATTTGAAGCTGATGCAGCTAAACGTTGTCCAAACATATTTAATGGGGTTTGACTTAAAAATAAAATTTTTAATGTCCGCAAGTTTTAAAAATTTGTCCGCAAGTCTGAAAATTTTGTCCGCAAGTTTTGTCCGCAAGTTAAAAATTTGTCCGCAAATTTTGTCCGCAAGTTAAAATTTTGTCCGCAAATTTCATCCGCAAGTTATTTTGTCCGAAAATCATATTAAATTTTTTTCTCACTTTGCTTCATAATGTTCATTTCCAACAGCAGAATCAACCAAAAAATTCCACTTTAATGCATTAGGGGGACACTTGTCTGTAGCAAAATGTTCAGCAGCAGAAACAATTTGTGTAAAAGAACGATTACAAGACTTGAAAATTAATTGGGGAAATTAATTAAGAATCTTAAAAAATTAAAGAATACCTGACAACAAAACGGGGAAGTATTGTGAACTCCAAGCAAATGAGAGACAAGTAAAGGATAAGAGGGCTAAAAAAAATAAATATTAAATTGAAAATTACACTCGGATCTCATTTATTGTCCATGGGGGGGGGGGGGGTTGATTAACAAATTGGTAGGGGGAAAGGAGCCACCTAAGCGATATCCTCACACCTCTTAGAAATATTGGGGAATCTCGCTTATACGAAACCCAACACCCATTTCTGGCCTTGCATTGCATTTTTGGAAATTGTGACTTGCACCCGCCCTTGACTTGCGCCCGCCGCATTCGATGAAAAACATGCGACCACTTTTTGGAAGGACAAAGCCCCGTAAATTTTTCAATTAAACTTTACCTGCTGAAAAATACATAATCCACACTTATAAATTTGTTGTTGTTTCTGCTCCTGATTATTACAACCATTGTTGTTTTTAGCACATAATTGTTGCTGTATTTGTTCTCTAATTGTAGCGTTAATTAATTGTTTGTTTGCCAATTGTTGAGACAATAAATTGAATAAAATTGAAGAAGCTTCCCCCTCGGTATTTTGAGTTAAATTTTCTGTTTTGATTTTTCGTTGTTGTTTTTGTTTTGTTAATTTGTTTATTGGTTGACTAGTATTTTTATTTAATCCGTTGAGACGTTGAGCTTTCCGAAACATGGAGTTGAGCGACTCGGAAAATGCTGTTGAGGAGGAAGTGCTTTGCTATAAAATAGAAATTGGGATAGAGAATGTATAGATACCCCCTGAGCCAGAGGTGAATCGGAAATGACAAATGTGCCGGAAATTGGAACTGTTGGAAATCGGAAATGGCTCAAAAGTCGGAACTTGGAAATCAGACTGAATTTTCGGAAGTCGGAATTCCGATTCACCATCTGCCCTGAGGCTAAAAAAGTCTTTTATAATGAGGTGTGTCTAAAATAGAGGCCTTTTAGTTCCTCGACCCTTGGGGACCGTCATAACCCTAATAAAATTATACTAATGTGATCTCAATTTTACGACAACCCATGCAAATTGATGTTATAAGGAAATTGTCGTTGTATAAGCAAAAGCACAACCTCACTTATAAGACAACTCTAATGCTAGAAAATCTATCGTAAAGTACGTGTCGTATAAGTGCAAGTAGGATCTCGCTTATACGACATTCCATTGTAAATTGACGTTAAAGTGAGAAAGTCAGATAGGTGAATGAGAGATTTCACTTGTAACACTAGGTGAATGAAGGTGTGATTCACTTGCAAAACTCTATATTGATACGGGGAGGGGAGAGGTTAGTGAAGGTGTAGTATACACAAGATCCTCCTGCATTCCCCTTTTCAACAAAATCTCTTTTTGTGTAAAACTCTCACCTTCCTTCCAATTTTATTATTGTTATTATTGCTATTTGTCATCATATTATCATCATCATTATTATCAACAATATTTGTTGTCATTTCCGACGAACAATTGTCGTCATCAGCCCTTACGTCCATTATTACATCATCTATTGTTAATTGTTGTTCCGTTGAGGATTTGTTGCTATTTTTACCAAAATCGAAAGCTTTTGAACGGCTGTATTTTGAAACAACACGAATACCATGAGTTTCTAAAAAATAATTTTTTAAAAGGGGGTAAAACTTGAGTAGAGTGAATGGCACAAGTGTAGCCTAGGAGGTTTGCGGACAATAATTTTTTGCGCACAAAATTTGCGGACATTTTTTTGCGGACAATAATTGCGGACTTTTCTTGCGGATTTTTCTTGTAGATAATTTTTTTGCGGACAATCTTTTGCAGAGAAAAATTGCAGCTCGCAAAAATCCCCTCAGGCCACACACACGACTGCCAATTAAATTTTACTTGCTACATGACGAATCAAATCTGCCTTCCATTTACTTGTTCGGTTGCAATATTTACATTTAAAAGGCTAAAAAATATTTTTAAAACAAAAAATTTAATTTAATTACCCTATCGTTTGTATGGACTCTTTTGTGTCTAATCATTTCAGAAACCCATTTGCCTTGATACCCACAAACAGAACACATTCTGGTACACACATCTGGATCTGTTTCCATTCGCTAAAATGATTTAAAAATTATTTTATTAAAATTACTCTGAAACCCCTTTGTTAAGCAGAGGAGGAATCGTTTAAACATCTACTCCACCCAGTGGCCAACTTTATTTTAAGAGAGGGTATCTAGTAGTGTTGCGCAGGAAGTTCCGGTTCCGGTAGGCAGAAAGTTCCAGGATTCTCTGGTTCTGGTTCCGGCCCGGTACGACTTTTAATTTGATAGCCACAGGGTGTAGAAGGCCGCCCAGGCCATACCCTCTATTTAAGATACACCTCATTATAAACGACAATTTTTCAGCCCTAAGGGTATCTTGTAGAGTATCCTATAGAGGCTTTACTACATTCAACTCTTTTCCACCTTCATTTCCTGTTCATCATCGGGCAATTCAATAGCTTCCGTTTCTGATTGATAACGTTTCTTCAACGGCAAATCGGCCCTTTTAGCAACCAAACCATCAAGTGTATTATCCAAATTTCCAATTAAACGGCGTCGTTTGCGTTGGCTGAGTGGACCTTTTTCTTCATTTTGGAAGTCCTGCTCTGATTGTTTTTCAGAAAAATTGGGTAAACCAGACAACTAAAAATTGAGGAAAAATTAGAGAATATTTGGTATTATTTACTACAGTCGAACCTCAATAACAGCCTCAATATAACCCAACATTAGCTACACTATATAGAAGCCCTTGGGGTAGTCTTGGTGCAACTGTAAAGTCGCGGGGTAGTTTAATACGGCAAAACTTACGACCACGCCAAGAGCCCCACTCTCTGAATGGTAGAAAAGATGACCTCGTTTAAGAGGCAAATCCTTCAGACCCAAGGGTATATCTAAAAATGAGGTTCGAACTCTATAAAAAATACACCCCAGTATAAGAGACAAAATTTTCTAGCCTCAGGGGTGTATCTTATAGTGAGGATCGACCTCTATTTAGGCTACACCTTATTATAAGAGACAAATTTTCTCAGTTCCAAGGATGTGCCTTATAGTGAGGATCGACCTCTATTTAAGCTACACCTTATTATAAGAGACTATTTTTCCAGCCCAGAGGGTGTCTCTTATAGTGAGATTCAACTTCAGTTTAAATATATCGTTTAAAAATCCTCACATTATCAAAAAGCGAATTTGAGTCAAACAAATCAGCACAACCCTCATTATTTCCTTCACTTTCTTTTTGTTGTTCATCTCCATCTTCTTGTTTATTCGGCAAAGAATTTGAAGGAATCAAGCCAGCTTTAGCCAGCATTTCCAGCAATTGTATTTGTTGTTGGGTAATTTGTGATGAATTTTGCTGATTTTCTGTCGTCGAAGTCTTCCGATTTTGTTCAAATTTTATTTCAGAAAATTGTGGTTGATTGTAATTTTCGTTGATAAAATTGGTTAGAGGGCTAACGCTTTTATTATTTTTTGAGTTGTTTGATGAAGAAAATGAAGAGGATGAGGAAGAGCAAGAAGAGGAAATTGATGTCATTTTTGAAATATAATTTGAAATAAATATTTTTTTTTCTAAAAATAAAAAAAATTTGCGGACATTTTTTGCGGACAAATTTTGCGGATAAAATTTTTTGCGGATTTTTTTTTTGCTGATAAATTTTGCGGACAAACTTTTGCGGACATTTCTTGCGGACATTACTTGCGGACAAAATTTGCGGACAAAATTTTGCGGACAAAATTTGCGGACAAAATTTTGCGGACAAAAATTTTTTTGCGGATATTATTTTTTGCGGACAATTTTTTTCGGACATTTTTTTGCGGACATTTTTATAGAAAGGGTAATACATGGTGAATAAAAATTGTAAAATTGGCCAAGAAAAATTTTTTTTTGAAAATTAGAAAGAAATTTCTGGCTTAATGACAGAACATTAAAAAATAGGAAAGAAACAAAAACAAGGAGAAAGCACAAAAATATTCAGTGAATCGATCTGTTGTTTACAACAAAATATTTTTGTTTTGGAATTTATTGAATTTATTTTTATTAGAATTAAGCACGTGAACTTTCTCCTCTCATTTTTTAGTAGAAATCCAAAAACAACAAGCTTATTATTTGTTATTTTTTAGAAGCAAAAGTTAAATAAATAAATAGTAAATTAAGAAATTAGTAGAAATGAAAGTACAGCTGGACCTTATTATTGGACAATCTCTTGAGGGTGAAGGCAGAGGTGGATCGGAGTTCCGATTTCCAACTTCCGATTTCCGACACCTCTGACTGTTCCGACCCACCTCTGTGTGAAGGGAAGTCTCTTATAATGAGGCTATCTTAAATAGAGGTGTACCTAGTAGTGTATCTTAAATAGAGCTCTGACTGTAAATATGGTCTCTTATAACGAGGTGTGTGTTAAATAGAGGGGTAATCATTTAGACAGCACTCCTATCCAGGGACATTTTGAGGAGCGTATCTTAAATAGAGGTGTACCTAGTATTGGGTGTATCTTATATAGAGCTTTGCCTGTAAATATGGTCCCTTATAATGAGGGGTATATTAAATAAAGGGGTAAGCGTTGAGTCAACTTCCCCAACGAGTGACTTGTCAAAATGAAAAAGTATCTTAAATAGAGGTGTGTTTAGTATTGGAAGTATCTTATAATGAGGGTAAGTAGCTTATAGCGAGAGTATCTTATAGTGAGGTGTCTTTAACAATGAGAGGATCCTAAATAGGCCTCCCCTTGACAAACAAACTTCGAAAGACTTATATTAGAGGTGTACCTAATATTGAGTGTATATTAAATAGAGGGTTGAGTGTAAAATAATATTTATTTTGAGAAAGCAAAAAAATTTATTTTTTTGCCAAGTCCACTTATTAAATGACTAAAAAATAAATTTTCCTCTTCCTTAAAATCTCAGCTGGGACCAAATGTCCATTTTACTTCCCCGTTCATTTTTTTGCTCATTTTTGTGTTCCAAAGGCTATTTTTATTTTTTCTCTAGTTTATGGCCACACCACGTCTTTCTCCAACAAAAAATATTATATGTTTTGTTTACAAATCTCTCTGTAGTTGATGGTGGTGGTAGGTGGCGGCTGGTTGTTTCACTTCTTCACTCCACCTTTTTTTGCCCTCATAATTCCTTTCCTCTTTTCTCGACCCCCAAGAATGTTTTTAAAATTTGACACACAAGTGCTCTTTAGTGTCACCCCAATTTTTATTATCATTCATAAAATTTTAATTGAAGATGGCAATCATTTCCTTATGACACTTTTGAAATTGATGTTTAAATATACTTCCTTAAAAAGTAAAACACTTTGGCCTGGAAGAAATAATTTTTGATCTAATAGTGGTTGGGCAATAACGCAAATTTTTTTCATTTTGTCACAAATTCGACTAGATATTCAAAATTTCATATCTCGCCTAAAGGCAGTATTGAGACTTTAGGACAGTTCACCAAAAGACAATCCACAGTATAGTGTAATTCACCGTATGGACAATTCACTGGACAATTACGATGAATTGTGAATTAACCTGAAACGGCAAAACATTAACGTTTCACCAATGATACTTCATCAAACGACAGTTCACCGTATATTAGAAAATCACTTGAAGGACAATTCACCATAAAATTGTCCATATTTTGAATTGTCCGTATGGTGAACTGTTCTGATACGGTAGCCGTTTCAAAGGATAAAGATAAGGCCCTTTAAGGATCAAAAGGGCAATATTTTTGTTTTTGCTTTTTTCTATCAAAATCCAATTTATTTTCAATTTTTTAGCCTTTGGCCGCTTTTTGCCATTTGACAGAAATCAAAAAATAAATAAAAATATTTGTAACACTTTTATTTATTTAAAGTGATTAAAAGAAGAAAGATTAAAAAAAGAAAAGAAAAACAGAAAAGTGATGACAACAAGCAATTGTTGTTGTTTTGTTTTTATTTTTTATTCTGTTTTTGTTCTGAAAGAAAGAAAAGTTTAAAAGGGGAAAGAGAAAGGAATGCCGTTCATCTTTTGTAAAAGAGCAAAAAACTTTTTTTTCTCCCCAACTTTTTTCTAAAGTTGGGGAGAAAAATGTTGGAGAATGTTTGGAGAGAAATGTTTGGAGAGAGTGTTTTTGCCCTTTTTCTGTTGCAGAAATTGTTGGGTAATTAGAAAAAATATTATGATAGTATATGATCAGCTATTAAACATTAAAGTACCTATTTAGAGGTCTGTTCCCCAACGAGGGGAGGGCCACTGAGAAAATTTTCGGGGAGGCAGCGCCACAGGGAGGAGGGTGGGAGGGACGGGGAATTTTCAAAAAATTCTCAAATTCCCCGACTTTCTGGGATAAGGTACAACCCTCTATTGGCATATAAAATTCTGGAATTTGTAAGAAATTTGGGTTTTAACAAAATACGTAAAACATCATTATAAGATACCCCGGAGACTGAGAAATTGTACATCAAATCTCCCTAGGGGTATCTCCCTAGGGGTATCTCCCTACAGTATCTTACTAACTACTCTAACAAGGTATCTTAAATTGGGGTGTATCCTGGGGAATGATCTCATAATGAGGCTGCCTTATAATGAGGGGTATATTATATAGAGGGTATCGACTTTGCTGTTAAACTATTACCCCACCCAGTGGCCAACCAAATTTTAAAGGCACGTATTTTAAACAGAAGTGTATCTAGTATTGGGAGTGTCTTATAAAGAGGTCTGATTTATATGTATTTTAACGTTAAATATACATAGGTAAATATTTACAAAAAAATTGAGTAAAAAATATTTTTTAAGAATTTTTAAAAGGAAAATGAAGTGTTCAAACAATTGTTATAATTCAGAAACAGAATAGAACACGAAAAAAGAAATGTAGAAAATAAAAAATAAAATAATAAAACTGTAAAATAAACAAACAAAAAAAACTTTTGATTTTACGATGGGCTTTTTGAAATTTTTTGGTCAAGTGATAGAAATTTTGTATTTTATGCATATTTTTTTAAAGTTATGTGAAGGGTAAATGATGTCAAAAATATATTATTTTTGATAATTAAATAAGTGTGGAGATGAAGGGAAATAAATGAATGATTAAAAGTGTCGGGTTGAGATCAGAATACTCGAATAAGTGTCACTCTTCGCGCTTCCGCAAAATACCACAAATCGAAAAAGGTGCGTGATTGTGGGAGCGGTATCCCGCATCCCGTCCCGTGCCGGTTTCTAGTTGAAACAAATAATTGCCTTAACATTAGTGAATCTCATAAAAATAGCTTTATCCCTTCTAACGGGAGGTTGAAACAAGGGGTGTGTCGGAGCAGGCAGAGGTGTCGGAAATCGTAAGAGCCGGAAATCGGAACTGGCGCAAAAGTCGGAAATCGAAATTCCGACCCACTTCTGGTTGAGACAAGAATTATGCAGGGCAATTCTTTGAGCATATACTGTGACTTTTAGGGAATTAAAAAAAAACTATTTTTGTTATGAAATATTTAAAAAAAGCTTTTTTGTATAAAAGATAACAGAAACAATAAAATAAAATTTAATAAAAAATTCTTTTAATGTTAAAAATTCCTCGTGTATAACTCATTAAATAAACAAGAAAATTTATGCAGATGTTTATGGAGAATAAAATTATTTTTTTAGACAAAAATGCCAACAAAAATATTAAAAATATTTGTCATAAGTTTCTAAATTGTTTAGAAAGAAAATTTTTTAAGCTGAAATTTTTTTGGTCAGCCTTGTTATCCTCCTTAGAATTAAGGAGGG